TGACATTGCGGCCTGTTAGTTCTTTCTTCCAGTCGATTTGCATTATCGGCTATACGCTATTCCCCTTGGTCATCGCAGCAATGCTGAGTGCACTGGGGCTTCCTACTATCGCGCGGATACCGGTATATCTTGTGCTAGTCGCATGGTCGTTAGCAGCTGGAGTAAGCATCTTAGGAGGCTCGGGGGTGGTGCGGAACCGAGTCGGCATCGCAGTGTATCCGCTGTTTGTCTTCTACGTTGCGATCGGATGTCTCTGTTTCATCAGTTAAGGCTCTCTATGATATTGTGCTCAAGAATTGAGGAAATGCGCCGTCACATGCCTCTGATAGGCATCGGCGCAACCTCAATAACATTGGATATTAGAATAGCGTGGATACCGGTATATCCCAAACTTGAATTGAATTTTATGTGTATTGTTCTACCGAGGCAACAATAGATGATTGTTTTAGATGAATATGCTTTGTTCCCATTTCCATTGACGCTCTATTCAGAACCCGTTTGTTGGGCCCCGCACCCGGCGGTCAACTTATAAGAACCGGCAAGCTAGCTTTTCCTTCTTCTCTCACCTTTCCACCCTTCCATCCTCTTGTTCTTCTGTCAAACCTCGCAAGCCTCAAGTCTTCTGTTCTTCGTCGATTCGGCTGGTCCCAATCGATCCGATCTGTTCATCTGCGGTTATCGTGACCTGTGAAGCTCCGATCAACTCAATTTCGACATATCTGGAAATATCCAATATCTTTGAATTTGTCCTCAGGACGCGATACCATGACTTCTGCTTCCCATGAGCAGAACTCCTCGGCAGGTGGTATGTCATCATTGCTTGGGCGCATAGCCTTGAATCCCCCACATAGTTGGGCAGTTTCGCTAACAACTCCAAAGCTCCGGAAACAGAGCAACTGAAAATGGACCACAGAGGTACGTGTCAATACAGTGATCCGTCTTTGTCCCGCCCTCCAGCTTTCCTTTCTATCTTTAATACCATTTGCCGCGGGCTTTCTCCGACGTTCCAGTGATCTGACGATATCGTCTTACAGTAACCGCGCAGTCACCCCCCTCCGACAATGACAGCGGCGAACGCCCCGTGCGACAACAGCTCAAGGAGACTAATCTCGGCGCTATGGGCGAAAACAACGGTTCTGCCCGTCCAAACCGAAAGCGCTCCCTCGACAACACAGATGGAGCAACCGACACACCCCCATCCAAGCGATCTCGGGAGTGTACTCCGGACAACCTAAAGGCTTCCACGGAAGACAAATCCAACCACGCCGGAATCCCCAAAGATGCCACTACTCAAAATGTGAGTGACAATGTGCTGGCCACAGCACCCGCGAACACTGTCTCTGAGACTAAGGTTCAGTTTCCCCTGGTCCTTGAGATCAAGGTCTCAATTGGTGGATCCGAGCAAATTACCCATATGACCATTCCTGTTGAGATCGATATCAAGCTGCCTGCTGAAGCAGTCTCCTTGGCTTCCTCGGTTTCGAGATCCGCTGGAGGCGAATCCCCCAAAATCCATATCACCAGTCCTTCTGCAAAGCCCATTCCTCCATCTGGAAACTCTTCCCCTGGACACCCTTCCCCTGGAAACCCTTCCCCCGGACGCCCTTCATCTGGACAGGTTGTATCTGAATATGACGCATATGAGGACCCCTCATTCCACATATATGAAGATCCTGAGTCAATTGGAGATTCCTCATCTGAAGACTCTCTGCCTGACTACCGTTCACCTGAATTCTCGTCCTCTTCGCCTCCTCCCCACAGTCCATCGCACCCCGATTACCCCAGACCCATGGTTGAAATTATTGGTTCTAACCACTCTCAATCCCCACAGAATCTTGAAATGACCGTCGGCGGAAACGAAGATGATTCTTCACAAAGCCTCAAGAAGAAACGAAGCCGAGAACAGCTTGAAGATGATGTCTCGAAAAATTCCCATGCTGCGACGGACCCCGCTCCCGGTTTGACTGAGACAACTTCATCGGACGAAAAATCTACTACCGAAGGACAACCCGAGAAGAAGAGAGCTCGCGACACTTCGGAGGAGCGCAAGGCCAAGGTGGATCAGGTGAGTTTGCCGCCTCGACATCCCTGACCTTTTTTTCCACTTTTACTGACGCTTACTTCTCACAGACTTTCACCGCGAGTGCATTCGGACAGTCTGCCAACTCACCCTCACCTTTCGCAATGCCTGCAACTAAATCGACATCTAATGCCTCGCCTTTTGCAACCACCGGTGCCTCGACTACTGGTTTCGGTGCCCTCGGATCTGGCTTCTCTGCCTTTGGCAGCGCTTTCTCTGCCCCATCTGGTAAACTCACGAGTTTCGCGTCTCCTAATGCACCCGCTGCTTTCTCTGGAACTGGTAAACTGACCAGTTTCGCATCTGCCAACGCCCCTGCCAATTTCTCTGGAACAGCTGGTAAACTGACTAGTTTCGCGTCTCCTAATGCCCCCGTTTCCTTTGGTGAACCCAGTGACAAGACCCTCGGCGCAAAGCAATCCGACAACGAAGAGAGTGACAATGAAGCAGCGGGTGAAACCGATGGCACCTTTGTTGCCGAGAAAACCGACGAGCGTTTCCACGAACAAACTGGTATGGACCCCTCCTTGCAACCGACCCTCAGGATCCCAAATATGGCCAGTCACTCATTCCAGCGTGAAAAACCAGTTGAAACCGGCGAAGAAAATGAGATCACCAAGTTCTCAGCGAAGGGAAAGCTGTACTACTTTGACGACAAGAAATGGAAGGAGCGTGGTATTGGCACCTTCAAGGTTAACCTCAAGACGGAGTCCAACGGAAAGAAATCTGGCCGCATGATCATGCGCGCCGATGGCGCCTTGCGTGTTATGTTGAACAGTGCGATTTGGTATAGCATGCCCTTTGGCGATACCAAGAGTGCTCGCCCAGCCACTCGGGATATTTATCTCGCCAGCAAGGAAGATGAGAAAGTGATTAGCCTGCTTCTCCGGGTAAGTCTCCAGATTGTTTTGACTGAAAATGTTTGATCATAGTGCTAACGAATCAACACAGCTTGGCGGCGAAAAGTCCGCTCAGGAACTGTATGATGTGCTCAAGGACATCTTGGAGGAGATCTAAGCTACTACATGTGGTCATGTTGATACATGTAAATAAAGAAAACTGAAAACACCAAAAAAGGAAGAAAAAAAAAGAGCCACTCTCGCGGGGGCTCAGAGTTGTTATTGCAGATTATTAGCGATTTTTAATACACTTGTGTGAATATCAAATCTTTTTGAACATTTCTTTGCCTAGTATGTTATCTCCTATTATTCCACAAAGTATCTATACCCTGATTTAAGCTGCTTTCATTGTAATTTTTATCCCGTTAACGTTGAATGGCATTGCTTCGCTAATATAGAATGTTCCGTTTCTTCTTGTCGCCTCACCTAGCCTACCTTAACCATGCCCAAGTACCACATCCTGCACTCAAATTTTTCTTTCCCCATGGACTCGACGAGCATGCTCTCCCAAATTGTCCTTTCGATTAAAGGATTTATCGCACCCTTCTCTGTGGCACTTGTGAGCACCGGGAAAGAGATGCTGTGTCTCAATGTGTCGCCAGAGGACATGTAACCGACCAAACGATTTGGTAGACCGACAACCATTCCATTCGCATTGAAACGGCCCTACCGACGCTCTGGAAGAAAACGACTGTTAGTAAATGAAGAAGATGTCTGGATATAGTTCATCATTGACACTTACTCGGCCTTGTGGGGTATAGAACAAGCTCGAGATCTGTGGCTTCTAGCCTGGGTGTCACGATTAGGCATGCATGGTAGTGTATTTTGCATAGTATGAGCGCCCTGCGAAGAAAGAGGCGTTGGTTGACCAAGAATAGGGGTGTTGGTGTTGTAGCCCATGAACTGGGAAGTCGCTGCAATGCCCCCCTGGACAGAATATTGGGAGCTGTATTTGGCATTGCGAGCTTCTCCTATTTGGCCTTGAGTTGGATGAAGCATGCTCGGGTTTGGATCGAGAAAGGAGTATTGCGAGTACGAAAAAGGGCTCTCATTCGGTTCATCGAGATGACCGGTTTCCCGGCACCGTTCATTGAAGGATAAATTGTCTAATACAGTTTCGTACGGAGAGCAATCCATTATGAGATGGTTTCGATGTTCGGAATTTGTATAGAGATGTTCAAGTCCGTGGAATTGCTTAGAGGAAATATTGATAGAGTGCAGGTTGGGGATGAGGATTACATTTCCGCGGGGGATGAAGAGGATTAAATACCTGGAGAGGTGACAGATTCGATATGAAAACGCGCATCTTGTACCCAGCCAGGGGATCAAGATAATTCGATTTAAGCGTTCGCCGACGGGGTTCTAATTGCTATGGAATCCGAGATACGATTGGATAAAGTCGATCACCCAGTTGCCCAAGTGCCTTTCGATTTAACCAATCGTATCAATCCCATAAGCGCAAATTGAGGCGCAGGGCGCAGTCTTAAGGAGAATTATGCAGACAGCATGTACAAGGGTAACATTGGATCCCTAAATTAAAATAAAGATTTTGGGCACATGGCAGACAGGTGGCGCAGACTTTCAACCCGGTCACGATCTACGTCAGACGGTTGTTTTTTGGCATATAGCTTTTACATTCTGACCGAGACATACTATTTTATGGATTTTTCACTCCCAATCAGAGATAGATCTCTCTGCTTCCCCGGGTATGAACGTTGAGAAGGATTGGTTCCGCACTTTAGGACCAACGCTTGCCTGGGCACAGAGCCAAAAAGTGTTTTGACTATACAATTATTGTATCTACCATGTGTATCTTAAGTAGTATCCCTTTAGCCACTGACTAAATCTCCTACCACTCCAGTTTGAGCCGGTGATAGAGCTCATGCCATCCAATCATTTGATAGCCTCAACAATACCCTTGCGTCCCAGTTGAAATGGAGTGTCTTTGGCAGAGCTAGGGAAATTGCTTGTTATTTTTGTGGAAGAATTCCGGTGCTTTGGAAGTACGAAGCTTGCCGATCTCAAAGCTGGGAATGCTGTACATTGAGAATTGGTTGTTATAAAGGCTACCAGGACTGCAAGGGTTTGAAGTTTGAAGCCTTGGATGAGGAACATACCATCACTACATCCTGAATAATTCTCTCAACAGGTGACACATGTGACTCCAGGGCTCCTACTAAACCCCGAGCAGCATCGAGTGCTTCTGAACGTGCTTGCTCATCGAGGTCTTGGGTCTGTGCGCTACCAGTCAAAGCTATGATCTGTGACAAGATGGGGTTATTCTGGGTCATGAGGTATATTGCAGTGCTAGATAAGATTCCAGAATATGTCTTATAGCTGGATTCTTCCCCGAGGGTTTGCCCCGCAAGGGCAATAGGCCATCTTCCACCTAGACCTTACATTTATACTCATCACTCTTATGTCATCTACAATGCATCACGGGGTATTGAATCGGCCAATCCAAGTCAAGGAAAGCGATGCAAACGTGCAAAAGTTTATATCCACCGCCACTACCGCCACTGTGGATACTAGCAACGTTGGTTCTCCGAGCTTTTGTTGCCAAAGGCGGTAAATTCATAAGCACATTGTATCATAGGGCTATACCTTTACATCTAGACCGTATAGGCATTTCGCCTATTTATACTATTTTGCTCTGCTCCCCAATTTGTTCTCAAATACAAGAGCCATGTCTTCACCAATTGGATGCTTTCACACCGACCCAAAGCGCTTGGGTCCAATTCCTCCTAATTGCAAACTTCCAGCAGCAAAGTTTTTAAAACAAACATACAAGTTCTATGATTATCGTCAGACTCCCGTCAACATTGTCCGCAAGAAAACCAGTGCCCAGGATTGCCCAATATGCGTTTGCTATGGAGTACGGACTATGATGCTCGATTTTCGTTCTAATCCCAAATACCCAAAAAAGACCTCCCGAGATGCCGTAAACGAACCGTTGTATCAAAATGGGTTTGCCTCATATCATTTACCAGCCGCTGCCGTGAGCGTTCAGACACCCTATACAGGGATGCCGTTTACGTTTGATGTGGAAAAGGGCCAAAACGGAGAAGCGTATCATGCGCTCATCTGCTCCCTTTTGACTGGCAATGCTGGTCAGATAATACGTATCAACATTGGCAAGGCCTCGCAGCCCGCTACTGTGGAACAGCAGAACCTTCTTTACTACTATGTTTCACAGAAGGCTATTGTCGATACTCCAAGAGGAGGCGATTCAAAGGACAATGCGACTAAGTGTATAGCCCGTGTGTTTGAGCAAAATTCCGAATCGCAGGCCCAAATCTTTCAGTCTCTAAGAGATTACCTCAATGATTCGCAGCTTCAAACCGCACCAGCCGAGGACACCCCAACCGGGGGATACCCCTACGCCTCTCAGGCATATGCAGCAAAATATTGGATAAATCGATATCTTTCTCTGACAGAACAAGGGAAGTCGAAGCTACCGAAGCTGGCAGACGTGGGAAAGATAGCTCTCTTGTTGGTCCGCCGGGCCCAGAAAGCCGGAGATGGCCGTTCAATGGATGAAGGAAATATCAAAACTTGCCTGAAATCAATACGCGCAGCGAACCAGGCCATGGCTGCCAATGGCTATGAAGTTTTCAATTATATCATATTTTACGGTGATTTTGATCGAAAGCAAGCTCTTACTCTCGTTGAGTGGGCAAAAAAGTCCGGCCTCAGCGCCCTCTATATCACCTCGCCCTTCAAGGAGCTCAATTCGAAAAACGTTTTGGATCAACAGATCGATGCGTTTTGGGCCAATTTCAAGGGATCTCGAAATTCTGCTTTTGAATATATTCCCGAGGGTGTGCCGCTCGAAGTTAAATTGTTCGGATTCTTCCTTGCGCTCCAGGCTCGATACGGTTCAAAGTTATGTTATATTGGCTTCAGATCCGGCACACTCGATGGACCTGGGTTTATCGGAAGCCCGATCTTCTACCTTGATGATACGCTCACGAAGGGTGCATGGAATGATTTTGCCAGTGGTAATTATCTCTGGGACGGCACTGACCGGACGCTGCAAAAGCCCGAGCGTATGATGTTTATGACACGAACGACAAATACATTTATCCGCATCAACATCAAGGGCAGTGATAGAAACCTCATCGAACTTGACGACGACGCGGCAAAGCAGTTAGGCAGTGCGTTATACCTTTACATGGCATCCTTGCCAGCCAATGATCCGTATTGGACACAGAGGATTGCTTTGATGAACAATCCAAATCCCCAACAGAATGAACTGAAGCAAATGTTTGATTATTTTCATGGCATGTGGAGAACAGTGAAATAAGTGTTGTCGTCTACAGGGAAAAAGATGTTCTCTTCAGCCTTTTCTTACCTGTTGTTCCTGGATATGAGACAATTCAGCCTTCACAATCTTGTATTTTCAAATGAGAATGAACGCCTAGGGAAGATACTAATGTTGCTCAGGACGCATTGGCGCTTAGCTAGGCACATGGCAATTACGGTCGACGATTGCTATAACTAGAGCGAGAGATGCACTCATTGAAATTAAGATCTATTGCTGCAATTTATTAGAAGCCTTCACTGTAAATAGTGGTATCGTAAACAGGCTTAGCTTTTGGATGAATTGAGGTATGTCCTATTCATCGTCCCTCTCCACTATAACCTCTCTCGTTCGCCATATGCCCGACTGACTATTACAGCTCTCGGTATCACAGGACTGCTGCTTTATGTCCTCAAGGGGTACTTTTGTCACAGATAGTGTCCGCTTAGAGCGAAGTTGTATGGAGTTGTATGAGAGCTTGAAGCCGGAACCCGGTCCATTTCGTGAGCTGGCTTCGCTAGAGGGGCCAGTGATAGACTCGAAAACCTTACGGAATAACGGGCGGATTGTCGGGATACATGCAGCAACGATGACAACATTTTGCTCGACCCTAAGCTGGAGGTTAGCGCAAGCTAGGGAAAAGAGGCGTGGGTAATTCTCACAGTCCCCAAAGAACTAATGGTACCACCTTGTAAACTGCTGGACATTAGTTGCAGACTAAGTGATAGAATCGAGGGGAATACTGACGAGGATCAGTGTGGTCAGTGAATAAATTCAAATATGTTGCTTTAACAATTGTGACGATCGCGGAAAGCAGGGTTAATCCCATCATAATGCACACACCCAGCTTTGTCGATAATGGCATCTGTAGTTTCCAAAATGCAGAAATTGGTACAATAGCCAAAATGATATCCGTCATAGTTGTGTATGCGCTGACCAAATAGGAGAAGCCATCGAAAATATCCGGACTCCAACATGTGCCCTCAATGGAAGAGTTCCACATTTTTGCTGTTGGTTTGCATTGAAAAAATACAATGAAAACGGAGATCATGGCCAATATCACCTGGAAAATTACCATGGCGTATAGGAGTCGCGCACGAAGTGGGTTGGGGTCAAGCAGATGAACGATCAAGATGGCGATCGAGACGTTGGGGAAGCTAAACGCGCCTATATTGCCCTTGTGTTTAGTATTCGACTTGTTCCATTGAATGGGTAAATACGCACCAATGTTGAAAGGAAATGCAATAATCTGCCAGTATGCTGATTTTTCATATCTCTCAATGCCATATTGAGCAACTACAGTTGCAGTGTGCCGGCCTAAACCAAGAGTGACGGAATATGAAACGAAAGCCGTGGCAACGATGCTGAGAGCCTAGATAATAACGTTCGCAATGTCAGTCGAACCTAGAGGTTTTCTTGGGAGAGGCTTGTGCCTCACCAGCGAGAAAAAAATCAAAAAATCATCCCAGCCAAACCGTTTGTTATCAATTCGGGCGAATAGCTTCAAGGAAACGGCTGCGATTGCAATCCCGGTGAAGACCCACCCAATGGCATTGATCTCCGTCGCTCGTGTCTCACTATGATCGACATTTGTGTCGAAGGAGGCCATCGTCAACGATTTCAGTCTATATTATAGACTCGATCCGTAGGACTCGAATGAGGAGAGATTCTCAACCAGAAGACTTCTAAAAAGAAACAGCAGCGTGAAACAATTATGTGCGGCAAATTTGTTGAGCAACTAAACTAACTTGAAAGAATCCATGGATAAATTGATCTGGCCTGTTAGTGTATTGTAGTACTAGTAGTTGTGTGTGTATCGACTAGTATTCCATAATCCCAGAGTATTCGACCGTAGCTTGCTCATATTGATGACACCCATGTACAATAATTGTCCCATGAGCAACGGTGACCAATCAAATAGGGCCAAAATGGGCGAGCTCCTAAACACTAATGCTTCAATTGATATCAGCAAGTCACTAGCCAAGAAAATTACTTTGCCGAGAAGGTTATATCTTGGTTCTGCCCATTTCCAATGACCCAAAGGCAGTCTCGATGTGATGCAGGCCATTCTCCATACTCCATATATACTTCGTAGTCCTAGGAGACATAGTGGAGTCATCGGCCGTTTGGGGCTCCATAGTGGATAGTTGAGGGGCCGGTTGGTACCCCTATTATGTACCGTTGTCTCTCCGTACCTATGGGTAACTATTGTATAGTAATGATTGTGATATCTGTTAACACTCCAAAGGGCGGTATGAGCTAAGACATAATAAGGAAATGATGGATAGCCACAACTTTGGACTATCTTCATTGTTAATAAAAAAAAGTGCAAACAGTCTCAGAAACTTTAGACATTAACTGAATCGGCATGGAAGCGAGGGATATGTACGGAGTACAATATATAGGTACACTCAATATATGGTTCTTCCTATTAATTATACAGAGAACTCCGTACGTAGGGCAATTTTCCTGTCCCGCTTAGCGAGCTAAACGGCCGGCTCATAGCGTCTCTTAGCTCATGGTACGATTTTATTACATAGGTTGAAAGAATCTTTCAGGCGCCCAGACCAATAAGCATGTTTCGATCCCATAATACATACTCCGCAAAGAGTTGAGTAATTGGCTACCAGGCTACTAACATCCAATGATGTGAGAACAGCCTCTTATTAGCTTTGCTCAACTCCGAATGAGCCCCCGCTCTCTCTTTCTCGAATAACAACGCTAAGGTGAGTGGGAGTCCTGGTTGGTTAAAGTCAGCACTTGGAGGGTCCAGTGTGAGAGCTTCACCCGTGCCCTTAACATCGTACTAGCCCCAAACCAAACCTGGGAAAACAGGATAAGAACGGGGAGAGGAGGGGCAAGTAGATCCGCTACCGTATATTATTTTCCATTTAAGAGATAATTGACACCCCTTTGTAACTTGGGAATCAATTGTCGTCCTCTCAACGCTAAATACCATCATGGCTTTCCAATCTGTCTCTGCCATTCTGGATGGAATTGCCAGTTCACGCACGGCATTCGACAAGAACGAAGCCGGCTCAAGAGAAGCTCTGATTGACCAAAGCCGCGCGCTGATTGCAGCATTGGAAATACCAAGCGAGTTCATCCAACGCACCTTTTGGGCAGAGGTGGGAGACTGCAACCTCGTTGAGAGCTTATCTTGCTCACAGTGCTAATTGGATTTTTACGATAGCCAGCCCAAAGCGCCATTATCCGTATGGCCGTCGAGGTCAAGCTTTTCCAATGCCTTAGGGATGCAGGAGATGCGGGACTCACCCCGACAGCATTTTCCCAGCAGACTCAGGTCAACGGTGCTCTACTACAACGCCTAACGAGACATCTAGTAGCGATGAACCTCGTGTCATTCCACAATGGGGCGTTCCATGCCACGAAGCTGAGCAACGGGCTCGCAGAGGAGAACTATCAACACAGCATCTGTTTCTGCTATGATGTGACGCGCCCTATATTTAACGGATTCCCGGAATATTTTAAGAAGTCCGAATATAATTCCCCGACTCTGGGTGGAACCGACGGCACATTCCAAGAAGCACACAAAACAAACCTCCCGTTCTTTGAATGGCTCCTCGTGACGCCACCGCACCTCCAGCATTTTGACTCTTTCATGAGCGCGTACCGCGCGGGTAAGCCAGATTGGCATGAGTTCTACCCCGTGGCTGAGCGATTGAACACGGGCTTCGATGCTTCTATTAGCGATGTCCTCCTCGTCGACGTCGGTGGCGGAAAGGGCCACGATGTGGCTACCTTTGCTGCACAGTATAGTCCTTGCCCGGGTAGGATTGTGCTCCAGGATCGAGAGCCCGTCATTGCAGGTGTGGTAGCTAATGGCATGGAGCGAGCTTTTGAAGTGCAAGCTCATAACTTTTTTACGCCGCAGCCTATCAAGGGCGCACGCGCATACTCTCTTCATTCTATTCTTCATGATTGGAGTGATGAAGACGGTGTCAAGATCCTGGAGAATCTTGTGCCTGCTTTAAAGAAGGGTTATTCACGGGTCTTGCTCAACGAGATTGTGATTAACGAAGAAAGACCTACGCTCGCAGCGACCAATATGGATATGATGATGTTGGCACATTTTGCTGTGAGAGAAAGAACAGAGGCTGATTGGAGAGATATTCTAGCCCAAGCTGGATTGAAGGTGGTCAACATCTACACCTATCCAGGCGTTGCGGAGAGTTTGATTGAGGCAGAACTGACCTGAGTCGGTTAGCATGAGCTTCCTGGAGATTGTTACACCATACAGACTAATATTATCAAGGAATATCAAGGATAAATAAAGCATAACCAAATAAGCTTATATAGAATGGCTGAGCATTAACCCACCTTTCAACCTTGGTACAGATGGCCATTTTAGGTGATATTGGTGCACGTGACCTCGCGTTTCCCTGCATTTCGGACTTTTATCGACTTCAACTCCAACATAGAGCACTATGGGGCTTCGACATGGCGGGATCCTTGTCAATACCACTGCAGGCCTCATCATTAAAACGGAAACGAAGTCATGAAGGCGATCGCGGCCTCGAGTCCGATGTGCCTCCACCCCCGAACGCGTCGCCCCAAAACCCTGCCGATCAAACACCCTCGACTACAACCAATCCTTCTCTCAATGAATCTGATGTACATGGAACTGAATCCGTCAAAACAATAACCGCCAAAAAAACGAACAAAGGAAAGAAAATCACCTCGAAGCCGCCAAAGCCCTCGAAGCGAACTCCATCTACGCCATTGCCAGATGCCTTTAAGCGCCTCTCGCAAACTCATCGCGCCTTGAACCTCGTTTATACATTTTGCTGCACACGGAAGCACTTCGCCACCACATTTGACAACATAAAAAAAGCAGTACAAGCTCAACTTGGTCAAGGGCGAGAACTCACTGTTGAGGATGTCGCACGTGTGAAAGTCATAGTTCCCGGGGCGGTCCGCTTCGAATATGTGGACGAAGCCAAGTTGGAAGTAATGACTGCTGGAGATGAAGAGATATCTCAATATGGGTTACACAAGCGATCTAGTCTGGCATTTGGGGCAGACATGGACACAGCCGAAGACGCCAGAAGTGGCGATCTTCACTATGCAGACGACACAAACCAACTTCTGCTATTTGAGTTTGTGGATGGTGATCTGAAGCGGGAAGCACTACACCCGAAGACTGGGGAGTCCGTGAAACCTATGCGTCGCAGGAAAGATGAGGATCTAAAAATGCCCGTCTACAGCCAAAAGCAGATGCTGGGTTTGATTGAAAAACGAAGTGCCAAGTTCTCGGACGCTTTGAATGCGTTTTTGGTTCAATGTGAGGACAAAAATATTGATCCGGTGGATTCCCTTGAACAAGAGAAGAATGCTTTCCTGCCCAGCCCTCCAAGCAGCGGGACGAACACGCTTGCAGCGAAGCCGCCAGCAACAATTCCCAAGGATCGAAAGTCCATTGCGGAGATCATTGCAGAGATTCGGGGGATGGATTGGTACCATGCACAAATTGTGCCGGAAGGCCATCGAGTATTCGACGCACAGTCTCCTGTCTACGGAGACTTGACATTCCAGCTCTCGCAGGACCTTGTCAACGCTCTGTATAACACAAAAGGAATTACCCAAATGTATGCTCATCAAACAGAAGCAATTAACCACCTGTACGAGGGCCATAATGTGATTGTCTCGACGTCGACGAGCTCAGGAAAATCCCTCATCTATCAAGTTCCAATGCTTCACGAGCTAGAAAAGGATCCCGAAAGCAGGGGTATGTATATCTTCCCCACGAAAGCTCTGGCACAAGATCAGCGCCGCAGCATGCTGGATCTACTTCAGTATATGAACGGGCTGCAACACACAATGGTTGAAACCTTTGACGGGGACACGCCAATGGGGAGCCGGAACTTGATTCGTGACCAGGCCCGGATCATTTTCACCAATCCCGATATGCTACATGTTACTATTCTGCCACAGGAGAGTTCCTGGCGCACCTTTCTGAAGAATCTGAAGTTCGTTGTTGTCGACGAACTGCACGTCTACAACGGCCTATTCGGGTCCCATGTCGCTTTTATCATGCGACGCCTCCGCAGGATCTGTGCCGCAGTGGGTAATCGACATGTCAAGTTCATATCTTGCTCTGCTACCGTTGCAAACCCGGAGGAGCACATGAAGTCTGTCTTTGGGGTGCAGGATGTGAAACTCATCGATTTCGATGGATCTCCGTCTGGTCGCAAGGAGTTTGTTTGCTGGAATACGCCATTCAAAGACCCCAAAGATCCTACCTCTGGGCGTGCTGACACCGTCACTGAGACTGCCAGGCTATTTTGCCAGCTGATCCTCAGGGGCGTGAGAGTCATTGCCTTTTGCCGAATCAGAAAGCAATGTGAGATCCTCTTACAGGGCGTGCGCGCCGAGTTTGACAGACTCGAACGAACAGAGATCGGCAAGCTAGTAATGGGCTACCGAGGAGGATATAGCCCTCAAGATCGACGCCAAATCGAAAAGGAAATGTTCGAGGGAAAATTGATGGGAATCGTGGCTACCAACGCTCTGGAACTGGGCGTTGATATTGGCTCCCTAGATGCAGTCATCACCATGGGGTTCCCATACTCGATCTCCAATTTACGTCAACAAAGCGGCCGCGCTGGACGACGTAACAAGGACTCCCTCTCCGTCCTAGTTGGGGACAGATACCCAACCGACCAACACTACATGCAGAATCCAGACGAAATATTCACACGGCCTAATTGCGAGCTGCAGATCGATCTATCCAACGAGCTCGTCCTCGAAGGCCATGTCCAATGCGCTGCATTTGAGATGCCTATCCGCCCCGAAGAAGACAGCATCTACTTCGGGCAACAGCTTCTTGCCCTGGCCCCAACCCGCCTAATTAAAGATCCACTCGGCTTCTACCACTGTCATCCACGCTTCCGCCCGCAGCCTTCCCGCAGCGTCTCAATCCGCGACACAGAAGACCAACACTTCGCCGTTATAGACACAACCAACAACCGCAACGTAGTGCTAGAAGAAGTCGAAGCCTCACGGGCCTTCTTCACAATCTACGAAGGCGGCATCTTCCTTCACCAAGGCACAACCTACCTCGTGAAAGAACTAAACACCGAATCCTTCCTAGCGCGCGTCATCCGCGTCCACGTCGACTGGAACACCATGCAACGCGACTTCACCGACATCGACCCCATAGAAACCGAAGCAATGCGTGTAGTCAGCAACGACCCCTCAGCCTCAAGCGCCTTCTTCGGCGCAATCCAAATCCACGCCGTAGTCTACGGTTTTTTCAAAGTCGACAAGCGCGGTCGCGTCCTCGACGCCGTCGCCGTCGATAACCCACCAATCGACCGCCTTACGAAGGGCATGTGGCTCGATGTTCCAACGCGCGCTATTGATATGCTGCAATCGCACCGGTTAAATATAGCCGCGGCCATTCACGCCGCTGAACACGCCGTCCTCTCCCTTCTTCCTTCCTTCGTCGTCTCCTCGCCCGGCGACGTCCGTACAGAATGCAAAGTCGCGAAGAAAGAGCTCGGCCGATCCCTGCGTCGTGCGAACGTACCCAGTGAGTTCGAGGAAAAGCTTAAACCGCCGACGCGGCAGAGGCCCGCTCGGCTTACTTTCTACGATGCGAAGGGTGGGTCATGTGGGTCTGGGATTGCTAATAAGGCGTTTGAGTTTGTCGGGTTGCTTCTCCGGCGGGCGGTTGCGCGCATCGAGGCTTGCTCTTGTCTTTCGCCGCAGGGCTGTGTGGAGTGTGTTTGTGATGAGCGATGTAAGGAGATGAATGTTGTTATGAGTAAGGCCGGCGCTGGGGTTATACTGCGGTGTTTGCTTGGGTGGGAGGTTGATGTTGATGCCTTGCCGTGGGGGGAGGAAGTGGATGGTGACGAGATTGGAGTTGAGGGTGCTGGGGAGTTGGCTGGTGGGTTGGAGACTGTTGTGAGGGCCGAGGAGGTGCCGTGGAAGCCTGGGTGTCGGGTTGGGGTTGGCTGTTGAGAGATAATGTGGGCAGTGTACATCATTGTTAGGTTGTGCCCATTCCTGACATTTGGTATCCAGGTGAAAAACCTCGCGCAGCTATGGGACTTTGGGGATCCATGCCTCAAGGGGAGCCAGCTGCCTGTGTATATAACTAACTAATCGCATCTGCCGGCTGGTTCCAAATGTTATACAGACATAAACTCAGTATAAGAAGTGGTTAAGCATTGACTTGGGATTCAAGGTTCCCGAAGTCCCATGCTATTCGTGGAAGCTCAATGTAACCTTAACTTTTGGTTTTCTTCTATGTCAAGTCTCTCAAACTCTCGAAGGTTGAAAGAGCTTTTTGATAACTCGGTGATTTGTAGCAGTTGAGTGGTTCGAGGCTTGCTGTTTCGCTCATGTAAAAAAAAGAAGAGAATGAACCGTTGGAGATTGGATGTATAAATAAGTAATGAACGGTATCAGTCAATGGTCCTATAGGAAATTGGGTATAATAAATGTACATCAAGTCATGACCGAGAAAGACCACATTGGGGTCCGGGAGAAAGGAGAGATAATAGTGTGGCAAGGTAGATAGGCGAGGAGGGATATGTATGTGATGATGATGATGATGATGATGATGATGATGATGATGATGATGATGATGATGATGATGGGGAGGTGTTGGATGAGACGTTATATGGTATGGCTAATTCAAGAGAAGGCGAAAAGAAGGGAGGAGGCGCGAGAAAGACTAGAGCAAAGGATGAAGCTGTGAGTCGATATCCAATGGACAATGGAAATTTGTCATGTGGTATGTGTGTTATCCAGTCACAGGACGGGAGTGGAATGTGTCGCCTGGGCGTTGTCAGGGTAAGGGTAGTACGCATGTATGTTTGGTGTGTTTCGATGTGGTAATGTCAAGAGAATAGTAGCAGTGAGCTTCCAAAAATTGAAGCGGAGGCTGTGCTCATGGTCAAGAACTCAGGAGCCGAGGATGGTTGATTCAACGACAATGAAAGCCCCGTTCACTCAAGACCACTATGAAGGGCTCTGGTTGTCACCGTTGTCATCCAGATTCAAACCCCCGAAAAGAGATTTCATATCACGAACATTCGCGCGCATCTCATCTTGTGGCCGTGATGTGCGTTCGCTGGTCAAGGAACGAATCTCACGGACAATGCTTGTGAGTCCTTCATCATTAGGGAGCCACCAATGGTGAACCTCTGGAGCTTGCCAGATGGTAGCGAGCCCGGTGCGGAAACTAGGTGCGATGATGTACCTATTCGCATAGATAGTTCCTGGTCAGCTTTGCTCTTGATCAATCAAATCTAAAACACAGATATGCCGGCGGTAGAATCTTACCCATGTTGCTCCAACAATGCCAACGTGCGGCGGGACCACATTTGATACTTATGCTCCCTGGGAAGAAACATGCTAACCATGCCTATGCTGTTCTTGAAATTCATGCAGTATCCATTTTCCTTGTAAGGCCAGCGAATCATCGTCTCCATTAGGCGGCACAGCTCTTTGGCCAAGTCGTGCAATTCTTCAAGCAAAGGCAGCTGCAGGACTTGCATGGTCTGGAACTTGTACATTAACTCGGTGGCGATGATGTCGACCCAAGCATAATTGAAATCCCACAAGGCACCACGATGCAAGCCACCTGGCACGTATGGATCGGTAACGTCATCTTTAGTCAAGGGCTGCTTCTGCGGGTACTCTTGCACTTTGTATTCGTAATCATCGAATCCCCTTAGAATCGTCTTGGCCTGCTCGAGCCACTGGCCCAGGTTCTCGTTCTGGATGGCGAAGTTTTCTATTGATATCATGCCGCGAGATAACTTTGCATAGAGGGAAGCCATATCCAAGCCGAAGCGTCGGTTGATTGATGCGACAAGGGCGAGTTGTTTGGATGGATCATCTGGATAGATGGCAGCTTGCTCAGCATCATACTGCTCCTTTGCAAGATACCAGTCTCGACCGAGGACTGTTTCGGTGCCGCCCAAAATTCCCACGACTACATCGAAGCGCGAGTACCATAAAAAGATACTAGTATGTAGCTCGTTCACGTTGGCGGACTCTGGTGTGATTAGCTCTCGCATGAGTGCATGGGCCGCCTGGTGGTGATCGATCAGGTTCACCCAGTCGCCGATGTATTCCTATAAGTGCAACAAAGTCAATTAAAAAATGTCGGTGCAGTAGTCATAGAGGGCAAAGAGCAATGTACCTCAAATGTTGTCAGGACAAGAACGGTACACAGTGTCGCCTCACTGTGCTCCTCTCCAGAGCCCAATGATTTCCGGAGGAGGACCAAGGCTTTATTATAGTATTTCAAAAATTTGGAGATCGTTCCCCCAGGGCTGTGTAAAGAATGGTGGTAGGCCGAAAAGCCCACGAGGGCGTAGAGGAGAGGCTCATAGTGCAAGGCAAGTTCGACAAGGCTGTGGTGGATGAAATGGGAGCAACCCTGTCTCAAGAAGAAATGCGGAGGAGTCATAAAATCTTGCTGGAAATTTAAATAAAATCGCAGATCGTCTGGTAGGCGCGCGTTGTTGAGCAATTCTGTTGTGGAATGTCCCAGGCTGCCCGAGCGCACGCTCATCGATTCAAAGCGCGACTCGGCTGACGGCGAACTACTTTGATCTTTGATGTAAGAACTAGTATCGGACGAGGGCCTTGCATTGTGTTTCCGAAGAGATTGTGCGCTTTGACTCTTACGCAGATCCGGTTGTGATGTGGTTGTACCGCTTGCTGGCGACGGTCGGTATTCGGACACAGCATTGTCGGGTTCCTCTTCGTCGATGATGGGCTGCAAGGGGCTGAGAGTCTCGGAGTCTAATTTCCTAGGTGAATCGCTGCCGTGCGACTGCGGGCGACCAGCACGCGACTTGGCTGTAGTGCGTGAGCTAGCCTTGGATGTGGACGCGGTGGGTGACGGATACACACAATCGCGGCTGCCTTTCCTACACCGTTCACAGACTGGACGGTTCTCGTCGCACTTGATCCGGCGCGAACGGCAGGTAAAGCAGCCGCTTCGGGTGCGTTTGTGCTTCTTCTGGTCCGAGAGAGGTTGGAACAGCGATTGTTTCTGGGAGGTATATGAAGGGGGTACTATCATCGTAGGTGCCGTGGAGGGATCGTGCCAAAACGCAACACTCTCAGGATACTGTGCCGGGCCAAACAAGGACTCCTGTTTCATTGAGTCGAGGAAGCCCGACATGGCCGTCTGGGGTGACTGATCTGAATGCGCCATTGTTCACAATACCCACCCAAACTGATTTTATTCCCCTAATTCCCGAGTCAACGTGAATCATTTTAATAGAAGCTAGGGTAGAAGGGCAGTTGGTGGGGGTTGAAGTAAGTCCAGACTAACCTTGGAACCGGGGACGTGCGGAGATTAAAAGGGAAGAGAGGGAAAAAAGATGATTCGACTATAAAGATGACGGATTTAACATAACGAATTAACTGATTTTCTTTTTTAGTGCCCTCCAAAGAAGCTAAATGATCGACTGGTATGTAATACATGTATGGAGTACATAGTACGTTATATTCGCCCCAAAGAGTAGATATATGGGAATATAGAATATGGAATATGTGGATATACTATGGGCTGATCCAGGAGAGCTCCCCTCCGGCTAAACTTGCGGAGCCACATTTGGGGCTTGTATTTTCCCTTCAAGGTCATCTTGACGCGTCTAGTTCAATAGATAGTTTTTTGGGGGTTTTCTTTTTCATATCATATTCTCTTTGGACCTGGCAAAAGTTCCAAGTTACATTTACTTCTGAGATGCAAAGTACTTTTGTAAAGAGTACTACCCTAGCTCCTGGTCTTTCAACTTAAACATCCTTTTTAGACAGACAAAATAAAAAGCAGATCTCAGCGGACGAACTTCGGGTCTCGGCGTATCAGAAAAATGACAGAGAAAAAAAAGAAGGGACAGAATAAAATATTAAAAAAAGGGGAGGGGGGGGGGGGGACGACGATCCTAAGCCACAGAGATAAATCCAAGCAATTCTGGTCTTAGGGCTTGGCCAGGTTTATGCAGAGGATCATGATCAGAGCGTCTATGGATCTATCCCGGTCCCCCGAGCCCTTTTCGGTTTATGGTACAGAGTAGGGGAGATGAGCTAGTGGTATATTCGGCAGTTTTTGTGCTTTCTTTGGGTCGAAAGATGGAGATGGATCTCCGGATATTTTCCTCTTACCTATTTTTTTGCCTTTCGCTTTTTTTTTCCTATTTACAACATATCGATTGCCAGTGGATCCATAAAACTAACAAGGGTCATCAACGGCGATTATGTGTTAAGCGCCGGCAAGCTGATGATCATTTCCTGTACTATTCCGGAGCAAAGTTCGAACGGCGAGTCCCGCAATGAAAAAAAACCTAAGCCCGGCAATTTCGAAACCTTCCAGGACGATAGAAAGAAATTGCCGAAAACGTTCTATTGACGGAGATCGGGTTCTAAGTGGAGACGGCTAGGGTTGATTGTGGGAATCTGGATGTTCTCATTCGACGATTGGAGAAGCAATAGTGCACTATGATTCATGGTCTTTTTGCTAAATGTGGGGGGATTTTTGTTTTTCTTTTTCTCATTTCCTTTTCTCATTTCTTTTTCTCATTCTTAACTGGTGGTCAAAGTATCGGTGTGCTATCACAAAATACGGCCACTTTAAAGTATTGCTGCGCCTTCTCTGGCCGGCTGATTCGAGGGGCTAATTACATGTCCGGGGTTTGCGGTGCTGTGGCTGATCGACGATGAGTTGACAGGTGGGCCTATTTTGTACATAGATCGAGAAGAAAAAGGACACTAACGCTCTTGGAAGCCTGGGATCGACTCCAATATCGGCGCAAGTGTCTCAATTCAGCTGGAAGCTCCGTCCTCTTGAATGATCCCTAATTTTGACCCTCAATATAAATGGCCGAAATAAGGAGAAGGGGAAATATCATAATGCATATAGGTTGCAGCCCCAACCAGATGATAATCCCGAAGCATAAGGTTCCAAAGCTCTGGCCACATGCATCCCATGGGTAATGTCTGGGCCGTGCACGGGCATTCGCCATCTGGGTGAGATATAAGGGCTAAGACAACGCTAGACCATAGACCCATATGAATACCACTTGACGGCCCTGAGGCTCCCAAGCTGATTATTTTTTTGGGGGGGGATTTTTTATTTCGCAACTCCCCTCCGACATATAGTAATGGTACCCCATACATCATGCATCAGTTTGAAGTAATTTCCCTGGAAGATTGTTATAGATCCGCTATAGATCCTGCGCGTTAATGTCCCCACTAACTCATTTGGCACTATGCCTGATTTGGTGTCATTTCGAGAGCAACAAGGTTCCAGTGGGGACCTGACTGCTAGTGAGATCAGCAGGCAGCAAAGAGTGGTTCTCTGGTGGACTCGTTGAAGATCATATGGCGTTGTGATTTGCAAGGTGCGTGCACTGAACATGAAACTGGAGCTTTATACTCCCATTAACGCCTTCTGCGTTTTGTACCCCTGTTGGCCCTAATCAAATGGAATAGAAAATAATAGAGTTTTACCATGTTATCGGTTTATATTATGCCCCACGAAGAAAAGTGTATTTTTCTACCTAGGTAGGAAATGTACGAAAAAATGTAGATATCGGCCCGAAAGCCTATAAGCCATCTATTGTTACTATAATAGGTTAGAATGTACATACACAGCTTGATTCCTTTTATCCGGCTGGATCGTCCTATATTATATATTGGCCTAGGTGATATAAAGTATAAAGTGGCTGAGAATTTACGCGTACAGATCTCATCCCTAACGGCAGCCGGAGCTTGTTACTTAGAGTTTCAGTGTATAAGAGTATCGAGTAATACCACCCAATAACCTTGGAGGTGTGGTTACATCGCACGTAGTATACATACGCGCAGATGAGGGCTCAGTTATTATGGTCTATCAAAGACACAAGCAAAGAAAATCATTATCAGAGCTCTCAATCTTGCCCGGAACAGATCCCGGTCCACGCCGGAAATGGTTATGATTTTCGCCGATCTTAAGTGACGGGACAGCATCTAATTGAGGCCGGTGAATTGGGGGCCAAAAACAACCCACATAATCCACCAGACCTAACATCTAGTGTGTAGAGGGGGAATAGTGGAGCCATACATAGAACCAAGACGTTGGGAATTGGGTTTGAATCTGTCACGTTGGCGCCACGATCATAGGCCCAACGGCCAGTTCAACGTTGCAACGCTTCCGATTGCCCACTTCCTCGTCTTGGTTGCACTGCATGAACACCTTTCCTCTTTTGCTATGATTTTCCCTCTGCACATTGTCGTGTGGCACATGTCTGACTTTGTCTGGTCAGCTAGCCATGAACTTCTCCAAAAATAGTAGTTCCCTTATTACTCCGTAGAGAGAGGAGGGATTAAGATGCAGCTAGATCCGCTATGCAGGCCTGGGCCTAACATGTGATGAGAATTTGTCCGGTGAAATGGGATTTTGAATCCCTGTTATCAAGATTTGCGAGCCATTTGGGTTATCCTGCATGTCTCATTTCCATGACTATAATTACCATGAGACGTATATGATTTGCCCACGGTAGTCTCGGCATGTTCCTAACTTCCCTCCACAGCCGGCCGCGGCTCTGATTTCTAAATTGGTACCCCAGAACACCCGAAATATACATGCAATATGATGTCTTTTTTTCTGCAATCATACAAGATATGCGGACATAGTCATAAATCGTCAACAGCCCCGACGATGGCATCATTCGGGATTTGTAGTCCTGGGCCAATCACTGGTCAAAAACGCTGATTGAGAAGCGCGTCCCTTCGTCCACCTGGCACTATGCGGAGTAATGTCATCCAAGACAAATGGGTATTCATGCACTTGTGCCTTTTTGTTTCTGCGCCGTCAATTCTTTCACTACTTTATCCACTCCTTCAACAACAACTCCCCACTCGGCTTCATGGACCCGAGTTTCAAAGGTCTCGAGGTTCTCGTCCTGGCCCTTCTGGAAAGGGATCTCCCGCACCAGGATTGGTGTACCCATATCCACCTCGGAAATGACATCGTGCATCATAACACCGGTCTTGTCAATCTGGCCCTCCAACCATGCAGCATGAGCACGGCCAATCGCATTCTAATGATCAGGAAAAAAAAAGATCAGCATATCACACCAGCTAACCAGGTGAACCCCGAGGGGTCTATGACTTACAACGCCATTGAATGCTCCCGGCAGCGCGGGGTGCAAGTTAATAATCCGCGTCTTAGCAGCCTCTAGAGGCTCCAAGAACTGCGGGGAGAGAATGTGCATGAAGCCGAGACACACGACCAGCTCTGGCGCATCGGCAAGGATCAGCCTCGCGAGCTCAGCATCGTATTCCTCGCGCGCAAGCTGGACACCCTCCGGTGTCGCGGGGTGCTGCTTCTTGTACTTCACAAGGTTGTGGTATTCGGTTGGGATGTTGGCCTTGCTTGCGCGTTCGAGGCCGAATGCGGTTTTGCGGTTGGAGATTACGCGGACGATTGTTGCGTTTAACTGACCTGCGGCCACCTTATCGATCACGGCTTGCAGGTTTGAGCCATTGCCGGATATGAGGACTGTGGTGCGAATTGGGGAGGCCATAGTGGATTGTAGGCTTATGGGTCTTGGGTAGGTTGTATGGTGGGGGTTTTCGTGAAATTGCAACTTCGGAGTTTGAAAGGGTAGGAGAGCACGCTTGAAACTTTTTTTTTTCAGCAACAATCAGGTCAATTGAGCGCTGCCGTTGATAGGGAGACTGCAGATGATAGTCTCAAAGCGTATAGAATAAAAGAAATAGCACAAGATCGCTGGCGCAAGCCAACAATGGGGAGTGGAGGGGCCCGGGGATTTTTTGGATTACCTAAGTCAACCGCGGGGCAGCGGGCCCCGAGACTGTAGATGAGTTGCTATGGACTATTTACACAAAATATTAAACGGTAATAATTATAATAACAAAAGTATCCAAGGCTGGTTACGCTGCATGGTATTTGTACATGATTTCAATGTGTGGAACATTTCCGGCCAGTCAGAGCCATGGGTATGGTATGGCCAGCGGATGTGTAAATCTACGATAATAGACCGAAAAATTGAAAACCAAGAATTGATAGATGTAAAGACTAACATTCTCAGGGTTGAAAGTCTGAGTTATCTCCCAAGAGAGTTCCTTGTTTCTAGGCCCCAGGAGCAGATATTCAATAGCCCAACATGATAAAAGCACCTAAAGTCGATGCACAAAAATGAAATGCAAAGGGGATATCCATGGGAAAAAAATTCGTTAAAGGTTCTAAGCACACGCTGCATGCTAAAGCTAAAGGGAGAAGTATTCAAAAGTCAAAGTTGGGAGTCGGGAGTTGCTCACACGGTTGGTTTGACCATGCTTGATAGGAGGTGAAAGGGATCAGACGGCTGTGCCATCTGGGGTTGGAGCAGGAGCAGAAGCAGGGGGAGCACCATTGGGTGCCAGATTATCGGTGTTGGAGTCATTGCTGGGGGCTTCGTTGACGCCTTGACCTCGACACAAAGGACAGGAGTTTCTCCCAGTGGTTAACCACTACGATATACGGTCAGCAATCGAACAGATCGAACAAAATCGGTGAAGGTAACAAACCTGGTCTATGCAGTCCTTGTGGAAGACATGTTTGCATTTACCCAGCTCTCGCACTTCCTCGGCCACCTCATAATCACTCAAGCAGATCAAACAGCGCTCCCCGTCTGATATTTGAATGGCGCTGGTGCCTTCAATGGCTTCGGCGACCAATGAACCTGCATACTCAACAAGACGGAACAGTCCGCCAGCGGAATTGACGTCGGTTTGAGAGGCAACGGGGGGTTTGGCTGGACCCAACAGTGATGAAAGCAGGATCATATCCTCGTAGGTTGGGTTCTGTTTGAGAAGTATTAGCCACCAGGTTTCTGATAAAGGCCAGTAGCGCATTCTTACATCGGTGAAAAGACTTGGTGTCGTCAAAGCCGGGTGATTTTCAGAAAGATTAGTTCCAACAACATAGATTAACCAACTGCGACCTCCGCTTGGTGGGGGTTGATCGGGTTCGACCATGCCGTTACGTCGAACAGCACCAGAGCCGAGGGCCCGATGACGCGCATACTCAGAATCGCTTCGGCGTCGCTGACGAGCGGTATTGAACGCCATAGGCTCTTCCAAAGTCTCCGCCGTAGGTTGCATTGCCTGGCCTTCATGGAGATGGGGTAGAATATCTGGAGCAATCGCTGAAGCAGAGGATGGTCTACGGCTCGGAGTGGAAGTGCCGGAGGACAAAGCAGACACTCCCGGTTCTGCTGGGGTTGATGGAGGTGGGTGCGGACCGGGAGGGCTTTCAGAGAAACCAGAGGGATGGTAGGACGGGAATGCAGCACGGGGCCCGGTATCAGACATTCTTCTAAGGGCATTGGGGACTGATGGGCGTGGAAATTCTGTAGCTCCGGTGGGAGTGTGTAGCCCTGCAGGGCCCGGGTGCCGAGGAAGGTGCAATCTGGATCGCAAATCACCCCGTTGGGTAGGGTCAACAGTGGCATCTTGAGGCCGTGGAATAGTATTGGGTGGCAAAAAGGGTAGGCCAAGCAGAGCATCTAGACCGGGGCCTGGACTTGCAGGTTGTTGTTGTTGTTGTTCAATATTACCTCCGTTTCCAGCCGGGACGGATCGAACTCCAACGACAACCAATGTAACTGTTCGTCCTTCGCCTTCAGCAGGCTCGTCAATGTCCATTCCATCGGTCTGGGTCCCGCGGTCGCCCGCACCATTCGCGCTCTGCCTCGAAGCGCCTGGGTCCGTGGGTGATTCTGAATTGGCAAATCGGAACACACGCAAGAAATTGACGGGATGTGAGGGTGCTTCATTTGCAGTATTGCTTGACCCCTCCCCTGTTGTAGCAGGTTGGGCTTGCGCAGAAGTCGCGTGCTGCAAACTCTGGATGAAATTCTCCAGAGAGCCATCTAACCCGTCATTGCCCAATGCTTGGATATTAGGCAACGCAGGACCGGCAGTGCCGGATAGCTGAGCTGCAATTGCGGATGCGGCAAGCTGAAGAACTCTTGACAGAGGTGTTTGTTCCTCTCGCCGCAGGACTCTGGATGATCTCGCTCGGATGATCCCAGGCAATCGGCGCATCAAAGCAGGACTTGGCTGGGTAGGAGATGAACCAGTTTCCGGCTCCCCAGCCTGGAGAGCAGGTTCTACTGAATCAAGTTCATGAGGCGGCTCGCCGAAGTCCAGACGCGTGTCCATGGCCCTATCGTCAAATAAGGGATCTGACATTTGGAATTCTGGGCTTTCCTGGGGCCTCAAATCTGAGTGTGGCTGACCGAACATGTGTGAAATGGGAGACGAAATCGAATGACGCATGCGTTGTAGCCTGACACTCCGACGCCAGGATGCTCTTGTGGGCTCGGGTATTTGAGATGGCGAGTCGATATACGTCGGATTTGCTGGTGCATCTGGAATTCCAGCAGACTCCGCGCGGGGTGGAATAAAATATGGTGCTCGAGCGGATCGGCGCCGAGTAATTCCTCTTGAGCCGAGTGAGTTGAACGCACTAAACCGACCGGATGTGTGAGCGGTCTCGGATCTTGGGATTGGCATATGAATTAGGCCATGTCGATGTGCATGTCCCTCCGCCGGGGTTTCTTCTTGGCTGTTGAGAAGTCCACGAATTACTGAATTGGGAAGAAGCCTAGAGCCCAGTCTTGACATGGTCGATTGTCTCCGTGCTGCCATTCGAGCAAATGCCGCAGTGCGGTATTCCCGGGGCGGGAGCTCATACTCGGGCCCATCCTCCTCCTCAATACTCCGCATGGGTTGCGAACCTCCAGTAGAGAACCGGCCTGGCCGGTCGGATGACATATCTTGGTCGCTCCTTGTATACGTGTCCGTGTCTGTCCGGGGCGAGAAACCACCCTCCCCGTTGTGTTCATCCGCCTGTCTATGATTCATGTCTTCTTCATCCCTTGTGTTAGGGCCACGCTGTGTCGAGAAAGGTGCAAGGTGTGCCGGGTAGCCAGTATTAGATGGATCACGATGCGTAGAAGAGGACTGTCCCATAGTAACAAAGTTGTGGCAGTTGGAATGATGCAAAGAATGTCAACGACTGTTCATTGCCACGCGAGGACCATATGGCTAGTAGGGGCGACCGTATCGATGTGGGGTTGAACCTAGGAGATGGATATAACGAGTGAAAGATACTTGACTGATGTACAAAACAGATGTTGATTTATTGCCCAAGCTGATAGGGTCGATGCAGTTGATTCTCGAGGGTGATTCTGAAGAAGCCGTGTATTTTCGGACCTTTGGAACAAAGGAGTGGAGAGAGGACAGGGTGTTGGCGGTTACCGGGTTATTTGCAACAGGTACGAAAAGCGTAAGACAAATTTCACTGCCCAATATGAGCAACAGTGGCCAGAGGTTTCAAACTGTCTAGCGAGTTCAGGCACAGCCCACACTCCGAGTGGTATAACCGCCGAGCCTTGAATCTCGGGGAGCTATGGTAGCCACTCTCAGGAAAGAACAGCCAGCGACTGGCACACACGAAACGGAGGTAAAAGAGCGCCGGGGGAAATGAAAAGGGGGAACTTAGAGGAAAAGGAAAAGGAGTAGAGGAGTCATATCAAAGTAAGTAATTGATAGAGGACGATAAGTGAGGGTGTTTGCCTTCTTTGCTTCGATTTCTCTGCCTGAGGCACCATATTCCATTCCGTCATCTTCCACCACCCGTCTCTCTGACAAATGCGCAACCATCAATTGGGGCAATCACAGCCTAGGCCCTAGTACAGACTGCTACGGCTCTTACATTCTTTGGCGGCGCATGGAACACGCCCCCTCTTGAGCATATGGCTGTGCCTTCGTCTTCGGTTTTTTCTCTACCACTACCGTCTTGGCTCCACCCGCCTGGTACTCGTATATCTCAATATGACCGCCGGAAACGCAAAAGGAGTGTGGGGTGGAGTGAAAGCGATGTGGATGGCGAGGAAACAACTGATGTAGCCTCTGCTACGGAATCTGAGCCGGCTGGGGCTCCCTTGGTATTGACGCCGAATGAATCCCATCAGTACCGAATTGCCGGTTTTCCGTCCAACCAAGAGTTGCCGAAAGGCCATTTCCCTCATGCACAAGATAAGGATGAGCAACTCAGAAGAGAGACTACCTCACGCCACCTCAAAGACTTGGCGGCATTATCACCTCCAGTCTACCCTCCTCAGTCGGCTCAGCAAGGCAACATTCGCTTCCAACATCTGGGTGCATTGACAGCCATTTTACATCGATGTATGCTCCAAGGTGATTATCTTCGAGCCGGACGAGCTTGGGGCTTGATCTTGCGCGAAGATTACAGAGGCTTTCGAATGGACGTCCGCAACGAAGCAAGGTGGGGCATCGGCGCTGAAATCTTGCTGCGGCGTGACGAACAGGAAACCCCAGCCAATCCTGGTACCACCAAGGTGCCGAATCCAATGGAAAGCACACGCGTGAATTTTACCACCAAGGCCTTTGCGGCAGCCAAAGAATATTATGAGCGACTTATTCTCAACCATCCGTTCATGAAATCTTCACCACAGTCTATTTCCTCTTTGCACTTCTACCCTGCAATGTTTGGGCTTTGGGTATATATAACCCAGGAGGAAAGCAAAGCGAATAGGAAAGATATTGCTCTTCGCCAAGAAGAAGAGCCTGATGAGTTTTCTGAGGACGACAATTCAGAATCTGAATTCGGCCACCGTCGGAAGTCACAAAACAAGGCAGGTGCTGCCATCGCAGCTATCAGGGCACTGGAGTTGGAACAGGCGCAGCAGATTGCTACCCGTATGGACCAGCTTCTAGGATCTCCTCCATACTCTGATTCGCCTGAATTGCTGGAGCTTAGAGGGATGATCTCTTTGTGGATCGGTGATCTATTCCTGTCTGCGCTATCATTACCAGCAGACTTTGAAGACCACGACCCCGATCGGATGCTCATGGATGAAACTCCAGGCTCCCTTGAAGCAAGACGTGAGCATAGGCTTGCAACAGAGAAGAAAGCAACCGAAGTCCAAAGGTCGATTGAGCTCTTCGAGAAGGCCAAGAAACGAGGCAGGAGTGTCGCATACAATCTGGAGCATTTTCATATTGATCATGACTCTCCTGGTTGAGATGACGTCGATGTTCTTCTGCTGTGGAACTGCTCATGTAAACTTGTACACATATACCCCCAATGAATTGCATTTTATTTACAACTAAATACCTCTCTCGTCCAGTATAATATGTAGAGTTCGTTGTATGAGTTATATAAGACATCTTCATGTGGTTTTGGTAGCTGTAGCATGCACGATGTATCCAAGCAAGCATCCATAGATGTCTGACATTTATGCAGGGAGATCACCGCTAGTCCAATCCCACAATACCGTAGATGAGGCTTGAAGACGTTTAAAACGATCGGCACGTGACTACGCGGCGATATCGCGTTTGCCCAACAACCTTACCGTGGACTGATCCCCGTCGTCTTTCAGCATTATCAAAAAAAATAACAAATCTCTTCATTCCCCTTAAAATACCTAACTACACGAAGAATCATGGGGGTTGGCGATTATGTCCACTCCAAAGAAGGTGGGCAGGTTCGCGGAGCCCCCGATCAAGCCCTCCAGTCGCGCCAACAACGTGCAGAACAAGCCAGAGTCGAGGTGCCAGTCACCCAGCTAGCCGATCCAGGTATTCTGGGTGTCGATGGTAGAGGTGGCTCACTAGAATTTCATGGTACATCTCAATTTCCCAATCAGCCCCGCAATCTTCCTACAAATGGAATGCAGCGGGACAGGGACGTGTTTGATACAGACGTGGAGGCAATCGATGATTCAACCGTGGCGGGAACTAGCGTCTACGGATTTGATGACAACAAATCTCAAGCAGCATCAAGTACCAATGCTGCCTACATGAACCCCGGCAATCCACCGTCGGTGTACCAGCCCCGGCCTTCACGGCAGACTTACGGCTCTAATTGGTATGAAGGGCTAGGCGACCAAGCCATGAAGAAAGCTGGCTTTGATTCGGATGACTTCAATGATTTTGGAAGCCAAATGACCTCGTCTTTTGGTGGAGATGACGGGGATAACGAAAAGCCCGACGAAAGACACGACTGGCACGTGTCACACAAAGCGCGTACGACCGAGGAGCCATTGAGCAAGCGCCTCGAGAATTTCTGGTCCGCCAGCAGAAAGAGAACTACCTCGCGGCAGCCTGTTCCTGTAGACTCTGACCCCGAGCCCCAGACTCAACCACAACTCAAGTCCAAGCCGCGGAAATTGGGTCAAATGCTTCCTCCTACTGGGCCCAGGAAGATTGTTCTTCCTCATAGCTCGTCTGCAACACCTAGAACACGCTTCAGTCCGCCAAAGCCTTCACTTCTTGAGCAACTCGACCAACAACTCGATGCATCCCCCACTCGCCATAACTCTCAACCTCCACCAGATGTTGACCGGTCACTCAGTATTACATCGTTTCAAGAACGTACTGACAGCGACGGTGGAAGTGATGATGGCATGGACCGCACTATACGCGCGGACGAACGACGGGAAAGCGGGGGGCATTCAATTAATGCCTTTGATATGACCAGTCTGACCGACCTAGATATCGATCACACCATGCATGATCCCTTTTTCGTGCACGAGTCGCACGAGCCGCCGCGTCGCAGCCGTCGCAACACTGTCATACATTCCAAAAAGCGCTCATTTGAGGCTGACTACCCCCCAGAAGTTCTTTACCAAAAGTCTTTCTCCGAGCTCCAAGCTGAGCCCTTTGACAAATCCCCCACCCCTCCACCTGTCGTCAAATCACCCTCTTTGCCACCAAATCCACCTTTTGTCCCAGACACCCAAGAGCCCAGAAATGCCGTCTCCCATCTGCTAGCTCTGACGGACCAAGAACGCCTGACTTATTTGTCCCACATGACCATGGATGAATGGGAAGACTGCGGGGACCAAATGATCGATCGTTTCACTCATCTTCTTTCAGAAATGAAGAACCTACGACGTGCCCGTCGCCGCACAGCTGCTGTGTTTGAAGGCGAAGTCAAGCGCCGTCATGACCAAGTTGAAACACAAAATTTGGAGTTGACGAATAAATTGACCGAGATGAGAACCGGCGGCGCAGAGGTTCTGCGTGGACGCCATTCATGAGTGAGGGATAACTCTCTTGCTCGGCATGTTTCCATTGACCCTTATGTTGTTTGAGATAATTGTGTTATGCCTTAAATTATCCACGGTGGGACTTGATTTATTCGTGTTAATACCCCCTTTACGCTTTCGCATCTTTTTCTTTTCTCTTCTTTTTCTATTATTTATTTGGTGGGATCCTACATGGAGGCTGGACTTATCAATTTCGCTTTCATATGTTGGTCTGAAGGGTTCATTTTTGCTAACATGCTGTATGATATGGACAATGCGTAGCTCACTCCTGAGGTCGCCAAAGCTATGCTATCTAATCCAAGGTTTATTCGCCCAAATGAAATGTAATACCAGATATAATAACGCCATCGATCCATAATGCAAGAATACTCCATCTTTCACTGCAATCAATGAGAAGATGGGACAAAAGAAGTTATCCAACCATAGGAACTTATCGAGAATCGGCAGTGGGTTTACAAAGCGCAGCAGCCAGTCTCTTATAGTCCTCCAGTAAAACAGTTACGTCACCAATCCGGAGATCGCGCGCATCCTGTGTCTCAAGGAACCGCTGGATTGGAGGATCGATTTTCAACGAGGTAGGGAGCGGGCTGATAGGACCACTAGCGCCGTCTGCTGAGGTAGGCGATGGCTTTGACCTATTCAGTCCCGATGGAGATACGGACCTACCGCTGGGGGTTTCTGGTGTGTTGCGGCCAAAGTTTTTCATCATGCCCGGGATGTGGTTCAAAGGATTGAGCGTGTTGCCAAAGTTTCGCATTGATTCTAACGGAGTGGGGCTGATGGCTGAGTTCGATGCAAAATCTTCACGCAGTGATGTCGTGATGGACTTTTTACCGCTCTCTTGGGTTCGGGTGCTGTCCACACTCCTGTCTCGGGGAGTACGGCCGCCGCTAGAGAGATCTGTGAGTCTTGAACTACTGCGTGGGGGTGTGCTTTCATCCACTGAAACAGAGTTGATTGCTGCGAGCTCCCCTTGGGTCAGGTTTTGGTTGGCAGCAGAGGCAGGCGGCAAAGACACTAAGCGGCGAGCTTCGGCCAATGTCTTTGGTAGTATTGGTCCGCTACCCTCCGGGCCGGGTCCTTGGATGTTTTGCATTTCCTTCAGACGACCAAACAGAAAGTTGAAACTGCTGTCCAATGTAGCACCAATGTTCTTCAGGCTCTGGTCGGCAGTGGTGCGCACAGCATCGTTTGCAGCCCCGAGAACTTTAGAAGGCGGTTGGAAAAGGTTGCTAAGGCGTCGTTGCTGTGGTGTGACAGAGGGTCGAGGCCTGGGTAATGTAGAGGCGGGTTCTTTGATTTCTGGTTTTGACAATTCCGGCGATGCAGATACAGTCGTCACAGCCAGTGTTGTAGCCTCCTTGGGGGGGCGAAAAGGATCGACATGGTCTGTGGATGGTGTCGTTGTCTCACTAGGGGTTTTGAGAGGGCCATCTTGCAACTCGTCGGCACGCAGTGTGGATAGATCGACATTTTCCAAAAAGCTTATTGCGGCCTCTAAATTGGTCAAGCAGTAAGCTGTTTCTCCATCAATTCTGTTTGAAGACCTGAAACGCTGGATAAAAACCAAGTTGCTGACAATGTTGATCCCTTCAGGGGGGCACGTCACAAGCGAATAGATCAGCGTGGGCAGAATTTCGTCTGCAGAAGAGGAAGACGGCAAAAGTTTAGTAAGGGCATCGACGATAGCCTTGTGTGCCGCTGCGAGTTGCTGAAGCTTTCCAAGGGGGTATTTGTAATCGTTCATCTTCGCGAGATACTCTCGGGCTTGACAAAGGAATTCGTTCGCCTCGTCCTGTTTCTGCTCATCGATCGCTTCGAGGTCTATATCGATCCCAAGGTCCTTCAGGTTAATGCCGACCAGCAGCAAAGCCGCAGTCTTGGAACGCAACTTTTCGTCTCGTACATCATCCAAAGTACTTTTGTGCCTCCAGAGTTTATCATAAACCAGCTCGCAGACCCTCCGTTCGGCAGCCTCTTCTAATGCATTCCGTTTGTTTTCGAGGGCTCTACGGGCCTTTCGCCTTTCAGCTACTTCGGACGCGGTCAACATTTGGCGACCTTGAGCCCCTTGCCTGACATCATCTTGAGAGCGTTTGCTGCTCAGTTTCGACAGTGCGCTTCCCCGTGGAGCTTTTGCAGGAACCTGAGGCGAAAGATCCCGGTTGATACGAGTTATGAGAGCAGATATATGTGTGGCAATGTGGGACTCGGCGCGGCTGTAGAAGACTTGGAAGAGCTCGGAAATCTTCTCGATCGTGGGAGGCGAGTTGTGTACTCTGGCGCTCAGTGAATTCACGAAACTATTAGCGAGATAGCTGTTAGAATAAAATGTTGAAACATGGGCACCAATATGACCACACTTACCGATCTGCCAAGCTGATTAGTTCGATCGGTAGCTCCTCCGAAGGGTCTTGTACGCTTCGCGAAAGCACAAAGCCATCATCTGTTTGGGTATCGCCTGCGGTGCCAGAATCTGCGGAGCCCCGTCTTTCAAATACGTCAGGTCCATTTTCCTGCCCCTCGTTATTGACAGGTGAGGACAGAGGTGCTGTTTCGGAGTCTTGCTCAATCGTGGGAGATTTAACGTCCGAGCCGTCCATCCTGGTGTATGACCGTGCTGAATGCAAATGAGGCTGAGAGCTATTTTCAGAGGGGCCAGACATTTTAGGGCCAGGGGCGATTGGGGTCTTAAAGGCACTAATTGCGTGTCTCCGCTCCCAGGTGCAGCTGATAGGCCTGTGCCGATCCGCGTCTGAGACCCCCAGTTCTAGCCTGAGCCTGTTGTCCAGAAGTCAAACCGAAGGTACTCCGTACCAAACACGGAGTATATTGCAGCTGATCAGTAGCAGTTCATTATTCTCCTAGTAATCGTTTCAGAAGATACCAAATTGACGAGGAATTGGATTCACACGATATCACGTCACGGGGTACTAATCACGTGCCGATCGCTCTCCGCACTGCGTCACTTATCAAGTGCCTCGCCGATAGCCGCGATAGACTCACATCTCCTTGATCTTGATTCTCATCATCACCCCCCATCATGCCTCGAAAACGTTCATACTTTAACCTCAGCATCCATAGCCTATTATTATCGGCTGCAGTATTATCAGATGCTGCCTCCGCCTCAGGCTATTATCCCCCCTCTCAACAAGTTCCCATCATCCTGCCCCAGATACCTTTGAATGGGGCCGGAGCTACACCAGACACACATGAGTTTGTAAGATGCTTTACGCAAGCTGTGTCATCCTAGCTGATCTGTAATAACCGTTAATAGTCACTACGCCACATCTTCCACCGAGGTACCTACGAACAACCCGACCTTCATGCAAGACTCGACGTCAAGCCAGACACTCGCCTTCGAGCTGTATCGGAAGATGGCCACGAAGAACAATATATTGCATCAGAGAACCCCTTGCTTGCTTTATCTAGTCCTCTTACAATACAACGGTTGGCTGACCGACGACTTTCGGTGGTTCAAGGTCACTTAGCGGCTGCGCGGTCTTCTGACTTTGCGGCCGCTTTGTCTCCACTGGATTGGGTCATGGACACCTTGCCTGGGCCGAATATTACAGACAAGCAGACCGTCTTGACATTTGCACAAATGACCGCAAATGACTATATCCAGGAGCCTGGAACAGGAGAGTGGCACACCATCCATGGACAGTTCAACTATTCAGGAAGCTTTGGTTGGCAAAAGGATGGATTGAGAGGGCACATCTACTCTGATAAGACAAACGACACTATAGTAATTTCCCTGAAGGGCACTTCACCTGCTCTTTTTGATGGCGCCGGTACCACGACAAACGATAAAGTCAACGATAATCTATACTTCAGTTGTTGCTGCGGCCAAGGAGGCTCGTATCTATGGAGACAATCCTGCGATTGCCAGAGTGCTACATTCACAGCAAATCTGACATGCATCGTCGAGTCTATGACCGACGAAAACCGTTATTACCAGGCTGCGATCGACCTATACTCTAACGTTACTGAAATCTACCCGGATGCGAATATTTGGATGACCGGCCATTCGCTGGGTGGTGCGATGACAAGTCTGGTTGGACTGACGTTTGGGTTGCCTGTTGTCACTTTTGAGGCCGTTCCAGAAGCATTACCCGCAGCCCGACTTGGCCTCCCAAGTCCGCCAGGCCATGACTCCCGACTTCCACAGTCGCGACAGTTCACTGGAGCCTACCACTTTGGACATACAGCAGACCCAATCTATATGGGAACCTGCAATGGAATTAACTCTATCTGTACATGGGGTGGTTATGCGATGGAGTCAGCATGCCACACCGGACAGGTGTGCACGTATGACACCGTGGCAGACAAGGGCTGGCGTGTCGGTCTTGGTACCCACAAGATTGAGAACGTGATATCAGACGTTATTTTGAAATACGACAGTGTCCCCTCATGTGTCGCAGAGGAAGAATGCTTCGACTGTGAACTCTGGAAATTCTTCCGAAGCAACGGTTCTGAAGCCACAACTACTACCACTACCAGCACTACCACGTCTCCCACCAGAACTTCTACGTGCAAGACTCCCGGATGGTGGGGTTGTCTGGATGAAAGTACAACCGCTACCACTACCACTACAACTACGACTTCACAGACAAGCACTGCCACTACTACGACATGCATGACTCCTGGCTGGTTCGGGTGCAATGATCCTACCACGACAGCCACTCCAGCACCCACAGTGACTACCACCTTACCCCGGTTCACGGTGACTGTAACGACTAGCTGTCACGACCCAGGGTGGTTCGGCTGCCGTGACGAAACGAGCACGGTAGCCACGACTACGGCCGACTCTGCCTCGCCCACTTCTGCGACATGTCATAGCCCGGGAAGGGTGTGGGGATGTTGGGATGAGTCCACTAACACGCCTGTGATTACATCGGCGCCCACTCCAACCAGCTAAACTTCATTCTATCCCGTGCATGCACTTGGAGCATACTTTTGGCACCCCTTTCTTCTGATTGATCTGTCGGCTCTTGAGAAGCCGCAAGCGCTAGATATACCCACCCACTTTTATGATTCGTTCCGATCTCAATCTGCTTTGGGTTTTCCTTTCCCTGCGATATACAAGATATACTATTGGCGCATTGAGCGCATTGAGCGAGCATTTACTTTTGTTTTTCATTTTTTTTTTCATGGCCCTATGTGAGCACTCGAGTGAGAGGTTGTTTTTATCATTACTTGTACCAATTCCAAAGGAAGCACTACTCGAGATTTTTTTGCCGAAGCACAGGTAAAGATCCTGGAAGGACTCACCTAAGGAGGTTTTGCATCGCTATCATACCTAGGTATGACAATTAGATTATTTCAATGAACTTGTTGGGTTTATCTCCGGGGTCGGATGTCGGGGCTTGCCGATCTCGGATCATGCCGATAGAAGTTGCCCAGATGAAATGTAAATCGAACTACTAAATTGGTATAGGCTAAAGTGGGAGAAAGACTTGACCTTCCTAAAATTTCTCTTGGTCTAGCCGCAGTCCATTTACAAAGCGACTGTCCCGATGCTTTAATCTCGGGGAGTGGACCCAACAGGGATGACATCGGCTCGGATGCGATTGGGTATCATCATGCACACGCCGCTTGCCATCCATTTGTAGATATATGCATTTATTATACACAAGAGTAGACGACCTTGTGATGTCTTTTTAGTCTGTTTTTGTGGTCTCATCTGTTTACAACATAGATGTCTTTTAAGATAATTTCTCCCCCTCGGTTTTTTAGGTTAGGTAGCAGGTAAATGGCAGAAAAGCGTACTTTGAGCAAGAGACTTCTATAGCCTACCTTTGACTCTGTATTGTAGGTGATAGTGATATCGAGAGACAGTGGACCAATAAACAAGTGGATTTCCATATCAAAATCCTGTGGGGCCATGGGCTTTGGACTTTTCCATGGCTCCCCACAAGGCCCTTTTTTCTTCCTTATATAAACTGGAGTGCTTCCGGGATTTTTCTTTCTCCATAGACAACCTCTGCCATCATGGGTCAAGACAACGAGCCTAGTAGGTTTTATCATCAAGCCCCAGAACACCCCAACTAATGCCCTTTCTTTCGCAGAAACTTACCGCTACAATGAGACTCCGGTCTACACGGCCTCCAACGGCTGCCCAGTACGCCCAGCTCACTTTCTCCTGAATCGCAAGGTCTAATCATCTACATATAGGTCATGGACCCCCAGGCTGCTCAGCGCATTGGTCCCAACGGCCCTCTTCTAATGCAGGATTTCCACCTGATCGATCTGCTGGCACACTTCGACCGTGAGCGCATTCCTGAGCGCGTGGTTCACGCCAAGGGTGCTGGCGCCTACGGCGAGTTTGAGGTTACTGATGATATTAGCGATATCGTACGTACCTGGAAAGCTTCTATAATTCTGCAAAGAGAACACTAGGCTAATGGCGCATAGACTATCATTGATATGCTCAAGGGTGTCGGCAAGAAGACCAAGATGCTCACCCGCTTCTCGACCGTTGGTGGTGAGAAGGGATCCCCGGACAGTGCCCGTGATCCCCGCGGGTTCGCCATGAAGTTCTACACCGAGGAGGGCAACTGGGATTGGGTGTTCAACAACACCCCCGTTTTCTTCCTGCGCGACCCTGCCAAATTCCCTGTCTTCATCCACACCCAAAAGCGCAACCCGCAGACCAACCTTAAGGATGCCACCATGTTCTGGGATTACCTCTCCACCCACCACGAAGCCGTCCACCAGGTGATGCACCTCTTCAGTGATCGCGGTACCCCATACTCCTACCGTCACATGAACGGCTACTCCGGACACACCTACAAATGGATCAAGCCAGACGGCACCTTCAACTACGTCCAGATCCACTGCAAGACCGACCAGGGCAACAAGACCTTCACCAACGATGAGGCAGCCAAGCTGTCCGCCGAGAACCCCGACTGGCACACCCAGGACCTATTCGAGGCCATCCAACGCGGCGAGAACCCCTCCTGGACCTGCTACGTGCAAGTCCTGAGCCCTGAGCAGGCTGAGAAGTTCCGCTGGAACGTCTTCGACCTGACCAAAGTCTGGCCCCAGAACGAGGTGCCTCTGCGCCGCTTCGGCCGCTTCACCCTAAACAAGAACCCGGAGAACTACTTCGCTGAGATCGAACAAGCCGCATTCTCCCCCTCCCACATGGTCCCCGGTGCCGAACCCTCCGCCGACCCTGTCCTTCAGTCCCGCCTCTTCTCCTACCCCGACACGCACCGCCACCGCCTGGGCGGCAACTACGAGCAGATCCCCGTCAACTGCCCCCTCAAAGCCTTCAACCCCTCGCACCGCGATGGTTACATGAACGTCAACGGCAACTACGGCGCCAACCCTAACTACCCCTCTACCTTCCGTCCGCTCGCCCACAAGCCCGTCAAGGCTAGCCAGGAACACGAGAAGTGGACCGGCGCTGTCATCGCCGAGCAGCACCCTGTGACCTCCGAGGATTACGTCCAGGCTAACGGCCTGTGGCAGGTCCTTGGCCGTACTCCCGGCCAGCAGGAGAACTTTGTCGGTAATATTTCCGGTCACCTGTGCGGCGCCGATGAGCGTGTTCGCAAGGCTACTTACGAGATGTTCCGCCGTGTTAACCCGGATCTTGGTGCTCGCATCCAGTCTGCTACGGAGGCACATGTTACTGGTGCCCCGCCAGCACGTTTGTAGAGGTGTTTTTTCTTGCTCATGTTTTCATACTCAAAATAATCGTGGATTCATTCCACATCACTGCATAGATATCTGAGCAACTTGAATACGATTTACGAATTATTTGGTACCATCTTGGAATTTTCAAAAAATATAGGAACGAAGTGCTTCGTAAAGTCATGATTGAAAAGGTTAATATCTCCTTTGCGGGCATTGGAATAGCCCCAACCTTTTAGCAGAGGGCTTGAATGCTCCTTAGAAGCTATAATTGAAACTTCTCTTAAGTTCTTACAAGGTACTAGATTCCGAATACATAATACATACTCTCTTGCAGAAGGGGACTTCCAGATTACGAATTTTGACATAAATATATTCTCTAAATCAACTAAAGACAATGAATGACAGGAACACGATATTTGTAAATAGTACTTCCAATGAACATAAGTGATTTGGAAATGGGTAGTCTTCTTTTAGGGAAGGAATTGACCTATCAATATCTCGTTAGCATTCAATTCCATAAAGGGGAAATATGGATATCATGGGCAACTTACGTGGTCCGCCAGTATAAGTGATACCCGTAATGTGCACGTATGGGTATGTCCGTCTAAAGAGAGCATAGTCCACAGTACTGGGGGCAACATTAAGGTCCATAATGGCAGGGGGAAGAGGGAGATTGTATTTGTAGTTGAAAAGGCCGTATATAGTAGTGTGAGCACCAGCCGGAAGTCTCAAAAACCCCCACAGATTCAATTGATAAATCACTTGCGACCTATCGGTATTGCAGATTAGCGTATGTCCCAAAGCATATCCAAGAGAGAAGAAAACTCACGTAAAATCTCTACAGCCAACCAAGCTGTTGTTGCTGAGATCAAGGTGGCAAGGGAGCAACGTGGTGTCTAGAAGGATCCTAACACAATCCCTAACTGTCTTATTGCGGCCCATAGGTAGTTTTTTCCAGTGGAGCGCTGTCTGATGCGGGCCTTCGTATCCGAAGGTAGACATCATTAGTACAGATCTATTTGTGCCGTTAGGTCCCCGCATACCTTCCAAGTCCAGGACAACCCCCCTGGTGCCAATAGGTGCGTACGGGGTATCATCATCCTCCAACCGATGTAAGAACGTGAGTCGGATGATTGTATGGTTATCTCGATTTGGGTCTTCAGGATCCTTTGGATTTACCGGGCCGACATCTATAAACTCGAGCTGGCACTCAGCAACCTTCTTGTGTAAGAGGCCCGCGGGGATATTCGTTCTATTTACGACATATTCCCGGTTTCTGGTTACCTTAGGGGCTGGAGTACGAGCAGGGCGCGGAGGAGCGGTAGGGAAATCATTGTAGACATTACCGGAACGAAGAGTGCGAGACATTTCTAGATGTATGGTTAGCTCTTGGTATCATTCAATTGTGGGGATTATTGTCGTACTTACTTGCTGTTGTTGACGAATTGGCTGTTGTGTTAAATTGGTTGCTATTAAGCTTGTTGCTGTGAGAGAGCTGACTGTCGTTGATACTGGAATGTTGAGTATATTCTGCGAGGAACGCGTTATATCTTATATATTAGGAGATCTTGGAGGCTAGTAGACAATGAAAGCATGGGATTGTAGGAAAATGCGGTACTGTGGTGATCGAGCAATCCTTGAAAGAGGTGAATATACTATAATTAATCGAGTCGTCAGAGACAAAGGAGCTCCAAACAGCCTTTGAAAGACAAATTCGATCAATACCCATTGCCCAAAGAAGCTATTATTAATCGGTTCGATCAAAGAAGACCCATGAAAGAATCTTATAGTAAAAAGGAACATGCTCGAACTGAGCCCTGAAGATCGAACAGCATCTATATTTAATATTTTGGGAGCAATGTTGGATTAAATATAGCATCAAAGGGAATCTTTTCTGTCCGGCTTATATAGTATACCATGGAATTTTGAAGCCTAAAGAAAGGGAAAAAATACATTAGATGTAGTCCAATTACTGGCCTTTGCATCTATACATATAATTGCTTCCTATTGGATACATGTCGCTGCAAGTGCTTATGCATAGCATAGTAGAAAAGCCTAACTGTAGGAAGATCATTTGCCAAATGAAAATCAATAAAGATATAACATAAAAATCAACCCTAATTCCGAGTGTGTCAAGTACATTCTTGCTGCAAGGGGCCACGTGGTTATGAGACATGCACTCTATACAACTTATACAACTTATATCAATTGTATATGTTTTTTTTTTTTTTTTAATTTATCAGTATATCTACCTAGAACTTGTCAAATGTCAAATAATCTTCCTCTCCAGAAGGCTCTGATTGTGACCCATCATTTGCCCCATCCGGACATCGCCAAGACTACCATCCCGCGAAAATTTACGCTTGGAGGCATCGAGCCCGTCAAATCCCCCGTTTCCCCGCCAAGTCGGCTCATGGGCTTTTATCCTCATTCTGTCTAGCCCTTCGCTTTTGCCGCAGGATTCAATTGCCCCCGGGAGGCGTTAAAGGGACTTTTCGCCGTGGAGTGCTCTCGTGCAATGTTTTCAGCATTGTGGGTACTTTGATTTTTTTTTCCCCTGACATCCGAACCAGGCCCAACCTTCAAACCCAGATCGAAAGTTGTTCTGAGATTTTCCTCAACCCCATTTCCTCTTGTCTTCGGTTATTCCGCCTATCCAAAATGGCCGAACCAAAGGCCTCAGATTTTATCACGCCGGTGGAAGGTCTCCCCGAATATGGTTATTCTTCGACCGCAGGACCGGCCTCGGACTCGTCTATGACCAAAGTTGTTCGAAATGCAAAGGCAGCCACGGAGAAGGAGCAGTCCATGACACTGATGGAGGGCATCCGGTTGTACCCCAAGGCTGTTCTTTGGAGTGTGCTCATCTCCACTTGCATCGCCATGGAGGGTTACGATATTAGTTTGGTCAACAACTTCTATGCCTTCCCGCAATTCAAGCGCAAGTATGGTGAGATATTGCCCAATGGCAAATATGAAGTATCGGCGGCGGTAAGTTCAATCAATTCCAGCGGCCATCCTTCCATTTCTTGGAGTGAGGTGGATTTGCCTCGTCTGGGTGAAGGAACTGACAATTCTCTGGATGTATAGTGGCAAGCAGGTCTGAGCAACGGTGCCTACTGCGGCGAAATCATCGGTCTATTCATCAACGGTTGGGCTTCGGAACGCTTCGGTTACCGGTACACGATTATGACCTGCCTCATACTTGTTAGCGCGTGGACGTCGATCTTCTTCACGGCTCAGAATGTGCAAGCCCTACTCGCTGCGGAGATTCTCTGCGGTGTTCCCTGGGGTGTCTTCCAGACTTTGACAATTACCTACGCCTCGGAGGTGTGTCCTGTGGCGCTCCGAGGATATTTGACGACCTATGTCAATTTCTGCTGGGGTCTTGGCCAGCTTATTGGCATCGGTGTGATTAAGGGCATGTTGAGTCGGACTGACGAATGGGCCTACCGGATTCCATATGGGCTGCAATGGATGTGGCCGCTGCCGCTCTTCGTTGGTATTTGGCTTGCGCCCGAATCCCCATGGTGGTTGGTTCGGAAAGGCCGCACTGAAGATGCGAAGCGGGCCCTTATACGATTAACCAGCCAAAACCAGGGAGATTTCGATCCCGATGAGACAGTCGCTATGATGGTTCACACTACCGCTCTGGAGGAAAAAATCACCAAGGGCGCTAGCTACCTAGACTGCTTCCGGGGTACCGATCTCCGCCGCACAGAGATTGTGTGTATGGTCTGGGCCATCCAAAATCTTAGTGGAAACTCCTTTTCCAACTACTCGACCTACTTTTTGGAACAGGCTGGGTTGAGCTCCTCTAACTCTTACGCCTTCGCCATGGGTCAATACGGCATCAACATGGTCGGCGTTTTTGGATCCTGGTTCCTTATGACACTAGGAATCGGCCGGCGGACATTGTATCTGTACGGTCTCTGTGGTCTATGCACCATGCTCTTGATTATGGGTTTCCTCGGTCTCGTTCCTAAAACCCACAAAGACCAGGCCTCCCTAGCTACAGGTTCCATGATGTTGATCTGGGCCCTATTCTACCAGCTGACCGTTGGCACGGTCTGCTTTTCCCTGGTAGCCGAGCTCTCCACCCGCCGACTACAAATCAAGACAGTTGTACTCGGCCGCAACTTGTACAACATTGTCGCCATCATCTGCGGCGTTCTGACCCCTTACATGCTGAATCCCGGCGCTTGGAACTGGGGCAACTACGCCGGTTTCTTCTGGGGTGGCATCTGCTTCCTGTGCATCATTTACACATACTTCCGCGTCCCCGAGCCTCGCGGCCGCTCGTTCGCCGAGCTTGACCTGCTCTTCGAGCGGGGTGTCAGCGCCCGCAAGTTTGCGTCGACTCAAGTGGACGTGTTCGATGAAACCATTGATAGCCGTGTCATTAATGATTATCGGGCGGAGAAGAACAACCGAACCGATGAGAGTCAGTTGGAGAAAAATCACGGCTTGATATGATGCGATGTGTCTTATGTTTACGACTAATTCTGCTTCTTGGCCCTAAATTGTTAGGCACTTTTGGATGTAAATAGTATTTTTCAGCAAATAGCATTAATCTAATATCTTCATATGAAGACCACACCGAACTTTTCATATCTCCACTTCTCTTATGATCCTCTGAAAGCCCCGTTTCCTCGGGTTTAACCAACTGGTAATGCTTAACCAGAAGATGGGATTTACGTAGACGAGAATGAGGCTGCAGAACGAGAATTATAGGCCGAAGTGAGTTAGATGATACTGCTCTATGTCCTATAAACGAGTCCTCTATTCGACAGCTCCAGCATCGTGAATTACACGCAGGCGATGAAAAAAGCCAGCTTCTTCATTCCAAATGAGCTTATTCCACCCATCATCTATTCATGTGACCACTCAGCCTTCTTCTTTTCCGCAAAGGCAGTCATACCTAGAATAATTGTTAGTGATCCTCAACTCAACCCTACTCACAGCAGATCAAAGTGTCAACTCACCAATTTTCTGATCCTTGCTTCCAAAGAGCGCATGGAACAACCGTCTCTCATACTCAACACCCTCCTTGAGCGACAACTCCTGGCTCTTATTAACAACCTCCTTGCCAGCAATAACAGCCACGCGACTGTAGCTAGCAATAGTCTCAGCAGTCTTATACGCCTGCTCAAGCAACTCCTCCTTACCACCTGGCACAACCTTCGCCGCAACGCCCCACTCACCAGCCTCCTTGCCGCTGAAGTTATTTCCCGTGAGGATCAGTTCCATGGCCTTGCTCTTGCCGACCGCACGGGTCAAGCGCTGAGATCCGCCTGCGCCGGGGATCGTGCCTAGCTTGATCTCTGGCTGCCCAAAGGTGGCAGTCTCAGTGCAGTACAAGATGTCGCACATCAGGGCTAGCTCGCAACCGCCGCCGAGGGCGTAGCCGGAGACAGCGGCGATGACTGGGGTGCGGATGGAGGTGGCGAGGTGGGACCAGGGCGCGATGAAGTTCTCGCTGTAGGCAGTTGAGAAGCTTAGAGGGGCCATTTCTTTGATGTCGGCGCCGGCTGTGGTAGGTTTGTTAGATTATGTTTTGATAATGTACATTTGGAGTAGGGTGATGGGATGACGAGAAAAGAGATGGGCGTGGAAAGTGTACATAGGACATGTACATACCAGCAAAGGCCTTCTCGCTTCCTGTGATAATGATTGCGCCGATGCTCTTGTCATTGTCGTAGTTGCTCAGAGCCTCATTGAGCTCCTTGAACAAGGGAGAGCATAGTGCGTTGAGGGCCTTGGGGCGGTTTAGGGTAACTATGATAGCAATGAGAATTGGTCCAGCAGTATATTAACTGATGTTACATACTCAATCCCACGCCGGGCTTGGGGGTCGAAGTGAGGATGTGCTCGTAGCTACCAGCAGCTGAAGAATAACCCCGGACTCGGGCTAGGTAGGAAGTCAAGGGGACCGATGTCCGAGAAGTGGCTAGACGAGTGCATTGACGGGCAAACATTGTGATGTGTGAAGGAAAATACAATTACTTTTGTTCGGATAATTGAGATTGAATTATGCAGAGCAAGGAGAGAGAATAGCTACGCGGTAACATCATACATGGCCGTTTCCCCGCGACCGAAACGCCGAAGTTAACCGTTCCGAGGTACACGTGAATAGACTAAACCCCTTTCGTCTCTACTGCACTGCCACATATTTACTGTGCTGCCTGTCACGTGCCTGTAAGTGGCTGGTGACTAATCTCTAATCTGATTGGCTTGTTGGCTGTGGACACTTTTCTGTCCTGAAGGCGCAGTGCCTGTCCTAGAATGTCTGGTTTCAGCAGCTTATCTTAATCACTGCTTTTCTTTGCTTACCTCTTTCTTTTCTTTCTTTCGGTGGTCTAGCCCTGTGCTCTGTTCCTCCCCCTTAATATCTTCATTATGGATGTCCCTGAGCCCGATCAGTCGCCCTTCACAGCCGTGTCCGCGCACACCTCTAAACTGACCCGAGTGAGTGTCTCATGAGGGGCAAAGACATTGCGCAATGTCTTTGGATCCTTCATCTCTGAAACTAATCGGCGTAGCCTGACCAATATGCTAATACGTCAATCACAGCACTACCAAGCCTACCTCGATGCCTCGACCCCGTACACAACCTACCGCTGGGTTGGTTCCGGTGTACTCCTGTTCCTCTTCTTCCTGCGCATTTTCGTGGCGCAGGGCTGGTATATCGGTAAGACTCGACGGAACCCCTGAAAATGGAATCGGCAAAGCAAAAATGATGCGCTCCAACCGCAACACGCGAAAGCCATTCATCCACAGCGCTGGGACCATCTGCATAAACAAACCACTAACTCTGGAATCTTAAATCATAGTCGCCTATACACTCGGCATCTATCTCCTGAACCTCTTCCTCGCTTTCCTGACTCCCAAGTTCGACCCCTCTCTCACCCAGGACGAGGGTCTCGAGGATGGTGACGCGGGCTCCCCCAGCCTCCCTACCAAGAAGGATGAGGAGTTCCGGCCCTTCATCCGCCGTCTCCCAGAGTTCAAGTTCTGGCACTCGGCCACTCGCGCCATCGCCATTGGCTTCGTTTGCTCTTGGCTCGCTGTCTTCGATATCCCCGTCTTCTGGCCGGTCCTGGTTGTTTACTGGATCATTCTCTTTGTGTTGACGAGTATGTTTCCCCCCCTTTGCCCTTAATTTGATACGATATATGTATCGTTCTTGTGGGCATCTGTCTAACTTACCCCTTTTTTTACAGTGCGACGACAAATCCAGCACATGATCAAGTATCGCTACGTGCCTTTCTCCTTCGGAAAGACGCGCTACGGCCGTTCATGAGATCTTGTATTTCTGAACTTCTTTCCTGTCTCTGACTCTATATCCACGATTGTTCGCATGTGCATGTCTTGTAATTGTATGCGCACTTGGACTTGGTGAGCAACAGACAGATATGATATGATAAGAGGTGATGGCGCTGGGCTCATGGTCCATTTATGAATTTTCCCAGACTCTTTTTTTTTAATCACTGTTTGCTTAGAGGGCCGCTGTTTTGGCGTGTTCCAGTCTTCTTCACCTGTGAAATATGATTAGACCTGAAGTCAATGAATGAACTGACTTGAAATATATTATTTTTTGAAAAGCAAAGACTCTTAAGGCTTCTTTTTACTGTTTCTTCCTTTTATAGTTCCCCAAATGGGAAGGTCCTATTGCCTGAGACATCTCATATGCAGGTGAGCGGATTTGCGCTCGTCTGATCCTATTTGAGACCTTTTTAGTTTACATTAGATGAACGCAACACATTATTCATCCCAGGATATACATAGAAAAGTCCTTTCCCTGCTTTTTTCTGCTGTCTACCTGCTTATAAAAGTGAGAACGGAGAAAATATCTCAAAGACATCTAAAAAAAAGTCTGGAAGGTCCACCGGAAAGACCACCGAAAATATATCAGAAGGCCGCATGCCAACTAGTCTTGTCATTGTCAAACCACAAGAAGACTATCTAATATTCTCCTCTCGCCTGCTACCTACCGGCCTCCCACTCCAGACCATCCCCAACATGGAGTGATACTACATGGTAGACTCGACCTCAGACTCAGACTCGCACTCGTACTTGAGTGAGCGCCTTAGCACGATGATGGACACGGACATGCCAGCAGTGTTCTCAGCCTCCACTAAAATCACAGTCCTCTTCACAGGTTGGACAACCTCAACCACGACGCAATATGTCTTCACATTGATCTTTCTATTCCTCCTCGCCATCTTCAACCGCTTCCTTGGTGCTCTCAAATTCCAACTCGAGAAATCCTGGTCCCAGCACCCCTCTACCCCTCAAACCATGCTTCTTGCTCCAGTGAATCGACGAAGCATACGAAAAGCAAAGCTCAGTCCTCTTCCAGACTACATACACGTGCACGGGAACGACCCCGAGGAAGAGAGCTTGCCAGTCTTGACTAACAACAATGAAACACTAATCACGTCAAGGGATCTCAAAAGAGATGGCCATTGCAATAGAACTTCATTGGGATGCCTGCTCCCGTCGTGGAAGGCCAGTGGAACGTGGAGTCTTCGCAAAGACGGGACACGTGCGTTGCTTGAGTGTGTTAGGGCTTTGATTGGATATTTCTTGTGGGTAACATCTACGGCTATCTCATATTATCATTTGGTTAATTATTGATATCGATAGGATGCTATCTGTGATGACATTCAACGTCGGCGTCTTCGTTGCTACGCTTTTTGGTGTCCTGGTGGGCGAACTGCTTCTTGGGAGATTTACTCAGGGGACTCCTGGTTGGCAGGAAGGGACTTGTCATGGTAGGGATTGAAGTCGCGATGGCTGCTGAAGTTCCGGGCACTATCTATCTCGCCCTTTGCAACTATGTGGGGTGTTTTGAGAGGTGACTTGATCAGCTGCCTAGATTTTGATTGAGGGGGCTACAAGGGCTTTCGATATAGACATGATCAGCTCATCCATGTTTCATCATTTTACCTAACTCCTTATAAAATAAGAATGCTCATCGATATACCCCAAATAATCATCTACCCTCAGTATAAACACGATCGATCTACTGCTGCTGTACTGGCTGGATTTTGAACTCAGGTCTGCAGACCGTCGACCCTATTCGAAATGGCAAATGTTACTACAAATCTATGTCCAATCAATCCACATCGTCAAGTCCAATCCTCTGACATCACGTACCTGGAGCAAGCGGAACCATAATCGCCCAAACTTCCCGGCAACTGCAATCAATCTCATTGAGGTGCGCGCACTTTGTCAGCGGCCGTCCAGCCTTTGGCACTCTCTTCATCGGGCGATCATAGTGTGCGCATTTAGACGAGCGGTGGCCTCGAATACAGGATTCACTTTGTAGGGTCTGTTGGTATATTCGTCCACAGTCTGGTATAGTCCAAGTAAGACAAGAGATAGCTCACCAAGACCATTTATTACCCTGGGAGTCGAATGGCATATCCCTGGCTTGCTGGTTCAGATACAGATCCAAAAACAATCGTGTCATCTATTGGGGCCCCAAAGCGGAGGGAACATTTGATCTATACATTGAGTGAATATGGAAACATAGTTGCGCAAATGTGCTCAAATCAGCGCTGGGGGGATCGGCCGCTATATAACCTTTTCTGGGGACATGATCTATGGGGATCCGCAACGTTGTAGGCTGCACATTGTAAACCCTACCAAAACCCATGCTTAACCCGTACTCTTCATTCAATAATTACATTAGAGAGATACCTATGCAAGTTATATAATTTGTCTAGGTGTTATAGAGAAAATGTTGGGGACTTACAACCTGAGGAGAGCAAAGCCTCGAAATGGAGATATATAGGTGCATGGTAACTTGAGATAAATTGAGTATTTATAGAACATGTGTTCTACTTTAAAGATTATGGAGTTTACAAAGGTGAAATTCCTGTTACATGACCATAAAGGCCGAAAGCTTGACGACACAAGTCGGTACCAAACACATGGACAGGGCCACATACAGACAGCGGGACTTGTTGAAGATCAGGGCTTACATGTCAAGATGCTCTCTGACTTAGATAGACCCGGAATTATTTTGAAAGAAGAATATTTGAATTTACAAAATAAAGATAGCGGGTGCGGTTAGCCACACTCCTGACTCCCTGCTCTTTTGAAGGCAAGCATACGAAACACTCCATCTAACTCCAGATCATAGGTATCATTAACAGGTACCGAGGCACATGGGGCGTAATTTGCAAGAACCACCTCAAGGAAAAGAAAATGGTGTCAAATTAAATCAACAGATTCTCCACGCTGCTCGACATCTTGCCTGCTGGAATAGCACTGTCTCCCAATGAGAGAGCCGAAATTTTGCGGTCTGTATTGGGGCGGGACAAGTCCTCTGTTTTAGTACAGATCCAGGTCGATGCGTACATATTCACCCTAGAAAAGATGTATGAGCTTTGTCCGTAATCAAGAAAACTCCCAAACTCACCGGTCAATACATGTACCTGGGAAACGAGCTCCCACACGACGAGCAGAGAAACCGTTTTCTTCAAAGTGCTTGATGTACCAAGGATTGATACTGGCGGAACGGAGAAGGATACGACCACCCTTCTTCAAGGCTTTGTTGAACGTTCGGGCTTGGGCAGGGGCTGAGTCCTCTGCGGGATCGAACCAGTCCATTGAGTCCATGACCTGATGTAAATTTAGCATGAAAAATACTACCGAAAGAGAATTTTGATACTTACCACGGCGATAGTCAGAGTTCCCGGGGTGATACGGTTGATCACTTCGTTGATCTCATCGGTGTGGATACGAAGGCCATCAAATGCACCAGGCGTGGAAAGCCTGACGTGTGCTTGAGGAGAAAGATAGGTGGGGTGGCATCTATGATCGCAGTTAGCACGTGTGGTTGGAAGACATGGAAGAAGAAAGCGAACCTCCGTGAGAATTTGCCCTGAACGCAAAGGAAATAGAAGTAGTTGTCATTGCTGATCAATGTATCGTTGATCACAGGGTCAAGAGTATTGACAACATATTCCCAAATCGATTGACCGCTGACGTCCTTGCCATTTTTCATATCTTTGGTCAAGCCGTTACGGCGGAAGAAGTCATCGACGATCATATTTCGCTGGTTGCGTGGCACTCCGGCGGCCTTCCAGGCGAACCATTCGGTGCTCACAATAGCCCAGTGGAGGGGTCGGCTCATTAGCACACTTCGAATGCGAGGCCAGATTTCACGCTGCTCTGCAATACTCTGCGCTTCACAGAGCTTGCGAACTTCACCTTGGAGTCCGAAGATATTGAAGAGCCATCGCACCATACGAATAGCATGACGAGATCCGCCGGTCTCGTACAGACCATGGCCAGAGGTAGAGGTGAAGGTCTGGGTATGCTCGAGCCAGTACTGGAAAGCCTGGCTGGACAGGTGAGGGCTGAGCTTAGAGATTAGCAGTTCACGGAACTGTGCGTGCTTGCCATCACCGAAGATTTTCCACATATCCCGGTGACCCAATGCTGAATAACAGGCAACCTTCAGCTCGAGAAGGTGATTCTGGTTGGGATTCAAGTCCACTGCATGCACCCGGCGAGGGCTTTTTTGCAGATAATCAAGGATGTTGTCACCAGCGCTGGTGATAGCCAGGATCACGTCGTCTTTACCGATGTTCAGGAGCCGGTGGTCAACTCGCGGGTCTTCCCATGTGAACGCGTAGATATACTCGTTTTGGAACTGAGTATGTTTGGGTAGCATGTCGTTGTAATGAATGCGATAATGGTGATTCTGGTAAAAGGATGATGGAAGCGGCAGGTTTGCACTTAGGTTGATCACTGCAGACTCATACGCCTTGGAGCGAATCTCCTGTGTGCTTTTCACCACTGCATTATCCATCTCCTGCTTGTGATTGGCAGGAAGCAGGTAAGGAGACTCGGTAAAAGACGCATCCAGCCTCTCAATAGATTGGCTTGATGGAGTAGATGCGATTTCCTTTGGGCAACCGACAAATATGTAGTAGGGGATACCACCAAGGAAATAATTTCGTTCGCTGGCGGAGATGACAGTACCAAACTTGTATTCCAGATAGTCTCGGCGGGCGGCTTCAAGACTGACCCGGTCGAAGTCAAACCAGGCTCTCCAGAATACACGCCCAAGCCAGTTGACATGGCGGTTGAAAGCGCCGCCGGTGTAGTTGCGACAGGACACATCCACAATGCTTTGGACTATATTTGAATGAGTGACGGTCATGCAGAACTTCGAGGTACTCCTCACCGTAGAAATCGCACACACCCAGCATTCCAGTGGACTTCAAGCGGGAGGTTAATGAGTCCACGACGCTGTAATAGTCTAAACGAATCAATATCGATAGTCTCGAGGAGATCTTAAATACTCACCAGGTATCATTGATAGACTGTAGCTCATGGTGATCAAGTCCACGCCATCACTTGCTGCATTTGTAGACCGCGGATCGAACTCCTTCTCGGGCAGGTGGAAAGACCGGGCATCCTGGCAGAGAACGGTAACGTTCTTCCACCCAAGACGCTCGAAGCGCTCACGGGCAACTTCGCAGAGGGACGGGGAGAGGTCGACTAGGTAAACGTGTTTGAAGAACTTATCTACCGGAAGAAAGGCCGCCATGGCCTCGATGTTGTATCTGTCACAAGTCAGATGGGCGATCTGTATCACGTCGGGGTTCCTCTCGTGCCTACCCAGTACCACCACCGACCTGGAATACGTTAGTGCGCTAGGTCCCCAAGAGAAAAACTAAATACTTACATCCACCCAGACAGCCTTCCCAGCCTTGACTTCTTTGTTGTTAATCTTGTACTTCAGTTGTGCAGCCACAAGACCAAGCATGTCCTCACGACCACAGAGGAGGCGTCGACGAGTGGCATCGTAAATTGCGGCCTGACATGGTCAGCTTGAAGCCATATCTACCATCGTGTCATTTGATCGCACCTGTGTCTTGTAGAAGCTCTCCAGTGCATCTTGTTGGCCCCCGGCCTTCTTATCGTGCGGTTTGATGAAGTTCGCCCAGATGAATTTCAAGTAAGGGCCAGCTCCAGAGTTGGTGACCTTGAGATGCTGAGAGGAGACCAGAAGAACCAGGCCGATAAGAGCAAATGCCAGTACGGCGGGGCCGACAATGTAGATATGCATCCAATCCATGTTCAATATGCAAAGAGCGATGCAATGAAGAGAGAAAGAGAGAAGTGAACGACAGATTCAAATACAAGTCACATTGGCTCTAATTAACCACATGTGCCTCTCACGGGGAGACGCGTGTACCATGTCCTATCACGACGACACATGGGGGGTACATTTGATAAGAGGGAGTGGAGGGGGTTAAGGGAAGGTACAATGGACATGGACTGCAAGTATACCAAGGTGCATTAAGGAAGTAACTTGTACAACCATGGTGAATTGCAGTAGATCATCCGAAAGCAGCAAAGCAAATCCACTGCAAATCTATTCCGATCCAACTCTAAAGACAATTGGGTTCCTGCAGTAGCCCTATATTTGAGCCATTCACAGCCCAGTCACTTCCCATGTGGCCCCGAAAGTCTTGGCACTGGCCGTTGAGGTCCCATCGACCTGGCCCGTGGGCGCTGCTGTACCCTCCCATAGGGCCGCCACCAGGGTCAAACTCCAGGCCCCACGGGCGCCAATCAGCTCCCTGTTTGCCAGCACACTGAGAGTTCCCCATATTTGATGGGATCTCAATATCAACCATTTATTATAAAGTAGATCCTGAACCGGAACATGTTGCGATCATTATTGTTAATTCTGTAAATCAATACATGTATGGTCTTCACTACTTTCAGCCTAATATCCCCGAAGTCTCGATCAAAGATATATGAGAAATATTAGGCGTACATAAAATGGGCCGTTCTCACTCTGTGTTGCTTAAACCGGTCATAAGATAGAAAACAGCAAAGCATTACCGAGACTATGACGCTTAGTAGAATCAATTGCACGTTGATTACTACTAAAATGTCCGATAGCTGTCTAGTTGAAAGCGGTTGATCCATTCCAGACTTGTAGTCAATAAATTCGCATTATGACAACTGTATCTCGAGATAGCTTGACTAATGAGGTAGTAAACTTATCCATGTTTATCACGTTCGTCGCCAAGTTTCCCTTGCTACTCACTAAAGGAAGCTGTCGACAAAAAGGACAACGTCGGGGTGGAAGGTAGCGTTAATAAGCGATGGGTCCCCGGTCTAGACGGCGATGTAATTCTCTAGAAGACGGTCATCATAATCACAACCGGTGATAGCAGGGCCCATCAAGCGCCTCAGAATGGTCCAGCAGGTAGTGTAAGGCACATTTCAAGATAAGATAAAACTTCACTGTAAGAGTGTCGGTTGAGACGCTCGGATTGTTCTTTCAGGAATGGCTGTTCTCGTTTATCTTCTAGTTGGGTTTCTTTTGGGTTTCTTCCTCACTTTATATCTGTTCCAATACACTGCCACACCATCGAGTAGGTCTCTGGGTGGATCTCAAAATACGAAGGGTGAAAACACTTCCAGTACGGAGTACATGGACGCGATATGCAGGCTGCACATGACGCTCCCTTTTTGGGTCTATTGGCCCATTGTCTTCATTGCCTGCTGAAGTGGGTCACAGCCACGACACACCGCAGTGGCCTCGTATTCGGTACTTGCTGTGGCAAGACCCCTGCAAATACTTACTGTGGCTGAATGTCGAAGCAAGGAGGTCTTGATATTCTTTGGGGGGGGGGCAAGTTGGCGGATTGGCGGCAAGTGCGTACTGTTCCGCAATTTACGGAGTACAGTGTTGCCTTTCCCTAACCTGCTAAACTGAAGGGGCGGCAAGTCTGGGTACTTGGAGTCTCCGTAGATCTAGGAAAACCGTCTTCTGGCCCGTGTGGCTTGCTATTCATACTAGACACATTGGGATAATTCGAAACCAGATTCGCCCTTGGACACTTGTCTTTCCCAGCACCCCACTCAGATTGCGCTAAACCGAAGTCGGTTGGAGCCCCCTTCGCTATCGGGAGCTGCCGCAGCTTGTAAAGTTTGATGTCGACTTATATATGACAGCCTTGTTACTGGTGATATTGACTTGTCGACCGTTACGGGGCTGCGAAAAGAGAAGAAAGCTGACATTGAAAAAGGCCCATGTATCAATGTGACTGGGAAAGATGCTTGCCACTTGGAAGGGAAGAACATTCATCTGGATCTGCGAAGCGGGGCTGTCTGCAGCTGAATTCGTATTAAGCCTGCAGCCCCCTAGTTAGAGCGATGTGATCCCATTCATTTGTGATTAGGACGTCCAAGTCCTGCTCATGGATTTCATTTCAGTTCTTCTGCTCCAGTCACCCATGCATGCTATCCCAGTAGTCTCTAACAATGCATACGGCCCGACCAGACCAGACCCATTGGCACCGCGAAATGAGCTTCGTCGGCAGTCCCAATATAGGCGCCACTCTTCTCAGAGGAGATCCCGTCGTACGCGACATTGAGCAATGGTGTCTGCGCAAAGGGCATAACGATGAAGTCGAGCCCGCCTTGGCCGTTCTCTTTTTCAACACAGACTCCGCTGCTGAGCACTATGCTCAGATCAAGGCCCACGTTGCCGCACAGGTAATTCACCACGTCTCGCAAACCGACAGCATAGAGCCGTCAATTGGCCCTATTACTGACCTATCCGCCTTCATAGGCTGGTGTAGGCTATTGGGCTTACGAGATGCCCCCGGGTGCGTCTTCAGCCGAGGTGAAAAGCCAGATTCAGCGCCTGAACCAGGATAAAAACATCCACGGCATATTGATCCAGCGTCCGCTGCCAGAGCATCTTGATGAACTCAAGATCATGGCGTCCGTCAACCCGTTAAAAAACATTGAGGAGTATTGTGATGGTCAGACGGCCAACATTGTCGCTGATGCCCTTACTCGCTTGCTCTCTAAGTATGGAAAACTCGACCTGGCTCGACAGTCCACCATCCATATCGCAGGGTTTGGCAACATGATTACCGACGGCTTCATTTCTCACATGAGGCATCATTATCCTCACGTTAGCGTCACTCCACATCTACCGCGCAACGGCGATAAAAATCTCTCAGCCCATCAGTTCAACGAACACGACAACGAACAGCAGCACTCCCTGCTTGTCACAGAGCTCCATCACGGACCTGGATATATCACGACCGAGAAAGTTCCCTTGGACGTTGTTACAATCGTCGATTTGGGATTCTACACCACAGCGAATGGTACAATTGTTGGCGACGTGGACCACAAGGTGTATGAAGAGGCGGGATTAGCCATTGCTCCCACTCCAGGCGGGTTACTGCCTGTCTTGTTGTGGGTGATGATGGAAAGAACAATTAGAGCCAAACTAAAGCTCGTAGGAAAGAGACCTCCTGGCTGCTGTGCATGTCAGTGAGTTAGGAATTGAAACACTTGCCATCTCGGCTGCGCAATTGTGAAGGGTACGTAAATCAGACATTTTTCGATAGCTTTCGTAAGGAGGGATCTAGTTTACATTTAGTTAATATCTATTCTCGTGTTATCCTTAGCCATAAGACTTTTCCCGGCTAAGTGAGCACTCACTTTCGCTAATAACGTTTAACGATAGCGATGCCTTCTAAGGTCTTTAGCTTAAAGTTCGGAGGGAGCCATCTAAGACTACGAAAATATTCTAGTCTAGCTCGAGTTTCCTCGTAAAGAATAGGATCGGTCTAGTATTAGTGCTTATTAGTTTAAGCCGGATATACGGGCGTAGGTACCATAGAGGAGGTCAGATATAAAGACTAAGGTAGAAAATTCGTGGTGTGAGAAACGATAACGTTAAGGTCGGCTTATGGCGTGGGTAACGAGGATGAGAGAATAGGAGGTATAAGGACACCGCAAGGGAGGGAAGGCGAAGCATCTTATAGGCGCTTAAATGAACTGGGCGAAAAGGGACTTAGATTTGGCTGAAGGGGAGCCATTTTCGGCGTCGTTGTAGTCGCTAATGGAAACGAGGGGAATAACTGTATAAGTCGAGCGTTGATATCAGGACCGGAGGATGACCAAAAGTGCTTGCAGTGTTACAGGGCAGTGGGCGGTTTAGGGGGCGCTGACGTCCAAAGTTACGGGTGGAAAGGCAGCCGTTTCTGGCCTTAAAAGCGGTCATTTTCGGCGTCAATTCCACAGGTCCTGATATTCTAGTTAGAAAATGAGAGGGCAATACGACTGAATGTAAAATCAACCTGTGTATATACCTTAAGCTACATTTACAACATGAGACGATTAATTGTGTACATGGCTACGTTGATTAACGATTGACTATATGTAACGCCATTTTCCATTTCTCAGACGCCAGACCCATGGGAAACTACCTAGGTAGAAACTTCGAGATTGTAATGTTCAAAAAAAGATCCATAATACATAATAGACAGCCGCCAATATCACTCGTCATCGCTCATGCGAGTATCCTCATCAGCTGGCTTCTCTGTCTCCTCGTTCTCCAATTGGTGCTCCTCTTCCTGAGCAACAGGCTCGGGTGGCATATTGCTTGCGAACTTTGGATCAATGCGTAGACGGGTCAAAGCACGCTTGTAGATTTCAGCCTCGTTGGGGTCACGCATCACTACATGCATCTGGTCAACCCGTTCTTCAGTCTCTTCCTGTTGGGTGGAAGTGGGAGCGAGACCAGCGTGGGCAATTGTGCGGGCACGCTCTGGCTTGAGGCGGGCCTTGCCTAGAATTGGATAGTAGTAAGCGGCCAATTGTCTGCTGTCGCCATTCTTGGGTTTGTAGAGCGTCAGAGCGATGTCCTTTTGCTCAGTGTTGAAGACCTGAGCACTGGTGGCATAAGTACGAATACGATCATAACGGTGGAACTTGTGGCCGTCGGCGCTCTCGTTGGTGTAGAGGTCTTCGCTGTCGCGGTTTGGGTTAGACAGGTTCATGCTTGTGTCAATGTTCTTAACAGAGTGGGGCTTCTCTGGAAGGAAGAGCTGGTAGTCATAAGGGATTGGGCCAGGGTGGGCGTAAAGAGCAGGGTTCGTATGGTGAAGGTTCAGCTTAGATTCATGCTCCTGGCAAACGCGCTGCTCGGGCGCAACTGGTTGCAGAAGACCAACATCCATACGCTTGTCCCTCTTGCCAGCGACGGCTGTCAAAGGCGCCTTATCAAACTTGAATTGAAGGTAACCACCAGGGTCTGGGAACCCTTCCAGGTCGGGCATCACAGGGAAGAAACCGACTGGCTTCAGCTTCGGGTTTTCAGGATGAACCGGGTTAGCCCAGGCGTCGAGTTCAGCCTTTGTAGGAGGAAGACCACGGATGTGGCTATCAGTGTCCTCTCCAGTGTGCTTGCTCTGGGGGTAGGCGATGTCGAATCCTTTTTGGATGAACTTCTTAACATGCTTTGGGTCATCCACAGGAGGCTTTCCTTTCTTCGCAGTGCGTGATTGTGTTTTAAGAGGTGCGGGTCGGGAGCCATCCCCGGCACTACGGTCGACACCGATGTGCTGTGTGCGGCGGAGGAAACTGACATTGGTATTCCTCGGCGCAGGGTTTCGGAGTTGCTCAATAGTCATGAGAAGGGGAAGGTCAGCAGGGTCCATGGGCTGAGGGTTCTCAGGTGCCATAATAGCTGGTAGAGATGTTAGCTGTAGTCATGCAATTGTAGGAGTCTCTGCGTTGACATACCACTCTCATCACCCAAATGTAACCCCGGAATACCGACCAGGTCAATTGGCATTCCACCTTCGGCATCGACTTCAATGTTGGGCTCCTCACGGCGAGCCAGGTTTGAGGCGAAACCGGGGGTGAGGAAGCGACTCAAGCCCTCGTGTGGGATATCGAGAAACTTGGGGGGCATGTCCGGGGGAGGGAGATCATTGCGATAGCGAAGGGACGCAATGTACTCCTGGTGAAAGCCACCTGATGATTGACCCTCCTTAGATTTGGAAGACATATTGTCGTCTTATTTGCTTGCGCGGTTGACTGGGCGATCAATTGCGCATTAGCAACTCGGTGTACGTCTGGAGTGAGTGGGACGGAAGCTCACTGTGATGGACTGGAATAGGCTGGAGTAGACTGGGATAAACTGGGATATTGTCGCCTCAATCCTGGCAACTACAATGGCAGTGCAACTATACAGAAGCCGGTTAGGACAAGAGCTCGATTCAGAATGAATGTGAGAGAATTAGTCGCAAACCTACCGTAAGGGAATCAATGGGTTGTGTAAAGACAGGGACAGCAATATGGAGGAGATGTGGCAGTAATATCAAAGTCCGTGGGTCGGCTCGCCAGTAGAAAGGGCTTATCCAGACTGACCACGAATGGAGCTGGGGTAATTGGCAAAAGCTGCCATACAGACCAACACCGGAGCTGAGCCTGAGAACCATTATTCTGCCTGTGTTCACCGCTTATTTGATGTGCTGTAGGAATACGCGTGGAAATACGGAGGCGATCACGGGAAGTAAGGGATGGAGAACAAAAGAGTGCGTGCACTTATCCAACCTCGTCTCTGAAGGACACTAGCTCACATCTAATCCCACGCCTTTCGGAGTTTCCTCCTGGCTCATCTAATTGTGTACATATATAACTATTCAAGGTACTCCATTGTATTAGAAAAAATATTGAAATCCTTTTGAAAGTGACCAAAAACATGCAACTCCCACGCCGAATTCTCATAATACCATGAATGAATATCCTAAAGTGCACTCAGTAGGCCCACATGCACTTGTACGCCATCAGCCGGGGACCAAGTCGATCATACTCCAGTCTGCCAATCCAACTGTCGTTTGTACCGCTCAGTTTGCCGAAAATGCTGGCTCCCTTCCACACAACGACCTGGGGATCGAGATCTCTGGGCGGTGTCCCGATCATGATCTCCTTCGAGAAGCCAGGGCGAAGAGCCTGCAGTCGCTCTTCCAAGAAGAGATGGAACCCGCTAGTCAAACTACCGCCACCGACGACCATGATACCGCCGATGAAATCCCGCATCTTCTTGTCATCTGAGCGGGCCGCGTGGGCAATGGAGGTCAGGATAGCGTTGTCCAGACCGAACACAGGTATGATATCATCTCTATCTTCCACTGCAGTAGGACGCGGAGCCTGGGATGCAGCGGCCGTGGCAGCGGGTGTGCTTGTCCCTCCTGCTTGAGGGGTTCCTGTGTTCTCTGGTCCTGGAGAACCAGCGACAGAAGATCGAGGTGTGCCCTCCAAATCTTGGACTTTGCTTAAAGCATGAGGGTGTTGCGGGCGGCCTGGTGTGGCGTGAACATCCGCCGCCGCCGAGTGAGACTCGCCATTTGTCTTGCCTTGAGAGGGCAGGGGAGGTGCCATAGCGGTCAAAATCTCTGACTGGGCCGCAGAAGTAGGATCATTAGGTGATCCATCGTAAATGTCAACCGAGCGATCAATCAAGGTCCGTCTGCCAGTAATTTTGTCAGAGTTGTCGAAAATATCAGGCTCAAAAACACCCATTGGCGCAAGGTGAACTTCGTCAAAAGCCTTGAAAGTATACTTTCGTGTGTCTTGGCCTGCCACACGAAGGTGGAAGTCAAAGACTTGTGGAGAAACGCTTGCTTCGTTCATGGTGCAAATGTTCTTCTTAAGCTCTTCGGCTAGAAGGAAGTCGTGTCTACGCCGTAGGTTGATGTCGGCATAGGGGAAATGATCGTGCAGCATCATCTTGATGAATGTTTCGGTCACGTCTTGGCCACCATACTTCAGGTTCACTCGGGAGTTCTCGATACACATGCCTTCTTCCACACAACAGATCGAAGTCTTCTGCGCTCCAATATCCACAACACATGCCGAGGTGAAGCCAGCACCAAAGGTGGCTGCCAGACTCTCTTGGATGAAACACACCCGAGCGAACGCAAATTCTCGCATCAACATATCCAAAACTTGGGTGACATACGACTTGTCGTAAAGATCCGGGATGACGAACACACACGAATACTGAGTCCAATCCTTCTTGCTCGTCAAGTGCAGTTGATTCTTGATCGCATCCTCCACGATCAATGAAATATCCAGGAAAAGAGACCTCTTGCTTGTGTAGTCCTTCTCGTTGCACCAACCATTCTGGATTGGCCAATACAGCTTGTATCGAGGTTTTGAAGAATCTGGTACCCGCAGAGCCGGCTTCCCGACAATATACTCTGGCGGAGGATTAGAGAGTTCGGTCCATTCAGCACGCATTGGATCATTGTGTTCAGAGATGATTTCTGGCACGGTTCTGCGGTTATAGTTAACAACCATCTCCTTAGAGTTTGGAAGCATTCTTCGCTTGTTCTGTCGCATGTGCACCTTCAAATCTGCAGACATCCGATTGAAATGAGACGACCACTATCAGAAAAATTAGTACACTGCCATCTCAATGAAATTGCACTTGACATACTTCAGATCCAAAGGCCTTTTCGGGCTCCATTTCAGATCCATCCTCATGTTTAAACCTCTTGGGCTTAGGTTCATCATGGTCTTCGGATTCGTTGGTGGCTGCTTTCCTCGCAATCACCATTGGCAAGGTCTTCGGCAGTGCGTCGCTGGCAAGTCCAATCCGGAGGTTCTGACTGCCCATATGGATGATAATAACCTTGGAGCCGGCCATCTCGGCTGGGGTCTCCTCCGCATCCTCCATGTGGGTATCGCCATCTGCTTCAGCCTCGCCTTCCGCTGTCTCGGTCTTGGCCATAGCAAGGGCACGGTCGTGATCCTTCGCTTTCTTGGTCATCTTCGTCCTTGCTTCCTCGTTTTGGAGTCGGAACGCGAGGTTTTGATCGTCTCGTTTGAGGTAGTCGCTACATAGCGCAATCAGCATTCAAGTCCTCAACTGGGGCCATGCGGCAGATATCGGCCTGTGTATGCGTACGTGTAGTAGTTCTTCTGGTTGATTGCTGGGATCTGCGGCCAGCTGGATAGTTCCATGTTGTTGTCGGTCCGCTCCAGGCCTATGTCAAGTATTAACTGCTTTGTCGTTGACGGCTGTATTTCACCAGTTCGGTCGAATGATCTTACCCTCATCACGGAGGGCCTTGCCCGACTTCTTTCCAACCATGATTGGTATCGGTCTGTGGTCGGCTGTCTTCAATTGAGACTAATCGCGGCAAATCTAGGGAGTGCGCCGGAGGTAACTGCAGTTCCCTAATTGCACTTCCGATAGTGAGTGGTAGTCGCGTAGAATGCGATAAAAGTGATCAAGACCAGATTATGCCAGAGGGAAAAAGACAATGGGGTTTTCTAAATGAGGAGAGCTCAATCCCGCAAGATGATGATCCCCCGATTGACCGCCCACACCGCACAGGCCGATCGGCCAAAGAACATCCAATGCGGTTGCCGCCAGCGCCTTCTTCTCTTTCACCTCTCTATTTCATCTACGTGTACCATAACCCCATAGCGAGTTTGTCTCTTCACTCGATCCATACGACTTACGCGCCCCTCAACCTATCATCGTTGACTCCATACTTGCCCGGACAACCTTTGAACCGAAGAACAACAACAGTGAACAACGCGCCCACCAATTAATCACACACACCATGGGAGGCTCACTATCGCGTATCTGGTCCCTGCTCTGGTCCAAGAAGGAGATCCGGATCCTGATTTTAGGGCTTGTACGTTGTGTCTCACTGCGTCCGACGCGGGGAAAGCAGGATCACATTAATGTGAACAAGACTGAAACTAATTAATGTTCTTCCGGAGATTTAGGATAACGCTGGAAAGACTACTTTGCTGTACAGACTCAAGGTAAGATATCATGGCTTTGTGGCCTTGGTTTCCTGGCGCATTTGAGTGAGTTATGTGAAGCTAACACCTTGCGCCCACAGATTGGTGAGGTCGTCACCACGATACCTACAATCGGGTTCAACGTCGAATCGGTCACATATAAGAATCTCAATCTTAATGTCTGGGTATGTTTTACCCATCTCGAAGTTCGTTCTGGTCATAATTAACATCCCTGGATTGTAGGATCTTGGAGGCCAAACTTCTATCCGCCCATACTGGCGATGCTACTATGCCAACACGGCCGCCGTGGTCTTCGTCATCGACTCCACAGATATTGAGCGGTTAGGAACTGCAGCAGATGAATTAGCAGCCATGTTGAATGAAGAGGAACTTCACGATGCGGCATTGCTGGTGTTTGCCAACAAACAGGATCAACCCGGCGCCAAGGGTGCAGGCGAGATCTCAGAGGCTTTGAAACTGGGAGAGCTGCGGGACCGAAACTGGAGTATTGTCGCTTGCTCTGCCATTGACGGCAAGGGTATTAATGAGGGAATGGATTGGCTGGTGGTTCGTTTCTTTCCACAACACAACCTGCTGGCTTCTCAAACTAACTATCCCTCTCCTCGCAGCAAACAATCCAGTCCGAGAATGCATGATCCTCTGGCGTTTCTATGTCGGGTTTAGAACTTCATCTTTGATACCTTGGTGTTCGAGTTTCTTGCGCGACTCGGAGACCTTCTGCTGCATTCGGAGTGCTGTACCACTTCTTCCCTTCGACTCTGCCTAGCAGAGTCCTTGTCTTATATTCCTTCATGATTTCTGATGTCAGACCTGCGGCTTACACATAATTGTTTAATTAAATTGTTGACACTGAACTGTGTAAAAGAGCGGGGTCAGATTTACGTCCGAGTTCGTAATTATTCGTATGGATATCCTCATCTTCTTCTTCTAACCTGCCCCCAAATTCGATACCCTTCCAATTGTATCTTGGCATCTGCTAATTGTTTCTGCTTATCTTTGCATCCTTCCTTCCACCCCCGCATCTGCGATACGACTAATGCCGGCTATCGGATCAGACCTCAACTAGCTATTTAAGCCAAGTGTCCTGATTTACAGACTTTCTCCAAGGTGCGATCTTGAATAACTATAGAGCAATATGTCGGTCCCTCCAATTCCCCCAATTCAAATCGCTGCTGTGATCCCACCCAAAAGTACTCCCGTCTCCGCAAAGGTGGGGATCAAGACCAATCGCCCCGTGCCAACTCCAGGAAAAGGCGAAATCCTCGTCAAGCTTGAGTTTTCTGGAGTATGTCACTCGGATATTCACAGCATCCGCGGTGATACGCCCATGTTGACTGATGTCGCGGGTCATGAAGGCATTGGTAAAGTAGTTCAAGGTAAGAACTATCGCTGCATCACGCTGAACGCAGTCCAGAAAATATACTGACATTCGTCATTACACTTAGTCGGACCTGAAGTTGACGAGAAGCAATGGATGGGAACCCGAGTTGGTATCAGGTTTGTCTCCTTCATCCCCAATTGGTCGTCCGATTGAAGTTATATTGAGGCTGAACGCATTTCCACTATTAGATGGCTGTACAGCTCTTGTCGCCAGTGCGAAATTTGTGAAGTCAACCATACCGTATGCCCATATCAGAAGAATGCTGGTGCAGTAAGTTGTTGATCACCGCAAATCATGTCATTGTTTCGATTGCTGATTGCGTGGTTTGCAGAATGTACCTGGAACTTTCCAGCGTGAGTCTTCTATCTCTCAGTGCGACCATCCAGCCCATCGGAACGCTTCTAACATCATGCCTCAGAGTATATTGTCAGCCCAGCACTCCATGTGACAAAGATTCCGGAGCAGCTTTCACCAGATAGTGCCGCGCCTCTTCTGTGTGGTATGTTTTTCCCATTGGTATTTTTGCCAGTACAAAGGCTAATTACTATACTCAGCCGGAATTGCCATGTATTCTTCCATCATGAAGACCAAGACTCGCCCAGGAGACTACCTTGCCATCCTTGGTGCTGGAGGTGGCCTTGGTCATATGTACATTCCCCCAGTTTTCGGTGACTGAAAGCATTATTTTCTGACAAAGATATTTCTTACAGGGGAATTCAAATTGCCGCTAAGAAGGGCCTTAAGGTTATTGCAATTGACAGGTATGTGACAATTCAAGTTGAACATTTTCTGTCACCTTTGTAGCAAACTAACCTGATGGTGCTTCTAAAGTGGAGAGAAGAAGAAGCAACTATGCCTTTCGCTTGGGGCCACAGAATTCCTAGACTACCGCGAAGTCGATATTGTCCAGGCAGTCAAAGACAAGACAACCTTTGGTGTACACGCTGTCATCTGTACTGCCAACAGCGAGCGAGCATACGAACAAAGTATGCATATGTTGCGTCCTTTTGGCACACTGGTCTGCGTTGGTATTCCCAACAAGCCATTCAACCTTCCAGCCACACCATTCGATATGATCGTCAAGGGTGAGTTTGCTCTGATACTTACGCAATTGGCAACATGAACTGGTCTGACCAACTGATACAGGTCTTACTATTGTTGGAAACTCCGCAGGAACAGCGGATGAGATGGATGAGATGATGGCTATGGCCGTGGCTGGCGATGTGAAGGCGCATATTGACGTCTTTGAGTTAGAGGATATCAATGATGTGTTGGACCGCCTTGAGCGCTCGGAGATTGATGGCAGGGTGGTCTTGAAAATCCCTCAATAGGTGTGATAGCCGGCATACTTTAGGGGTTTAACATATCTCTGTCTTGATAGTGAAGAAAATGTTATTACTTCCAGACTTGACGTCCATCTTTCTGCGATTAGAGATGCCTTCCAACTAATAAAAAAAAGAGTAACCCTCGACTTTGGTGTTATTAGCACCACACTCTAATCAACTGAGCTATGGAGCCAGTTGATGTATGAAGCTCAGATTTTGTGCATTATGAACCAAAAAGCGTTTAATCGAGTATAACAACCGCGTAAATCAACAGGGCACTACTTTGAGGGATACAATTTGCGACAAAAATGAGGTAGATTCAAAAGTCGAGGGAAGGCAGAAAGTTTTTACCCGGTCCGGAGGAGGAGGAGTCTTGTGCAAACGGCAAGATCTTGGTCAACGGTAAATGTGCCTGCGACCCAGGCACGGAGATAGAATACGGAACATGTGAGAAGGAAGAGTGCTCGTCTGGCCTAGAGACTGGTAAGACCCGCCCCTTCTTATTCCGAAGATAGTCTAACACTTTTTAGGAAAATGCTATGAGTTCACGGCTGAGAATGGGGAGCGCCTAGTCCATGCTGATAATGTTTGGGGATACGCTGTTGGCGCAGAGTCCAAGACCCGGAGATCTAGTAAATTCAGGTTTTGCAAGGATAAAGAATGTGCTGCGGAGCAATCTATCAACCCTAGCGACAAGTTCTATATCCAAGATGTCCATGGTCACCCCCGGACGGGCAAGAACCCCAATCAATGGCTCAACAATGCATCTAATGGAAGACATATCGCCAAGACTGACGACTTTTCCAAGGCTGGCAAGTTTTCCATCTCGAAACGGCCATGCGGCAAGTACAGCCTGGCCGGTTTCTCAGCTGGTCTCGGGATTGCTTGTCCAGCGTCGGATCCTTCCATGAGCTTCTACGAGAACGACACTCAAGCATGTATGCGGTTTGAGATCACCGAGATTCCCTGTGATATCAGAGAGGATCAAAACAACTGTATCTGGAAGAACAGCCCAGATCAGTGGTGTGGTGGAAAAGTGGACTGCAGCGCCGCCGAACTCTGAACGGCTGCTCCGGTTCGATGATTGGGAATCCCTCCGTTGGAAAAGACTGGGGCTTCTCTTTGGCGGAAACAAGGTCTAGTGTTGATGAGTGTCTCAATTGAAAGGTTGCTGTTGTTGATGAGGCTTCTTTAAGGACCATTTTTAAAGGGACTGCTGTGTGACCCGGAGAGACCTACGGTATTTATTTACTTTGGGGTGTTAGTGACTTGAAAAGAAAGCGGTTGAATAGTTACTGTTGTCGGTGCCTTGGTGCCTCAGGCACCAGTCCCTCAGATAACGTATTCGGTAAGCGAGCTGGCCATCTAAGCGGGCTGGCCACCCCCAAAACACATAGTAAATGCGATAAATTACAACTTGATATCGCAGCAATAGTAGTCTATATAGAGATTTCCTTGCATCCTAATGCTTTCTAGGTAATATCTAGCCTCCCTAGGGAGTTTGGGAAATATATATGTCTTTATGGTTAGGATATATATATTTCTGGCTTTTAGCACTGTAATTTTTAATACCCTGATAATGTACCTTTTCGATATCCCTAAGATTGATATACAGTATTCAAAATCCTTATCAATAGCTATCGACAAGCAGTGAAATCAAACAAAAGTATTGGCGTTGAGATATCAAGTTGTAATTTATCGCATTTACTATGTGTTTTGGGAGGTGGCCAGCCCGCTTGCATGGCCAGCTCGCTTACCGAATACGTTAGTTAGTTTGGGAGTTCGCTCTTTTCCCAATACAATTCTCAAAGTTATGGTGGAATTTTTACGTGGTCCCAGAAGCTGTTATTTTCAGCGCCATTTTCACAGGTCCTTCTGTTCTATATGTAAAAAAAAGGTTCAGTAAATACAGCCCCATCAAATAGAGCACTCTTAGAGGATGTTTATAGATGAACAAAAAGACAAAAGAGAAAGAAACAAGGTTCTAGAAGGGGTAGCCCTCAACTTTGGCATTGTTATCACAATTCTATAACCCAGTTGGTTAGAGTGTGCATGGATTGGACCCATTTAGATCTACTCCTTTGCCACAGAAGTAGCTAGGTGTGACTTTATGCAGGACTGGTGTCAAAATGTGGCCATTATGATGCATTTTAGCTGAATAAATGGTGGTGTAAAAGTTAAACAGACGGCTCATTTTAATATTTGAGCTCGGAGAGACTGCATGTTTAGTGTATCAAAAAAGAATCGACAGAATGAAGATAGCCAGGAGAATGAAGGGAAAGGAGGAGCTATCATGGAATGAGCATTCATACACGCATAATATCTGAAGCGTAGCCAGGTTCGTTAGTCGCTTGATAGTTATAAGGTGCCCTGTATGTTAGGGCTTCATCGCAGTCTTTCGTTACATGGAGACACAGATGATTCAATAAATTACAGTTAGCAACTCATTGTACTTGTTATTCTTATACCTCTCATGTGTAGTCAATTCGACTTAGTTCCTAAGAGTTCCTTGACTTCCCCAGGCCACCTATCCACCCTCTCCCGGAAACTCTCTCTGCAACAACCACTGCCAGGCAACTCACCATCAAACCTTCAAGGATCCCATCGGAATCAGCATCAAGCTCAGCGATAACATTCAAAGAACCCAGAATTTGTCGATCAGTTCTATTTTGCCACACTGCAAGAATATCATCTGGTTTATCCGCAGCAAAGAACTTTAGGTTACCGTTCCCATCACTAGAACCAGCGTCTTTCCCTTCGGTTTCAAGGAGAGACAATGCAGCCTTGGACCCTTTCCAGTAGAATGTTTTGACAGCCCCACCATCAGCAATCTCAACACGGTAAGTCCTACCCATTCCCTTCCGAACGATGTCCATTGAGCGGTGCTTGACAGGACCCGAGGAACTTTTCCCAGAGCCTGAAAGCTCATTTTGAAGGGTATTAGAATCCACTTGGTGGAAGATATCTACCGTCACGTGGAGACTGAATAGACCCTCAAAGCCACGGTAATGAATGTGCGCGCGGTGGTCTTGAGGCTCGGGAGATGGGTCTTTCCGGCTACGTACGACATTTCCACCCGAGTAAAGATCAAATGAGGCTGGCAGATAAAGGCCTTGGCGGTACCAGGGGATGCGCAGGGTGTGATATACTGGGCTTGGAGATTGAGAAAGTCCCCCAGAAGGGTGAACTTGAAGGCAAAAGCTCCAGGCATTTGTACCGAGTGCTACCTGCGTGAATCGATGAGCTCTTCTCTTCGAATTGATAAGGGCCTATGTGGAGACGGCAATGCACCCAGACAAGACTACTAACATACATCTTTGAAGACGTTGAATGAACGGTAGGGCTCCTTTGCACGATTTAGCCGAGGCGCCGCTTCTGTTATAGTATTCGTGAACTTTTGCTGCAAGGGTGCATGCTCCCGAGCAGGGGAATTGTCCTCCTCGTCAAAGCAGACATGATCAACTCCCACAGCCGAAGAGTTGGTTGTTCTTCCTTGCGTCCTCATCCTAGCCGGGTTTTCTGGCGCGTGGTTTTGTGTTAAGATTAAATAAGCACACGAAGGTTTGAGATGAGTTTCTATTCAGGCATAGGGCTGCTAAAGAGTTCGCAATATGTGGAAGGTAGAAGTCAAGTCGGTCATAGCTGGGGTTTAACAGTGTTGCCTGCCCGATACGAGCTTGTGATCATTGTAGATAAGATCGTCAGTCAATATATTTCGTTCATTCTGTACATAAAGCCTATATATTGCTCGAACTATGAAGATAAAATCTATCCCAAGATACTTAGCAAACACCAACAATTACTAAAATTATAAATGAAGATAAAGAAGATGAAGTACGGAAGTGAACATCCAGCGATGTACCTACACGCAAGGCCACCGCCTTAGACATTCTGCATGCCTTATTGACACCGCCCGGATTGTGCAGCAAAGAACCCGAATCCGCCCACGAGCACCGCAAGGGACGTGCAGAATCTCGGATCGTGCTCAATTGCAATTGTAAGTCACTTACCAGGTGTATAGACCTGTATGAACTTTTCCCATTGGCTAGTTTACAATGCGAGTCGATTGGAACTTGACTAGCTCCACGGCCCCAGTGAGAATCCACTATCAATCGCAAAGTACTAACCGCTATATAGGTTCGATCGGGCGTTGCCGTTGCTCCGCCGGCGAAGATAATTAGCTCCACACACATTCAAAATGGCGTGTAACTCCGCAACAATGGCCTGGAGAGCCAGCGTCCGGGCTCGCGCCCTTCCTACCTCCCGCTTTAGCCAACGGCCATCGGCATTGCTACAGAAGGCCCAGCGCTACCCCGGTGCTTCGCGATATGCTTCAGACTCGGCTGCGCCCGCCGAGGCAGCCAAGGAGACAGCGAAGGAAGCTACAAAGGAGGCCGCCAAGGAGATCCCCCGCAAAACGGGCCGTGGCTCCAAGAAGGCCTTATACGGTGCCTCATTGGCCTTGACCCTGCTGGTGGGCTATATCTATGGAACCGACACTAGAGCCAGTATCCACAGATATGGCGCTGTACCCCTGATCCGCCTCCTTTGGCCCGATGCGGAGGATGCACACCACGTCGGCGTGGAGAACCTGAAGATGCTCTACAAGTATGGTCTTCACCCGCGCGAGCGTGGCAACCCGGATAGTGATGGTGCCCTGGCAACTGAGGTAATGGCATTCCCAACTCGGTCTATAGCCAATCACTGATGATATCCGTCTCCAGGTATTTGGGTACACCCTCTCCAACCCCATCGGTATCTCCGCCGGTCTGGACAAGCATGCCGATGTCCCCGATGCGCTGCTCGATATCGGTCCCGCCATCGTCGAGGTGGGAGGCACCACCCCTCTGCCACAGGAAGGAAACCCGAAGCCTCGGGTGTTCCGACTGCCCTCGCAACACGCCATGATCAACCGCTACGGCCTCAACTCCAAGGGCGCCGACCACATGGCAAAGGTGCTGAAGCAGCGTGTAGCTGACTTCGCCTACGCCGCCGGATTTGGCCTACACGAAGAATCCGAGCAACGCGTCTTGGACGGTGAAGCCGGCGTCCCACCTGGAAGTCTGGTCCCGGGCAAGCTTCTCGCCGTGCAAGTTGCCAAGAACAAGCTCACACCGGATGGAGACATCGAAGCCATCAAGCGCGACTACGTCTACTGCGTGGACCGAGTGGCGCCGTACGCCGACATCCTCGTCGTGAACGTCTCTAGCCCCAATACCCCCGGGCTGCGTGACCTCCAAGCTGCCGCACCCCTCACAGCAATCCTGACGGCGGTCGTCGCCTCCGCTAAGAACGTCGAGCGCAAGACCAAGCCCTACGTGATGGTCAAGGTCAGCCCAGACGAGGACTCCACCGAGCAGATCTCCGGCATCTGCGAGGCTGTCTGGAACTCCGGCGTTGACGGCGTCATCGTCGGAAACACCACCAACCGTCGGCCCGATCCCGTGCCCCAAGGATTCGTCCTCCCCGCTGAAGAACAGAAGACCCTCAAGGAAACCGGCGGTTACTCCGGCCCCCAACTGTTTGACCGCTCCGTTGCGCTCGTCGCCCGCTACCGCGCCCTGCTTGATCAGGGACCCCCGTCTGCGACCGAGTCGGACAAGTCTGTCGAGAAAGTGTCTGAGGCTCCCCGGAAGGTTATTTTTGCTTCCGGCGGTATCACTACCGGCAAGGAGGCGCGCGCGGCTCTCGATGCCGGCGCTTCCGTAGCTATGATGTACACCGGTATTACCTACGGTGGTGTTGGCACTGTCACGCGGGTCAAGCAGGAGCTGCGTGAAGAACTGCAGAAGAAATAAGCGGTGTGAACTATGATTTTTTTTTTTTTTTCATTCTCATTTGGTCTTTGATAGATCCTGTAAATAATATGGATATGAACATGAAAAGCAATCTGTATTCGTCATTTTTTTCTGCATGGTTTCTCGCCCGAGAGGTTCGGGATAGGGATTGTATGCAATGGAACGACCGAGTCGGGCAGTACCGAAAATAAATGGAAAAGGGGCATTGATAATGGCTGGAATTGAGTGGATAATGTCTTCGAGAGTGGATGATGCCTTTGGAGAGCTATAGAGCTCGGATTACTCGATCAGTGCAAAACGGGGAGCTCCAGAGTCCACCACAAACCCACATAAAGCACAGAAGTGGACCGGGAGAGGTAGCTCGGCATCGAATGGCAGTTGTTGAAGCTAAAAAAAGCTTTAAAAGTCATCTGAGACCCAAATCTCTGATCGACCGCGTGACGGGTTCAAAACCGGGGAAGTTGTTGGTTTCGGGTTCCCCCAGATAGGCTTCCCGAGAGAGAGAACTGGTTGAGATTTCCACTTTTTTCAGGTTTTTGATCCCATGAGGAGTTTTGTCTAGATGCGCCTGTTTCTGTAGTTTCTTGGTGTTTCTTTCTGTTTAAGTGTGTACTTTTCCGTATAACGATGACGAGGAACCGTATAGCGAAACACAATACCGTAAACATCTGTATAATTGTAGAATGATGTCAAGGTGTCAAGGTCTCAATCTTGGTGGCGAAGCAAACATAGTACCTGGGGGTATGTGGCGTACATAGCCATTAGTGAAGAAATCAAATACATCCTCACGCGACCAGCGTCGCCTCCACCTCACGGACAACCTCACGGACGCCATCAATTTGATGCGCGAACCTGCCCAAAAACATCCCATCAACAGCTTGACCAAGACCACCCTTCCCCCAAAGTCCAGGCCCCGCACTACCCCCATACAAAACACGAGCGGTACCCGGCCGGGCACCAATAACAGTCCGGATCCCCTGCACAACAGCCGCAACGTGATCAACACCCGCCGGCTTGGGCTGTCCAATCGCCCAGACAGGCTCGTAGGCAAAAATGACGGGCGCGTCGGCCGGGATAGCAGCCAGCACTGCACGCACCAGCACCGCACACTCGGTCACAGCCTGGCCGACTGCTTGGGATGCGACGGGGCCCGGGGCGGTGACCTCGCCGACACAAACGAGTGGGACCATGTGCTGAGCACAGGTTGCGGCGGCCTTGCGGGCTGTTTGGTCGTCTGACTCGTTGAAGATGGAGCGGCGCTCGGCGTGGCCTAGTTCGACGATTGTGCAGCCCAGGGCGCGAATTGAGGCGGGTGAGACTTCGCCTGTGTATGCGCCTTGGGATTCCCAGAAGCAGTCCTGTGCGCCCAGGAGGAAGGGTGGTGTAGATTGGGGAGGTCCGGTGGTGAGGTTGGCTTCGTACTCTTTAAGGATTTGGGCGCAGGGCCAGATGGTTAGGAAGTCTGGGATTAGAGCTAGGAGGAGTTTATCGCGGTTTGCTGGGTGGACGATTTCGTTGGATGGTTTGAGGAGTTCGCGGAGGTAGGTGAGGGTGCGCTCTGGGGTGAAGTACATCTTTAGGGAGATGAGGAGGAGCTTCTCCGGCAGAATTGGGTAATTGGATGCCATGGTGATGGTGATGATGGTGATGTTGATGTTGTGAGGGATTGTTTGTCCGGGGGGTCGCGGAGGGAATGTGCTTAGCGTTGCCGTCTTGACAGGGGAATTCTCGGAAAAGTTGCTTTGAACAGAACAGAAATTGTACGCGACAATCAAGTAATTCCAAGTTTTTTGTTGACCATCCTGGAAGGTCAATGTGTCAATGCGCTTGCATTAGCGTCATTTCTGGGCCAGACGTTCCGATATCCCATGAGGTTAGTGCACAATTACTATGGAGGGGTATGAGAGGGGCAGTATAGTGTACTATATACGTGATGTCACATTGGTACAGGGGGTATAGCCATTCGGAGTACTCAATGCCGAGTCTAATGTTGACATGATAGGTCAATGTCAATGTAGGATCAAGCAGAATGAGACAAATCTGATCTTGGCATTATTTGTACACATTGTGTAAAGTGTCTATATGCTACTTATATTAGAGCACGGTATACTTAGAGAGTACATATATGTCGATCCAAAATCGAAAATCCGGAGTACATACAATTGAGAGGACTAACTTCCAGTGACCAACAACATTGGAGACAGTGGAGTTGGAAAGTGGATAAGGCAATGCATATCAATTATGGGGGTTAGCGTCAATAGCCGTACTTGTGCAATTGGGAAAATCAAGTTATGTGTAACTGTGTAGCAAGACATTCAATGTTCTGTATTCTCCTAGATCATCTTTGGAATTGAAGTCCCAAGTTATAGTCAATTTCGATAAGTCCCCCCTCTTCCCGGGTGGGATGCGGCTGGGGCCATATGTATGGACATACGAAGTGCCCAGGCCCTAGCCACCGTCATGGCGGGAAGAAAAGATGACAAGGCACCAGGATACCAGGATACCAGGATACCAAGATACCAAGACATCAAGACCTTGGCCTCGAGGATTTAAGGGAAGCTGAACCGACATGTCTGTGCAAAAAGCCACAGCCGTGCCTTGTCAACCGTCTTCACCATTGACATCGATGGCTCGTGTGTGGCAGCAAGTGAAGCCCGGGGGGCGTAGTCCAAGCCAGCGCCAGCGAGGTTTAATAAAAACATCCCGTGTAATACGAGGTAAGATGCATGTATGGGCCAAAACAAGGCTCCTAAAGTATCCGACCTCGGTTTAACCTCGTTTCGGTACTGACCACTCATAGCCCGTCGTTGGGTGCTATGATGCTGGGGCGGGCCACCCCGGACAATTGAAATACGCGCAATATCAACGGAACCAGGTCTCATTTCGGTGGAGAACAATAGATGATTGCATCAAATGCAAGGATTGGCTCCTTGGGGGGATTTGGGTACGCAAAGAGAGGGGAAGAGAGAGAGAAAAAAAAAAGATATAAAGACCCCCTTTGTGTACTCCCAAATCAGGATTTCTTTTCTGTATAACAATCCCTCCTATCATCCGTTTCATCCAATTCATCCAATTCATCCAATTCATCCAATTCATACTATTCATAGTATTCATACTATTATCCGTACATCTTCTACATTCATCATGTCTACTACTCCCTTCCGCATTGTTATGGCTTGTGACGAGGCCGGTGTCCCATACAAGGATGCCATCAAGGCCACTCTCGAGAAGAGCCCTCTTGTCGCCGAGATCATTGATGTCGGTGTCAACTCCTCCTCCGATAAGACCGCCTATCCTCACCCCGCCGTCGAGGGTGCCAAGCTCATCATGGATGGCAAGGCTGACCGTGGCCTTTTCATCTGTGGCACTGGTCTCGGTGTTGCCATCGCCGCGAACAAGGTGCCCGGCATCCGGGCTGTCACTGCCCACGATCCCTTCTCCGTTGAGCGCTCCATCCTGAGCAACGACGCTCAAGTCCTCTGCATGGGTCAGCGTGTTATTGGCGTCGAATTGGCCAAGAAGCTTGCTACTGATTGGCTCAACTACCGCTTCGATCCCAAGTCTGCCTCTGCTGCCAAGGTCCAGGCTATCACCGATTACGAGACCCAGTTCCGCACTTCTGCTTAGACTGCCATTGCTCTACGCCTCGATACACTGTCTTGAGAACCTTTCTGGTCTTGTCGCCAACCTCAACCCCGCCAATCTTGTGAAAGAGTAGTCAAGTCCGACTTGTCTGCATGATTGTTATGTCTTTCTTAGTTCTCACAGCGCATGATACCACGACCCAGATGTCACTTCCGCTTTCTAGATTGGATTGGAAGATCACATAGATATGTACATAGTGAATGAAATAACTATAGTCAAACTTCAAAGTAATCCCTCGGTAGATTGTCAGTAAATTCTACCCTGGGCTGTGTAGTCCAACTGCGCTGACTCAGACCTTCTGCGGGGATCTATGAGTTTCCAAAGGTTCCATATGTGCAATTGTTTGCGATTTGGAAGATCACAAAAGATACAAAGAGTCCTAGGTATATCACACATCAAGAGTCCTTAAATATATTCATCAGCTTTTAAGAAGTACAACATACATATCCACTCCTATCGCTCCTAAGGTCTATATGGTGGACCGCCCCACATTGGGGGAATCGACACGAGAAGCTCAAGACATCACTCACACATAGACCATGGCCCAAGAACTCAAAGCAAAGGGCAACGAGCTCTTCAAAGCCGGAGATTACACCGGTGCTGAAGACTTCTTCTCCCAAGCGTAAGCTATCATATCCGACTCCTCCGACGCTTCCGCGCTCCCCAACCCCTCACCCGACTCAACCTCGTTCGCAAATTGAAATATCCCTAAACTAAACAACCTCCCCCTTGCATAGAATCCAAAAGAACCCCCACGACGCAACATTCTTCACAAACCGCGCAATCACCCGAAGCAAACTCGCGAAATGGGCCGACGTCGAACATGACACTCGCGCCGCGATCGAAATCTACGGTCTAAAGAACCCCATCGCCCTCAAGAGCCACTACTACCTTGCCCAAGCCCTCCTAGGCCTCCAGCGCCCACAAGAAGCGCACGATGTCGCCTCCGACGCATACCAACAGAGTCTAGCAGCGAAGAGTGCCCAGACGGAGAACCTGTCGCAGACCGTCCTGCGCGCGAAGCAGCAGATCTGGGCTGCGCGGGAGACTGCGCGCGTGCGCGAGCTGAATGAGACGCTGGGGTCTGTGGAGATGCTCGTTGAGGCTGATATGACGCGTGCGCTGGCGGAGTTGCAGGGTCGTTTGGAGCGCGGGGAAATCGGGGAGATTGGGTTTGGGGAGGATCAGAAGGCGTTGCGTGAGGATGCGGAGACTAAGATTAGGAATTTGAGAGAGGCATTTCGAGTTGCTTCTAAGGGAGATATTCAAGAAAGGGTATGTTTTGATACATGGTTTTGGAGGGAGGCTTGTTGACGCTTGGATTTTAGGTTGTTCCTGACTATCTCATTGATGGTATCACATTTGAGATCATGCATGATCCGGTTATTACACCGTCCGGGGTTAGTTTCGATCGTTTGGGCATCACCAAGTATGTTGAGAAGTCGGGCGTCGATCCTTTGACCCGGGCTCCTATCAGTGTTCATGATCTGCGGAACAATTATGCTCTCAAGGCTGCTTGTGAGGAATTCCTTGAGAACAATGGATGGGCGGTGGATTGGTGATCGCTCTCTCACTCCTTGAATTTGTATATTGCGGGAATTCCCTTTTCTCTCTTTTTCTGGTACATTAGCGAGTGATTTCCACAGCATGTGGATGCATCTACTGGCGTGGTTTAATAATTCTGAATTAAGCGAACAAAGATGGATCTAAAGCTCTACTAAGAGCCTACCCAACGTATGGTCTGACACCAACTGGCGAGTATGTCAGCTACCCCCACCTATACCCGTGGACCCCGCCCTCAACCGTCTCCATCCTCAACATATCTGTTCCTGAATTTTACCTCTCCCTCATAACAAACCCTTCAAAATGTCTGACATTACCCCCTTCATCACCGTCCTGGAGGCTGCCCAGAAGAAAGAAAAGTTCACCCCCGAGGTCCAAGAAGCTGCCGCTGGTATCGACATTGCCGCCCTTAAGGATATCTTCGCCAAGGTCGCCGAGCAGGGCGAGTTCGAGAAGCTCGATGATGCCACCGAGGCCGAGACCCTCCGCAAGGCCTTTGAGTTCGCTGCCAAGGCTGTTATGATGCTGAAGACTTCCCCCGGTCTTTTGGAGAAGAAGGACCTTTACATCTACTTCAAGGTTGGCAAGGGCGACGTTATGGAGAAGCCTGGCATGTTCGATATCCAGGTATGTTCGAATTCAAATTAATTACCAGCTCGGGAAGCCCCCGGACTATAGCACATTCCGTTTGAACAAGGCTGGTAGCTGACAGTGTTTTTTTTTCGCAACTTTATAGAAGAAGCAGCTCTACGGCGCCTGGGAGAAGGTCAAGGACTACAGCCCCGCCAAGGCTCACCAGCTCTACATCGACTGCGTCAACACCTTCATTACCAAGTACGGCACTCGCGACCAATAGATGATACAATTGGGAGGACTGGTTTTGGAGAATCACCTGCAATCTATCCGAGGATATATTGTCGGGTGAGATTTTGGCAAAAACGGTTATCTAAATGAGAAGGGATAATCGTATTATCTCAAATCTCTCAGGGCGAATATTACAAATGCATGCTACTTTCCATGACCCAGTACTCGCGTGCCTCATCCGTATACTACATTGGTATATGCTCAGATAACCATGCGACTCACACCCGTGAACTGCTGTGACGAAAAAACACACCAGATATAGCTAAAAAAAATTAAATTCAAAGATAGCAGACTTATACAATCCAGCTCTGCCCCTGCCAGTCCGGCAGAGGATGCGAAGCAGTCGCACACCACGGCTCATCACCTGCACCATACGGTGTCAACGGAAGATCATAAGGCATCCGGAACCCGACGACCACAGAAGCCGTCTCTGCCCCTTCAGACACAACAGGACGATCCCGTTTAAAGCAGGGAATCATCAATGCGTCCGGCGCGGGCGATTTCCCCTCCGCTCGAGATTCAGAAGCAGATGCAGATGCAGCATCGCCAAAACCCCCATCTCGGAAAAGCTCCGGCCAAATAACAACGCCAATCTCCCAGCTACAAATGCGCACCTCGCCACTCGCATTCGTCGCCGCACCCCACGCCTGCGTGGACAGATTCGCCGACGACACCATCGCCCAGTCAATAGTCTTCATATCTGAATCTGCGAAACGGATGTAAGTTTTGATATGTGGAGCTGCGCGGGCGCGGCCTGCTTCGCGTTTTGGCGGATCGTCTTCGGATAAGTCGATGCATTGGCCTGGGGGGATGGAATCGCCTGCCCACTGGCAGAGGTAGGGACGCATGTATTGGAGTTGTTTTTGTTGTGCTGCGCTTTGGGTTTTCATGTGGATTGAGCCGCCGGAGTTGTAGCCGTTTAAGGAGCGACGGATCTCGTCTGGGGTTGGGAAGATTATTGAGTAGGTTGTTGGTTGTGTGGTTGGGGTGAGGGCTTTGAAGAAGACGTCTTTGAGCCATTTGTTTGTTTGGCCGAGGGTTGCTACTGAAGAGATCTTGGAATTGTTAAAGGTTTGTTACAGCGCGATGGTTGTTTGGGGATACGTACCTGGATTACTATATGTGGTTTCTTGGTTGTGGTTTTCTGCTGGATGGGTATTTGGCCCATCAAGTCTTTCAGAGCAGGCCAGCCCCATAGTGTATCCTCTTCTGAGCTGGAATCACTGGCGTGCTTTTTGGATGGGACACTAGCGATGAGGGCAGCGCGAATAGCGCCAAAGTCATAGCTGTCCAACTGCTGCACTAGCGGGCCGGTCTTTTTAGGTCCATACGCTTTCAGATAGGCGAGCATATCTCTTTTGAATCGTGCGCCCGAGCCTACTTTTGCGTCTGTCTGAGATCCTGCGAAACTTGCCTTCTGCAGGGGAAGCAGTGGAGAGCGCCAGGCGGCTTGTGTCATATTGGTCCAGTCCAGAGGGATCATGTTTGCCGTATGGATAATAACTCTGTGGCCATTTTGTCAGACCTAGATCGAGATATAGAGATCAATGATGTCCGGAAGAGTCTTACTGAGCTAGCTCATCGTGCCGAAGAAGAATCATCATCTTGGAATGATGTGTCCCGAAAGGCTCCGGCATATAGGCGACAATAGGCTCAACATTAGGATATCGCGAACATGTTTCCTAGTAGCAGATTAGTTTTATGCCACTTCAAACACTGGATCGGTGATAAGATGCAGTCAAACAGGTGAAGTCAACTCGATTGAAAGAAGTCTCACCAGTGCAAACTTACCTCAATTCGAATCCGATTCGAATCCTCTCTGCGCCACGATCCATGCACAACCTTGACTTTCACCAGAGCTCGGACATCCTCGTCAAATTGTGCCATGAGAAAATCCACATCGAACAGGAAATTAAACTGCCAGCATTCACGGATCATGGGATCTCCGAGAATGTCACGTAGTCGGATGGTATCGACATTGTTACCAGTTGGTAAATCGCGAATATGGGTAAGTTGTACTGGCGAATTGACAAGCTGGACAGGGCGAACAGTGCCTTCAGGGCCATCAGTCAATTCACCATCAGCCAGCCGGGGACTGCCTCGTGGTAATGGTGGGCTAATGGCCCTGTGTAAAGACGTCAGGGGTGTTGCCGAGCCATTACCGGAATCTGATGAGATTCTGACTCTTTTTGAGGGGCGCTCCATTCAAATGTTTCTATGAAGGTGGTTGAGTTGATGGAGGTTGAAAAGGCGGTCGAGATGGACGCGATCACCAGAGACGAGCCCGAGTATACAAAGGCTTCAAATGTTTACATCAAATGTTATACCACACTATTCTGTTACATGTCATAGCTTCATTTCCCCTCATTTTCATAATTCTAGGTTCTTTTCGGTCTCAAGGTATTGACTATTGACCACTAATTTTGTTCAATTTTTACAATTTCATTGCTCATCCTCATATAAAATTCCCAACCCTGAAACAATTTAATTGCGAATCGCAAGCTTCTTGATCTCCTCCACAACCGCATCAGTGACCTGCTTCGTCGTGGCGTTACCACCCAAGTCACGGGTAAGAACTCCCTGCTCGCAGACATTCTCGACACAAACCAACAGCTGCTTGGAAGCCTCCTCCTCGCCAAGCCAAGCAAGCATCTCCGCGGCAGTCCAGAATGTAGCTACTGGGTTGGAGATACCCATACCAGTGATGTCGAACGCGGAGCCGTGGATGGGCTCGAACATACTAGGATACTCCCGTGTGGGATCGAGGTTAGAGGTAGGTGCGATACCAATAGATCCAGCCAGAGAGGCAGCAAGATCAGAGAGGATATCAGCGTGCTAGTTGATCGTTAGTCCACAGATCTAGTTATGCATCATTTCCCAATTCGACAACTCACCAAGTTGGTTGCAACGATGGTATCCAGACTCTCGGGCTTCAGAACCATGCGAGTAGTCATGGCATCAACAAGCATCTTGTCCACAGTGACATCGGGGAAGTCAACGGCAACAAGCTTTGCCACTTCATCCCAGAGGACCATGCCGTTGCGCTGCGCATTACTCTTAGTGACCACAGTCAACAGCTTGCGGGGTCGCTTTTGAGCAGTCTCAAATGCAAACCGCATAATTCTCTCCACGCCATGACGGGAGAAGATAGAAACTTCAGTCGCAACCTCCCATGGCTTTCCAGCGTGGGAGCGGCCACCTTGACCCGCATACTCTCCCTCGCTGTTCTCACGGATGATCACCCAGTCAAGGTCGTTGGGCCCACACTTGCGCAATGGGGACTCGGTCCCGCGGAACACCCGTGTTGGGCGCACGTTCGCGTACTGCTGGAACGGCTGGCAGATGGCCAGTCTCAGACCCCAAAGGGAAATGTGATCGGGGACGTCTTCTCTCGTGTTAATATTACATCTTTAAGGTATTGGTTGTATCTACCTACCAGGAGCGCCGACAGCGCCGAAGAAGATTGCGTCATGCTTCTTGAGCTCCTCAAGTCCACCATCAGGGATATATTTGCCGGTCTTCTTGTAGGTCTCTGAACTCCAATCATAGTTCTTGAAGTCCAACTTGAAGGTCTTCAGGGTGTCGGTCAAGGCATTCAGAGCTGTGATACCAGCATTAATGACCTCTGGGCCAATTCCATCGGCTGGGATGGATGCGATGCTGTAGATCTTTTGGCTAGCGGACATGATGATGTTGAGGTAAAATTCTTGTTTGAGGTGATTGGGTTGGAAGATGGCAGAGAACTCAGCGCGTGCGAGAACCTTTAAAAGGACTCTGGTCCAAATCCTCAAATTTCAGTCTCCACATGCAATTTGCTCATAAACCTATCGCATAGCCCCTCATCGCCAGCCTATTCGACTATAATTGTCGCGGGGTGCAAACGGAGATTCAAATGCCCGGGTTGGGCTATACGGAGGGCCCCACTCGGAGAAAGACATGTCCGCATGGCGAACAATCCTGACTTTTGTAGCAGTAAGCTGAATCGGAAGCGTTGGGGATATTTTCCGCGCAGCTTGACTATTATGCGTATGTTCCTTATAAATTATGTATCGGAAATCACAAGAAATTATTGTGAATCATCCATGGGCCATCAGCCACGCTCCATAAATCGTTCATGGGTATAGATGATGAAAATGGCAAAGAGTCTTGACCAGCAAAACTCGGATTAAAAGCAGGGTTTCCATCAGTCATGTTGCCGAAAATCAGACCAGCTGAAGACTGACCATTGAGATAGTTCTCAGTAGGGTCTAGCGCTTCGGCAAAATTACCAATATTATCAGATGGTGAAAAAATGGCAGAGTCATAGTTTCCTGCAGGCCCAAGGCCCTGGACAGGAGAGCGAGTTGATGATTGGAAAGGATGGATCCCGGTAGGGACTGGACGGGCTTGGTATCCGTTTGATGCTAAAGCTTGAGGTCGAATTGGTGTGAGACCTGTATCGTAAATCCCATGATTTCCATCCCGAACCGGCAGCATTCGTGATATCCGTTTATCTGTCGATGGTGTAGTTCGTACATGGGGTTGAGTTGATCTCTCAACGTCGTCGAATGCGGTAGTAGCCTTGGATTGCTGCCCACTAGATGCCTGTGTCTCGAAAGCAGATTCCATGCCTTTAATAGCCTCGATGCAGGTCTCTGGCCAGCTGCTACCGCGCAATGATAGGTTTTCCAAAATGGCAATCCCAATTCTCGCATATTTGAGAGCAGTCGGTGTGGGAAATTCCTCTTCCCATGCAGCATACATCAGAATCAAACAGGCCATCCACGTTGACCATGTAAAGCCTGGCCAGGAGAGCGCAGATTTCGGTTCACAGGACATGTGCTTTTTCAATGCCGCAAGGATAGATCGAGAGGATCCAATACAGGTCTGCAAAGCGTTCTTGTAATCCGCACTGGGCTTCTCGGACGCTAAAAGAGGTCGATTGAGCGAGATGATAGCTTCGTGCCTCAGGATCATCAGGAGTAGCCGGTGATATGGCTGCAAGATCGGCTCTTGCTCTAGACCAGGTTCTTCCGACTCATCAATGGGATTGACATCGTCATAAACTTCATTCCACCATTGTGCTAGTTCTCCAGTAACATGAGCCGCTTCAACCTGGCTGGCGTGACTGTGGAGAATGGATTTATTACGAAGCTCAACAATCAAACCTCGAATTCGAGCAAATTTCGCAAGATGGCACAGCAAGTGCAATCTGCGATCATCGGGGAATTTCGCCGTTGTTGAAGAATGTCTCTCGGCACCGGGATAGCACACGTCGATGTCGTCATCTCGAATAGAGAATGGAATGCCAAGGGCCTGAGAAAGATATCTTTCAAGGGAATAGATCGACCAGAATAATCGACAACGAATATCCACTTCTTCACTGCTAAAGCAAGAAAAGCGTCTTGGGCAACGATGCAACCCGAGGTGGAATGCAGTGCGGGTGATGACACCCCCTACCCGCGAAGCGGCATTCAGGCGCAGAAGAGATGTGAGTGCAAGTTGAGCGGTAAATGATGCCTGTAGCAGTGGCAAGCTAGCTGGCTCTTCAAGGAGGCTTTGTACATCTTGCATCACATGTTGAATGGATCGAAAGACCAAGACTGAAGGAACGGGACTGAGCTTCGATCCAGACGACGTTTTCTGTCGATTATCACCGAGAGAAATAGACACAATGGAGCGGAGAATCATCAAATCTAGTCTGTTGACCGATTCTATCCCTTTTTGACTGACTATCTCTATGGTTTTCAAGACTGTCGGGGCGTGGAGGCATGGGAAGATTGGATGCCAATTCTCGAAATAGATGCGTGTCCAATTAACAAGATCGTCGAAAGCAAACGAGATATTTGGTGCATAATTTAATTCCTCTCTTTCCCACAGCTCATCTGAGCTTTGAATGCTTCCTGGATTTTGCTGTAGCCGGTCGTCTTCCCCTGGCACTGAGGTTCTGTCGCGGGCTCGTGATTGGTCCAAGTCTGCTGAACGACGTGCAAAGGCATGGTAAACATGTCGGATAAAATGAATTCCACTTGAACTTCCAAGAAATGTCGCAGTTCCGTCATTTTGAGACTCTCTCATAAATCCAATTTCGCGAGGCGAGGGTCCTGAGGTACCCACGGTGGAGGTGCGTTTGCGTCTCTTAGTTGCACGAGAGGAATATGGCCATTTAGACTCATTTTCCTCGACGTGCATGCTGACAGGTGAAGCTGAGCCCATTATTGCTGTAATTTATGTATCACATTTTTTTGCAATTGAAATATCGAAAGTCAAGTTCCGTTTGGAAGAAATCCGTCCCCGTAGTTCGTTATTACGTCAGCGGCAGACGCCATCACCAGATCTATAAATTTGAAAATATTTTTGTATTGAAGATTGTATGATTTCGATTATATTATTTTATTCACATCTTTTGAGAAATATACATCAAGTTCTACTTCTATGAGTCTTATTCTCCCAACGTTCTAAAAGGCACCCTTTCCGGGAGTGCTATCACCCTTCAAAGCAGCACATCCCTGCTCGACATCCTCAGGTCGGAGCAGCTGCATATTGGAACCCTCCTTGTAGGCAAGTCCAACGAGTGTTTTCTCTGTTGGATAGTTAGACATATGGAGCTGGGGAAAAATGGATTGGAAACTTACCATTAGGATTGTATCGGGGCCATCCGAACTTAGTCAAGCCCTCTTCAGGATCAGTTGCAAACGCAACCCAGGCGGAAGCCATGTACTGGGCAATCTCATTCTCCGGGTTGCTGTTTGGAATCCCGCTGATATGCTCTGCAGTTCCGAACACCATAGGCAGGTCGGCACCGTGGTAGCTTCCGCTGTTAGGGTGCAAACGCAGGTTGTCCCAGTCACCGAAGTAGTGGGACTGCCAGACCGGAACATCGCTGTCAACTCGGTATCTTGCAGATGCACCACTAGGGCAAGTGAAAGCGGCATCATTGAAAGTTTGCCATGCGGCATCACTGAGAGTAATATTCGCGTTAAATGCGCTGATGCGATAGTAACCAGGTTCGTAGTGGTTGCTGTTGATCAAATATGGCTGCGGCATGTTAGCATTATTGTTGAGGATAGACTCAACTATATCATGTTTACTTACTAGACGTGCGAATTGGCCTGCAGCAGATCGCTCGGCATAGTTGCCAAACACGGTAACTCCATCCACTGTCGGATGAAACACTGCCTGTGGAGTTGCTGGTGAAGGTGCGGGCGGGACCTTACCACCCGCCTTAACGACGTCGGTGAACGGCTTCTGGCGAACACACTTGACAACTTCTTCGGGGTCACTGGTTTGGTCTCCACAACCGAGAATCTTGGAAGCAGTGTAAAAGTAACTGGCGGACTCTTCTGCAGTGTTGGGCACAAAGCTAAGCGAAGTTCCAGAGTGCGAGATGAGACCGGCAACAAGGGGATCCTTTGCCCAGGCTTGTGAATAATAGTCGACGGCAGAGCCACCAGCAGACTGTCCGAAGATTGTGATACGATTTGGGTCTCCACCAAACGCAGCGATATTCTGATGAGCCCATTCCACTGCCATACGTTGATCCAGAAGTCCGACGTTTTGGGGAAGATTTGGTGCACCAGAGAAACCAAAGATATTCAATCGGTAGCTGGTATTAATTAGTAAGGATATGCAAACGCAGGGCGAAGGGTACTGACTTGATGGTCACCACCACCACATCATGTTCATCCGCCAAGACTTGTCCATCATAGTATGGATTGTTGGCGCCGCCTCCAGTAAAACCTTCGAGAAATGTCAATCTTCTGAAAACAAAAGAGTCGAGGTGAACATACGACCACCGTGGAACCATAGCAGAACTGGCTTCAAGTTGGAGACTGTGGGACGGGTCCACACATTCAAGAAAAGACAGTCTTCGCTCTGGGAAGTTCCCAGAGCCTGGGTAAAGGACTTTACAATTTTGGGAGCCTGCGGAGTAAAGCCAGGGTAATCTGGAACTGAGCCAGCATTTGCAGGGCAATCACTAATTTTGGTCAGATATTTCCATCATAATAAGGGCATAATATACGCACGGGCTCTGTTGATGATACGGTTAGCCACTTATACCACCGAACAAAGGGAGAGATCTTACATAGGCAGTTGCCTGAATGGTACCATTGGCATCATAAGCCACCGGAGCTGCAAATCGGAGATTTCCAATTGGTGCCGAAGCATAGGGAATACCCAAGTACTCAGAGACCGCAGGCCTACGAGGGGCAGCGTGCCCCTCAATCAGTCCACTGCTGGTCACTACGGAGTCACCGATGTGATTTTCTGGGTGACCTGGACATTGCTGTCCCCAGACTGTGGGGAGGCACGAAGCCAGCAACAATGCAGATCCAATTGGATTCCAACCCGCTTTCATTTTTGAAATTATCAACGAAAGTGAGGAAAAGGGCCAGGGCTGCGGAAGTTCAAAGACATATAACGTTCGCGTGCATCACATAGTGGAACCCATCTATATTATCAGGAGTTCCGAATGCCGTGTTCGCTTGGTCACGATGGGATCGCCGATCGTGGCTTGAATTGGGCGAACAGGGGAGCCCATTGGCAATCCACACGAGCTGGGTAACTAAGGAGCTGGTGGGCACAATAATCCTTGGCGACTAATGCGGAAGTTTGACCGGACGATCTTCGTGTAGACCTGCTAGATGAAGTGCTATTTTTCACTTAGTATAACATAACAAGTATAATGTATATTGTATAGTATTAGATTCTGATTTGCCAAGAGATCTCTTGTCAAGTTATATCGTCAGATATATAGGGTATGGACACCCTTACCCACAGACTATTTCGACATCCCTGCACGCCATGTGGAGAGTTCAAATTTTATAGATTAAAAACAATTTGTACAACGCGTGTTCTTCACCTTCCTGGGCTCTTTTTTCTTCGCCGTCTCCATGTGCAAAACGCATTGTTCTCTTGTAAAAAATGTTGTGCCCTAACCAAATACATGCTCGATCTACATTTTCCATGTTCATATACCCTCAAATCACCTATAAGAATATTCTCAATTATCACGTTTATTCAACTCCTGCCAAGTTGGGATTAAGCAATGTTTTTGATTCGCTCCGGGGCTGGGACCATCAATATCGATGCTGAACATAATTACATTGCTCCTGCTTTGATACCACCAATCTAAATCCATATATTTCTTTTCCTCTCTCACGAGGTCCGCTTAAGGAGTCAGGACTATAATATACTACTTAAGCGAAGATTTGCCTCGAACCTCGTGGGGCGGCCTGTATCCGACGATCTCATCGTCGGATAACGCCATGGTTCTGAGTTATCATAAAGAATTATGCTTGTTCCTTTTCCTTTCGCAAACTTACACTAGCCAAATCGACGTACCATGACCTACGAAATTGGGTTGGGCACAACTGATGTGCCTAATCGAGGGTTTCCGCTATGGATATGTAGTGTTGTGATGGTAATTATAGCTGGTCTCTTCGTTTTGTCTAGACTGGCTATTCGATTCCATCAAAGCCAGTTGGGATCAGATGATTGGATGGTTTTGGCATCGCTGGTGGGTGGTCTTCGAATCATTGATGACTAGAATCATAACATTGACACATGGTAGATATGCTCGATTGTTCTCACAGTGACCGAGTGCTCTGGTACGTTATGCTCCCATGGATGTTAGTCACAGAACTCTTATTCACTCAAAACTAGCGGTACACTATGGATATGGAAAACATTCCAAAGATCTCACGCAAAAGGATCGAGTGGCCGCACTCAGGTGGTTCTTTGGCGCCCAGCTCGTATACAAGATTGTCATTGCTGTCAACAAACTCTCCTTCATGTGCCTATACCTTCGGATATTCCCTCAGCGCACCTTCCGGTTGATTTGCTATTATGGACTGGGGGTGATCACTATTTGGGGCACGGCATACATCTTCCTCACCATATTCCAATGCAAGCCCATCGCTTCGTTCTGGGATATCACTATCAAGAACCCAAAGTGTCTAAACAAAGAGGGGATGTGGATGTCATATTCAGTCATCAACATCATATTTGACCTGCTAATCCTGGCCTTGCCTATATACCCTTTGAGTCAGCTACGGCTGCAACGGGCGAAGAAGATTGGTCTTCTCGTGGTCTTCGGAATGGGAGCATTGTAAGTGCAGGTCCCTTTTAAACCTACCCGACAACTGCTCATAGACACAGTGTCTGCGTCACAACGATCATCCGAATCACGACCCTTGTCCAATCCGCCACTGACACGGATCCGACTAGTGAGTTTTGCTTCCCGCCAAATCCACGCAGTATATATAAACTGACACCACCGCAGGCGGTCCTCTCCCAGCCACCATCTGGAGCGTGGTTGAAGCAAACACTGGTATTATCTGCACATGTCTACCAGTCTTCCGACATCCGCTCCAGTTCTTCTTCCCGCATCTGTTCAACTCCTCTCAACAAACCACCAATCCGTATAGTCAACAGATGGCACGTCATACGCCGCATGCGAGTGGGTCGCAAAGAATCCTCACCCATGATGACTTATGGCACGATGATGGCCTGGAGATGGTGAATCCAGAGATTTACAAGGAGGCTGCCAATGGTAGAATCATGACAACGACGCGCATAAACGTCTCATATCAACAGGATCAAGAATCGGATGCGTCATCGCGACCAATTCGCAGAGATTTTGACTGACCTGGCGATGCATTTCACTCAATCAAAATAAAAGCAAAATCAATACATCTTTTTATTGTCATTAGTGTTATCCTGCATTTCATGGTAGACAATAAATATGGTGGGCATCACGTGCCTGCCAATTATGCCCGGGGGTTTCTTACTCCGAAACTTCCACAAAGCATCAACCATGCACATGACGTTGGTAGCCTGATATCTTGCATATATTCGGGAGTTACACTTCATCTTGCATTGTATAACCCCGTAATCAACAAATGACGCAATTGCGATCGAAACGGAAGGCACCTGGTGCCACCATGCCAGGTGAGATTACCCTACAAAAAGTATAGATCGATTGACTCAATATGTCATCAGAAGAAAACCTGAATCCGATTTCTTGTGAGCTATGCAGACAACGCAAATGCAAAGTAGGCTATGATTTTGTAAAGAAAAGCCCCGGAGCAAGACAGGTGCTAACCAACAAAATAGTGTGATCGGAAACTGTAAGATCCAAAACAATTTTCACCATTTAGTTCGATCGCTGGTCTTATTTCTAATTGCATCTCGTTAAGCCCGTTCTGTTCTCAATGCGTAGGGGAAGCGTCGAAATGTACCTACCCCGAGAGTGGTAAAAGGCAAGTACCCAGGCCCACATATATAACTATGCAGGTACCCGTGGGAAGCTAACTCATTGGCTCAGAGGCTTACCGTTGGGATATCTGAATCAATTGGAACAGAGACTGGCAGAGACCGAGTCAGCTCTTTACGGGGCTTTGATGACCATTCGTTCGATGGGACAATCAACGGCAGTACAAATCCCAACAAAGACAGGTACTGCCCTCAAACACAAGGCAGCTCGCATGGAAGAGTGGTCTCAGCTGCCCCTTCGAGATTGGCCCGATATGGAGCGTTGGCTGAGCGCCATGTCGGATCGGTTTACCATTGAGCAGCCAAGTGACGTGGTTCCAGACACATCGGGAGGTGGTTACGCAATTCCTATGACCCCTACTCACGGTAAATCGCAGACCTTGGGAGATCAGCCTCATTCCGGACTAGTCTCATATGCATGGCCACCCAGGGACAACAGGGTCAGTTCGGGGGGTTCATACGATGCTTCTCAGCCCCACCCTGGGGTGATGCCTTCGCCGGTATATTTGGAACACCAGGTTGCGGTAGAACCCGAATCCGTGCCGTCTCCGGATAGTTCCCGAGATGGACTAATTGGCGACGAGGATGCCGGCCTCTCGGTGGATGTAAACGTATCTGCAAGAGCTAGGGGGCGACCGAGCAAAGCTGAAGAGCTGTCACACAATCACCCGAGTCTTTACTTTTAAAACGTGTTTCAACACGTACAATAACACTCGAAACCTCACGTCTTTCCCGATGAAGCTTAGGCTTCCTTATCTGTAACGGGCTAAGTGCAGATCATGAATGCCTGAGGCTTTGATTTTGTAGTCACCACATCACATGTTCACAGGTTATTAGGTAACGTTTTCAATGAAACCTTGGGATCAGAACACACCAGAATGGCTTTGTCGAGTGAAAGAAAAGATAAGTTCCAATACAGCAAGGAGCATTTAACTCCGTGCAATACATGTACAATACATTGCATGCAACCTTCATTATATGGTAGGACCCTAGCAGGGTTTACTCCACTCCACACAAATTTCAGTGGAGGGTCTTAAGAATTTAAACACCAATACTCCACAGAAAATCCACCAGTCCACTCAGATAACGAGCATCATCTCGGTGATCTGGAAGTTCTCCAACCTCCCCCCGGACTCGATCAGCTGCAAGCGCTCGCAAGACCCCTTGGCCTGAGTTCTTCCGGTTGAACCCTCTGATTGGACCCTCTACTTCGCTGAATTTGAGCCAAACGGGCCACATGGAGCATAGACTACTTTGAGCGTGGAACGGATATAAGTGGTTGGTGAAACGCCCGTGCCTTCAGACTAAGAGCCCGGACCTGCATCCGTTTCAATTAGATTGGATTATTCTCGGGGTATTATCGCATCACGTTGTACGGGTCACTTTTTCTACGGATGATATTCAGTATTCACGTGAACTTGCAGACTTTAAGGGTCTGGGATGACAGCGCAGATGGGACACATCGAAAACGTATACGTTGACCCCTCCATACCTAGGCACATAATTGAACCCTGGAAGATGACCCTGTGGAGGATGGGCCTGGAATCAACTCGGGGATACGGAGACAGGTACTACCTGTACCCCTTCTAAAAGCCGACTAAAAATAGGGTTCACATACTGTGGAAGGGAGGCAAATAGTAAAAGTATGGATGAACCACTCTGATCAAGAACACTGGGCCCTTGATATCCAGGGGACCTCTAGACTGAGTTCTGTTGGGCTCCATCCACACAACCTTTAGCCTCCCACTGGTCAAAGTGGTCAAACACTGGTGTAGCGCCCAAAATCCCCGTCAGCCCGTAAGGAGGACCGGCCCCCCCCCCCTTCTCTCTTTCTTCTTCCAACCTCCTTGGGATTGTGTGTGTCTTTGTTCCTTCATTCTTTCCTTCAATTCTTTTAGTCCGAGATACAAAGTGATCTGAGATCCTGGACTCCTTTCTATTCTTTCCTTTTTTCCTGACTTGTGCGCCACCATTCCTTAAGGACAAAAGGACTGTTATTTCCCTCTACATTTTGCTGTGCAAAATCTTAAGAGGGCTCGACATTCATTTTTGTGCATATTTGCAATAGAAGTTGAACCTCAAACACACCCATCGATCTGATACTGCACATTCCAGTTGATCTAACATTCTTTCACCCCGCGATTGTCTTACCACGCGAGACTCAAATACGGATCCGATCGCAAAAGAGCGACCAGATTAAAAAAAACAAAAATCTCACATATTGCATGTGTAATTTGGTAAATCAATTCCCGACCGCGTCGAAACGCACCGTTGTCATATTTTGAACTTGACCAAATCTCCGACTCCGCCATGTCAAATCTCAGCAGAGCATTCACCCGGCGCAATAAGCGCCCGGAGGTGTCCGCACCCATGCCGTATCGTGGCGAAGGGCACGTGCGACTCAACTCGGCAAGCATAAAACGCAGCAATATATCTGGACCGGTCCAGCTTTTGTCTACAACCAACATGCTAGCCTACAACGCACCTGATATCAACCCAGTCCAATTAGCCGGATCTTCATCTGCCTCATCACTAGGATCGCGCGACGACTCTGACACTGCTTTCTCCCCGCAAAGCTACGCGTCTTCCATGTCTTCACCCGACATCTCTCACGGGTGCTCTCCAATTGACGCAAACCCAATGGCGTCGTATTTCCCGAATCGCATGGGAACGGTGACAAGCCACACCCGCTCCTCCACCTCGTCTTCGTCAACTACGGATGCCCCGCTGGTGCCCAAGCGGGCTCTGTCCCACACCAAGCGGTCACACCAGGAGCTCGCTCACTCGCGCTCGATCTCTAGGATGTCGCCACCTCCGCTGAATGCGACGCGCAGCACACCGACCATTCGTGCATCGCAGGAATTCTTCCAGGCCGAGCCGCATCCATTCGGCAAAGAGCTGGAGCAGGTGAACGAGGTTGCAGAGGAATTTGGAGGCTTCAATATGCTCGATGACGAAGAGCGGATTCTCTATTCCAAGGGGCTCAAGAAGTTCTCTGTCGAAGATTATCTTGTGGAAGTTGAAGAACTGTACGGCAGCATTTTCGAGGATACACGTGGACCTATGTGCACGTCTTGGTTCTAATGTAATTGCTGCCCCACACCCGGTTGACCCGAGGTTGATCAACGACACGAGATTGCGGACTTGCAAGGACTGGATATTCCTTCGCCCGCCACGACAACCAACTATTATTCTTTCATTTACGACTATTGCCCCTTGTTTTACGATACCATGGGAGGACCTTCTGTTCCCGCGCTCAATCCTGATTGTTTTTGAATTTATTCCTTTCTACCCGTAATAGACAGTCTCTTTTTTGCATCGGTTTCTGTATCATTGAGGCCAACTGTTTCATATCCTTTGAGGCCTACAAAGTCTTTGTGAAGGTTTTGGGGTCTTTTAGGTCACTTTTTGGGAGTCTCATATGGAGTCACATGGATGTTTCATTCAGAGTCTCATATATATTCCAATCAACACGTTCGGAAGTCTCTTCCAAGAGCCAACAAAGTAAGATGTAGAGGATGATGTATAAAATATGGCAATGACCATACGATGACATAAGTCAATATTACTCAATTAGGTATAGCGTAGGGCTCACCGACACGGTCACGGGTGCTCCGCTGGGCTCCACAAGTGACCGAAGGAAAAGAAGGAAAAATTTCGCTTTACTTTGGCTTTGGATCCAGCAACTCGACCATTCTGTCTGCATCCGATTTTATCTATCTCAAACAACTGGACCTCCACGGATGCAGACAGATTGTTGCCGTTTCCTCTTATTCCAATCTGTAGCATAAGCCCCAAGATCTCGACGTGAAAAAGTGTCGTGTGCTTGGACCAGGCTTTGATAAGCTCCGACAATTGAATCGGAAGTCCACTGGATTTGATTTCTGCCAGAGTGCAGAGAAGCAAATGTCGATACTTGTTTCTGCCTAGAACTCGTCCTACACCCCTTCTTCCTCAAATTCGACCATGGTCTCCCTTGCCACGATTTCACGCAAACCGGCGCTACAAGCCACACCTACGGTATCTCGATCCAAAATGCTTCCGACTTCCTCCCCAGTCCCGATTCTCAAAACCTCGAAAGCTCCTCCCGTGGTCGCCGGCTCGAAACGCAAAATGAGCGAAATGGACCTCCCTCTCTCTCCTTCCTCGTCCCAGGCCGATGACGCGACAGAAGACCTTCCTCCCACCAAAAAGCGAGCCCGTGTGCAATTTGATCAAGATGTGACGATACATGATGCTGGCTCTTCAGAGAAGAGCCTGGCAGTCATTCGGGAGGAGGTCCGCGGGGCTATCCACCGACATGTCACAATGTCAGAAAGCGAGGGCTACGACCGAATCAAGGGAATCTTTTTAGCCGATCCAAAAAAACAAGGCGATGACAGCCTGCTTGCATATGAGTCGCCAACACACACCTCTTTGAGGAACCACCTTCTTGGTCTGATTTCGCATGTCGCCTCCTTGGACCGTTCCTGCAGCGGGTTGGTCCATGCTATCATCAACAGCGAGTGGCTTGGACGGGACGAATCCTACGTCAATCTGTACACCCGATTCCTGGGCAACCTTGCCGCCGCACAGGGTACCTTCCTGGGTCCTGTCTTGAAGATGTTGGCCACCAATCTCGGGTCCATCCCTCGAGGACTCGGTCGACTGCCGGGTTACGCCGTTGTGTCGCCATCCGAAATGCACACTCGCGTCCATATGGCAATGCGCCATGTGTTGCGACTCATCCCGGCCGGTAGTGGATCACTCTCTCCGATTCTGTCTAGCCAATTTCCCATCGACTCAGATCTAGCTAGCGCGAACATCGCTTATACCCGAAATCTTATCCAAATCATCACCTACGCTCCAGAGCTTCAGTCCGACATCCTGGCTCTTATCACCGAGAAGCTTGTTAAGGTCGATGTTGAAATTCAGGTTGATATGGAGGACTTGGAAGAGGATGTCGGCGATGAAATCTTGCAGGTTGATGATGAGGAGATTGATGATGATGCCTCCTCAGTTGCCAGCGATGAATCAGACGATGACGACACCAAGGGGGCCAAGAAGATCAAGGACAACATTCTCAAAGTGGATGGGATGATTGATATTCTCTTTGAATACTTTTCGCCCCCTTTTACCTCGGGCACCCTGGATGATAAGGAGAATGCGTTGGATCTCCTCCTCAGCCACTTCCAATCCATCATTCTTCCTACATACCGATCCCGTCACTCCCAGTTCCTCTTGTTTCATTTCTCCCAGGTCTCGCCCGTGCTCGTCGATCGCTTTGCCTCCACATTTGTGCAGCTTATCTTCAACAAGCTGCAGCCTGGCATCCTGCGCCAGTCAGCAGCGGCATATCTAGCCAGCTTTGTTGCACGTGGTGCCCACATCTCTGGAGAAGTGGTCCGTGACGTCTTCGATCTCCTCCTCACACACCTCAACAGCCTACGTATAGACTACGAGGACAGCTGCCGCGGTCCTGATCTCCGTCGCTATGGACCGTTCTACTCCACGGCACAGGCCCTGTTGTACATATTCTGTTTCCGGTGGCGCGATCTGACAACCGCTGCCATTGATGGTGATAATGCGGACCAGGTGGACGAGCTTGAGCCGGGCCAGGTCACATTCCCTCCCAACATCAAAGAATTCCTTCACAAATGTATCTATTCGCGACTGAACCCGCTCAAGGTCTGCTCCCCGGCCATCGTCGCCGAGTTCGCCCGCATCGCCCACCACTTCCAATTCCTATACGTCTACCCTCTCCTGGAAACCAACAAGCGCATTCGCGTCACTGCGTTCAGGAGCCTTTCCACTATGTCCGATCCTCGCTTCAGCCACGTCGGCCGCGAGATCCGCGCCGGCGATAACATCGGTTATCAACTTGATGCATACTTCCCCTTCGATCCCTACCAACTTCCTCGCAGCCGTCGCTGGCTGGAAGGCGACTATGTCGAGTGGCGCGGCATCCCTGGTCTTGACGACGCAAACGACTCAGACAGTGGAGCTGACGAGTCCGATGACGAATCCGGCGAGGATCTCACCGAGACTGATGACGAGTGAATTGGACACTATCTCTCTTCTTAGAATCGGGACTTGATCTTGGGTTCGATTTTTTTGTTACTTCAGCGTGGCGTACGGGATTTCCACCAATATTTGCGATCTTACGATCTTCTTTTTTTCACAAAAAGTTCCCAATACCTTACGACTGATGATATCGTTCTTGAACACGGAACTATCCGGTGGAATCCCTGGGAAATTTTTTTGCCTCGTGTACTACCATAGAGCTGATGAATCTTGCTGTTCAAAAAATGGGAAATAATTACATGAAATTTCGTGAATATTTCTAACGCTCGATCTCATAAACCCAACTGCCTTAATCACATGGCTCTGCATTAAACGTACATGAACATTCCTCATATCTCACCTCCCTTTTCATTCTTCCAACTGCCGGCATAATGATGCTCGACCAAGGCAGGCCCAGTCGTCTCATTGCCATAAAAATTCGTCAACGAAGCAAACGAATACCCCGGCAAGATCAAAACATCCTCGACCAAAACAGGCTCTAAAAGGTTCGAGATACTCGGCATATCGATCGCTTCATTGCGAACCAATCCCAAGCTCTTCAAAATCCCACGAGTCAACCGCAACGGCCCCGTAAAGTGGATCACACTACCTATCATCTCCAAAGTTAACCCGGAAATCGGAACCCCATGCTCCTCCGTCTTCTGACGAATGGCATCCATAATATCATTGATAACCATCAAAAGATGCGGCGACCTAGGCGCCGCCATAATCGCCCAACTCTCAAACTGCCGAGTGAAACTCTCCCCCCAGCCAGCATCAAACTCCCACCCAACAACAAGCCCAGCTTTCGCGCGCATTGTCTCGGGGATCCATTCTCTAATGGGCACATCACCACACGAGACATCAAGATCAAACCAGATGCCACCTTCGGTGAAAAGAATCAGATAGCGCAGGAAATCCGCTTTTAAGATCGGCACCGCGAGAGCAAGGTATGCGGCGACGATATCGGGACGATGAGCGAAGTTTTCTTGCACATAGTCATCGCCCGTGAGGTCTGTGAAGACATGCGCGACATGAGCTGGGTTTTTGTGAAGACAGTCGTCCAGCCAATCGTGTGACTTGTCGCTCAATCCTTTGGGTCCAACTTTGTACCAGATCTTCTCTGGGATGCGCGGCGACGCCATTTGGAGACCCTCTGTCGATGGATCATATTTAGAGTAGCTTTCCGGTGTTTCTAGTCTCCCAGGGTAGAAATAAAGGATGAAAAAGAGACATGAAAGGATCACTATGCTTGTGGTTGAGAATTTTGTGAACGTTGGCCCCTGAGCGAGCATGGCGACGGTGTAGACGGAAGTCAGAGGAAATGATACATGTAGTATATACTCCGTACACCCGGAAACGCTGTGGGGTTGGGTTAAGACTGAGGGACTGAGATCTTCATCGCGATATTGATTTCCCCTGAACGGGGGTTTTTTTTCCAACCCTATTTTAGTGAGACCTCTTATAAAGACCCCTAAAGCCCAATTAAGCGACTAAAGCAGGGGAAACAATTATTTCTATTGGTTGGATAAGAAAAAAAGGAAATTGCCTTCCCCCGAGATCCACTGAATCCAGACCGACTCTTATTTCCGACTAGCGTTTTTGAGCTGGTCTGAGTACATTTCTTCTAGGTGCCAAATTGCTTTCTACATGTATCTCGTTGCTCCGTACTTTCTGCTCCACAGCCTCGGCATCCCGCGTTCCCCACGTTTCAGAATCCAAGTACAGAGTGGATAAAGCTTTATAAAAGTGGGACAAGACAGGAAGTATACACCAAATCGGGGGACGAAATAAGGGGCTATTGAAAGGTGTATATTCAAGAAACTGAAGAAAAGTTGCTATTCATAATTCATAGATAATGATTAAAAACCAAATATTGCTTCCAAGAGTTCCCTGCTCGTCCTAGGTACATTTCTAAAGGAAAACCATGGTATATCTGGTAGTTCAAGTAAATACTCCACTCTAACACGAACCACTTGACAAGGGCAACGGCAGTCATCGTGTCAAGAGTTGGAGAGCCAGATGCGGGAGTTGCATCCCTCCAAAACGTCGTCTCATCAAGAGCTAAAATTGGACTGCCCGATAAGACCGCTACACTCTCAGTCATGTTTCTGACCACATCCCCTGAATTCCCTTGACCCGCCATAAAAGCGCTTGAGCTGTCCGTTTGGGAATGCTGAACTGCTGCTCTTGAGCTTTCGATATTCATATACACGAAACACCCCATTCTTTGGGCGATTCTAAACAATACATCTTCCTCGTGGTGCGTATATGTACTATTTTAATCTGACTCCTCGTAGTAGCGTGGTATGTAGCATACTGAGGGCCCCGTAAAGATCTGGAGTGACCGAATTGTTGTTCTAACTCCAGGGTCATCGCATCGAAACAGTATGCACATGGAGCAACTAAATATTGATAGAAAGGTAATTTTGCTTTTGAATATATACGAGGTACTAATTATACATGTAAATTAATCGACAGTTCAGCCCTCAGTATCCTTCACAGACTGCTCAAGATCGGGGACCTTCTTTTTCGCACGACGAAGTTTCTTCCGGAAATTCAAAGCTCTAACACGGTATGCCCGATTTCGCCTCCGTGGGGGATAGTTGACTGGACTCTCGCCACCAGTAAAGATAGCCAAGTCGTAGATCAAAGCGCCAAACAATGCACCGGTAATATCTGCAACCCACGGACCCCAAATCCACCATGCATGGTATTCGCGGAAGACCTGGCCACCCCATCCAGCCATGAGGGCAACAAGTCGTGGGCCAAAGTCTCGTGCGCCGTTGAAACAACTATAAGATGATTAGTTTCAACCCAATTTGGAATTCGAAATTGGAAATTGGACACATACCCTCCGGTGTTATACCCAAGTCCAAGGACCACAATCGTGATGATAATACCAACGATAAAGGCTTGCATTCCAGCCCCAGGAGGCGCATTTGTATCGTCTCCCAGAGCGAGAATAGAAGCTACCAAGATTGCGCTGCCCAAAAACTCAGTGAAGAACGCAGTCGCAGGATGGACAAATGGTTTCGGCAAGGTGAGAAGAGCCTGACTGGCGACGCTTGCATTCTGAGGCACTTTGGCCACTTTGGCCACTTCAACAATGGCGTCATGGTAGATCGCGTATGATATACCCCCTGCGGTGATGGCACCGAGGAGTTGCGCGGCAATGTAGATCACACATCGACGCGCGGGAAATCCACGAAATACAGACAGCGAGATTGAGATGGCTGGGTTTAAATGACCACCAGACATACCTCCGGTGGTGTAGATAGCGGTCATGAATCCAAAGCCCCAGGCAGCACTTTGAGCAGGGTATGATCCTGCTTGTCCAGAGGAAGTGAAGTTCGATAAAGTGGCGCAAAGACCGATTGTCATTGCCATAGTTGTCTGCGAAAGAATATTTATTAGCAAATTGTTTGGGGTTTTTGGACCATATCGAAAACTTACTCCAAGCCATTCAGCCAGCGGCTCACGAAGATGGTGACGGATTTTCGACCAGCTATTGAAAAAACCATCGTCTTTGGGATCGTTGACCGTCTTCGTTCGATTTTCCACCGACTGTTGTTTCTGAACTTCGCGCCTGTGCGTTAAATCGTCGCCGTTCTGTGTCGTATTGCCTTCATTGCCTTGATCCTCCTGTCGATCCTCTGGCAAGGCGCCATGACGCATGCCAGGCCGGACAATATGAGGGAGTGGCTGAGCCAAACTCCAAGTGGGAATATCATGTTGTTGGTTACACTGAGAATTGTACTGCTCGTACTCTTTATCTGTATATCCACGGTTGTTGTTTGGATTCTGCGCGCCAGAGCCTGCCAAGCTGTATGACGGGATGTTTCCCAGGCCGTCATTTTTGCTTCCTTCTTCTTGGGTGCCTTCTTGTTGCAATTGTTCGGGATATTCCACGGCGTCTATTGCGGTGTGAGTGTTGTGATGCGCAATGATCTCTTCGGCCCTTTTATCATACCTTTGACTCCGGCATCCCGGTCAGGTTCCATCGAGGATCCCATCACAAAGATGAGGGGAAAAAAGAGAAAGAAAGAGAAAAAAACTCTTGTGTGGGACTCAACGTCAAAGAAAACTAGAAAGATGTAGACTCATTCCAGTCTGGGGTGTAATCATTTATAAATGACTCTTGTGTCAAAAGCTTGATTCCAAACCTATAAAGTGGAGATAAGGCCAACTCCACTGTTTCGTCACTGTTAATTCTCGAACGTCTGACATTCTTTTGGACCAGGGAAAATCACTGCCAAGGAATACATATTCCATGGTTGATCATCTATGTAGACGATAGTTGATTGGTGGATGGTATTCCGCTCCTTCTATGCTTCCATTACGGGACCCATATTCAGTGAACACCTTGCACAAAAGTCTATTCCTATATAGATCCTATATAGACATCAAATTTCTACACATTATCCATTTTTACACATAGATGAATTCTTTTGACTCGGGCTATGTGCAGTATCCAAACCAAATATATATTTAACAGGCTCATGGGTTCTTGGCAATGGGTAAACCATGGGTACCTAAAAACGCACGCCCTTGAAAGTGGACTTCCTTGACATATACCATGACTGTCCAGATGCAAGGTCAGATATCAGGGCTGCCCTGTGGCGATATTACCTCACGTCACGGAAGGACCATAAATTGGTTCCGCCAATCACAAGCGAGACGTCACGGGCTTATCCGGACGAACTATGTACTATATCCATGGGATCTACGGTCCAGTAAGCCCCCTTACGGAAGGCCGTTGAAATTCGGCTTTTCTGGTTCTGGATGTAAAAGGCTTGCTTTCTCGTCTAGAACACTTCGGCCCAATCCGCCTTTCCCTGATGCTCCCTGAAAATTAAAATTGCTTCTTCAGCCTACCAACATTAAACACGGAACCAGCATATATGTGAGCATGTAAATTCCCTTCCAACCGCCACACCCATCCTTCTAGCGCCATGTCAAAGAGACTATGATGATGGCCACGCCATTAAGTGGAGGTAGTCGCTAGCTCCTGGGGCGGTTTGTGAGCTGAGAGCTCACTAGGAGGAGAATAAACCGATGTCTGTCCCTGCACATCCTGATGTGTCATTGCAACCTGGGATTGGAGCCCGTCCACCGTAGCTTGAACAGAGAGACGTTTTCTCCGTTCGAATAATGCCCAGCCCAGCGCAGTGAGAAGCAGGACTCCTAGGGGGATTCCCACTCCGGCCCCGATCACGAGATCATTGTTACTTTTCCCATCCTTATTATCATTGGCCCCCTTGTTCTCGCCGCTTGACGTTGTAGGACATGCAGTTGTGTTCGTAGTTGATGTGGAGTTTAAGCTAGGATCACCAGAAGTGTAATTGGCGAGCGCAGCCTTGCCCCAAACAAAATCGGCAGGATCAAGTTCGAAGGAGGGACCAGCGGCACAAGCGAGGTGGTTTGACGGATCGACTATGATGGAGTTGGCGCAATAGGAAGACTTCTTGTCCTCAATCCTAAGCAACGGCAGCGCACATCCCTTATCGTTCATGGCTTCAACTGTAATCGGGAAAATGGCCGTTAGCTTTGAAGCAAGAAATCAAAATGTCTTGAGATCAACTTACCCTTAGAACACACATCATTGCATCCGCCTTCTACTGGCCAGTACTTATTGGTACAGCTACCCCGACTCAGCGCAAATGGTTGTGCTTTTCCATAACAAAATCCATTGCTAAGACAAATCGAATCTTTGGAACAACATGGTGAGTCCTTGTCACCTGAGAAGCAAGGGACATCGTCAACCGCAATGTCTCCGCTAGGAAAATAGCAGGTCTTGTCTGCTACCACAAGGCACGCAAATATGGAGAAGTGGAGAAGGATACGGAGGAGCATCGCGAGAAAATGAAATATCGAAGCAGCTGGATGAAGAATATTTTACAGCCCCATTATTATTGAAAATAGGGATCCCTCAGCCTCAGAGCCGCATTTTAATCTAAGCCACAAAGAGACACGGGAAATGACCAGTGATCAACATCTCAAGCGAAGCTATAGTAATCAATCAGTGTCGCCCAAGTCAGTTCCTAGTCCAATAGTAGTATAATAGTGGAGAACAAAGCGGGGAACGGAAAAAAACACTGGGGGCCATGCGCTGGTCGATATCTCGGACCGTGTGGGCATTTCCACAAGTCTAATCCAGTCAATTACGGAGTATGCTGTTCCTACAATATAGCTTGCTAGTATAGCGCTGCTTTGTATCATCTCAACAGGCAAGGAGAGGGAACAGTTTATATGTCTGCTCGATTTGCTTCGATTTATCCTTGTATATCAGATATGTGTGTGAATATGTAGTCATGCCATAGTAAAAAAAATAGCGACGCGAGCGTACATATCCGACTGAAACAAGTCTATGTTAAGCAGGGATAGAGGGTGATTACACTGCGCTGCCGGGCAGTCTCTACCCTTTACCTCCGCTGTTCTTAATAAGCGCGCCATGGCTCGACAGCTATATGGCGGCTTTGATAGGCCTCAGTTTCGAGTTTGGAGATGGCATGATAGGCAATGGAGTAAGCGTGAGGGCTGGTTCTGGATTGTCGGTGGTGGCTGTCATAACATGAATGGACTTGCAAGGTTGAGACCAACGTGAGGCAGGAGTGGCAATAGATAGATGACAGGGAGAAAGTCGCAATTTGATGTATAGCCAGGGACTCCGGAACATATTATGAGTCGTGTCCCCTCAAGCTCCTATTCCCTGGCTTTGCAACGTTTTGCTGAATCTCTGCCGTAATACATATGTAATCATCTTGGGCCCCAGTGGGGGCCAAATGGACTTCAGGCAGTGGAGCTTAATTAAACTACTAGGAACACCTATGGCTTGCTTCTAAGGGATATGCTAACCCCACATAGCACTATCGCTATATTAGATGCGTCAATTTATTTTTAAACCCGGCTCTCCCATATTCTGTATTTGCTTTTCTTTCTCCAATTCAAGGGGTTTCTTTGCGGGAATCATGAGAGTAACCTGGTTGGCCTTCGCGGCAGTTGCCGCAGCACAACAAGCCCATGTCGCGTCGAATGGAGTCATTCAGGGCCATGAGGCATCGAAGAATCCGGGGGTCATCGAATGGCTTGGGGTTCCTTACGCGCAGCCGCCGGTTGACCAATTGCGATTCGCACCGCCCCAACACTACACGCCCAAGGGTGTTCATGTCGCGTCAGAATATGTATGATCTCGTCTTATCTCTCACTACTGCCATAAATTGCATGAATTTGCGAAGTTCTGACATCATCTTAATCTAGGGGAAGTGAGTACTATCTGGGGTGATGCTATTCTGCGTTCTCGATTAACAGAAATATACAGAGACTGCATGTACTCGGTGTCGAAGCTAGTCGACTATCCCGACAAAACTCCGCAGTTTGACAGCATCTTCGAGGCCTTCGGGGCTATCAATAACCACACTCAAAGTGAAGATTGTTTGACTCTGAATGTTTGGTCAAAGCCAAACTCAAATCAACTCAAGCCCGTCTATGTCAATTTTTACGGTGGAAGTAGGTTTTTGGTTCTTATTTTCGTCTCGCCTCATGTTTCTGATCCATGATATAGGATGGACAAGTGGCACGACCGATACCCCTTTTTATTATGGAGGCCGATTTGCTGATGCAGAGGATGTAATCGTTGTGACGGTCAATTACCGCATGAACATCTTCGGGTTCCCTGGTCTGCCTGGACACCCTCCTAACCTTGGTCTACTAGATCAGCGTCTGGCCGTTGAATGGGTGAAGGAAAATATCCATGGATTTGGAGGTGACCCAAACCGCATTACTATATCTGGCCAATCCTGCGGAAGTGCTTCTGTTGATTATTGGGCATATGCCTACCAGTCTGAACCCCTAGTTGCCGGTTTGATCTCACATTCCGGCACAGCCATCAGCTTCCCAACAAACAATCGAACAACCGCAGCAAAGAATTGGTATACTGTGTCTGACCAGTTGGGCTGTGGGTCTTCAGGGGATGTCCTACCTTGCATGAGAAAGCAGAATGCGAGAGCCATTCTCGCCGCTGCTAGTGCGGTAAAGGTCCCAAACCAAAATCCTGCGAGGAAATCCCCAGCTTTCCAGCCCACTGTGGACGACGTAACTGTGTTTGAGAATTACACTCTTCTTTCAGAGCAAGGGAAATTCGCCCGTATCGTGAGTGAACCGCTCCTGCATCTCAAACTCACTCGGTGAGTCAATGTAGTTGCTAACCAACACCTTACCTAAATAGCCCTACTTGGTCGGCCACAACGCCAATGAAGCGGGATTCTACAAGATTTCAAGCTACGCCCAGGGATCGAATTTGACAGACAAGCAGTGGGACGACTTCAATATGCAAACGTTCTTCTGTCCATCCAATCTCGAAGCAGCACACCGAAGTCGCCAACGTACACCGGCTTGGCGATTCCAATACAACGCGGATTGGGAGAATACCCGTCTTTACCCCACTAGTGGGGCATATCATGGTGTCGAGTTTAACATGATCTTTGGAGAATCTGCTGAGATCACTGGGATTGCTGAGTCTGATGCACAGCGCCAGTTGCAAGATAAGATGCGCTCGGCTTGGGGCTCATTCATCGCTGATCCCCAAGGCGGACTAGAAGCTCTGGGATGGCCAAGTTATAATCCTGAAGGTGAGTCCAGGCGACTTTGATCAGAGGGACTTATCCTCTAACATTCTTTCAGCTTCGACCCTTGTTGAAATCGGCCTTGGTAATCATCCCAGCGTATCATTTGTAGACACGAAATACTCCGCTCAGCTGTGTGCAGCTTTGCTGGCGCAAATATGAGTCAACTCTATATTGCTAATGTGAGCTGCTTTCATGTCTGTGAATATGTATCGGGCTATTTTTGTGTTATGTATTTGTATTTTATTGAACCCTGGCGTGGGCCATTGGACCACACCAAGATATGAGCACTTCCCGGGAAGGGAAATTCCGAGTGACATTCGGTGCATCGTATGTACTCTGTACTTTTGCTCAGAGATCGGCGAATCCAGTTCCCGAGATCCGTTCTGAGGTCTCCAGGGCCGAGGCACCCGCTTACTAAGTTTTCAATCTTACCACCGGAGCAGATGGCCAGGTACAGCCGAGATTTATATTACATTTATGATTTGAGTCAATGAAATCTGATAAGACAGCAGTCATACAATATGGATAGGCTCATAAAGTGACAGTAGGATAAACATATCAAACGCTATATACAGCAGACGCCGTGAATGCCAGTGGTTCAAACGCCAAAGACCCACAGCGCTAAGAAACTAAGAATAATACAAGGAAAAAGTGACGCAAATCGATCACCGGTCGAAGATGGCCTTCATATCTGCACACGCATCGCGGTATAAAACGTCGACGCTTTTCTGGTCCCGCCACGGATTGGCTGACTTGTCCCATGCATGCCGGGCTTTCTCGATTAGCATGGCACGCGGGCGTTTACCAAGGCCTTCTAAGCGGCGAACGAAAGCTTGACCCTCCTTCATCAACATGTCCCACTCGCAGATGAAGAAAAACACGTCGCGGGGAAGAGCTTCAGACAGAATACGGTCAGATGCGTGGACTGGAGAGGCATAGGGGGAAGCACGTTCGGCCAAATCAGGAAGATAAGCCTCATCAAAGAGGGTGGTGAAAAATGCTGGGAGAGTCTTATCCGGCATCATACTCATAGCACGCCGGTGGTCGCGAGATTCTTCAAAGTCGAGAATCGGGTACCAGCAGAACAAGGCAACAATGTTAAGATCGCTGACCTGACTGAGCAAATTTTGTGTGGATTCCGCTCGACCCAAATGTTCCTTCACTTCCGTGGAGATTCGGCCACGCAGCCGTAAGGGCACCGTGACAGCCAGGTTACCGCCTGCCGAGAACCCGCTCAGTGCCACGCGACTCACATCCAATCCCAGTTCGCTGGCATGTGTAGCGAGATATAGTAGTGCCTCGACTCCATCGTCTACTGCCGCAGGGAAGGGGTGCTCCGGGGCTCGTCGGTAGCTGACACTCACCATCACGGCCCCGACATTGTCCAGCACTATTTTCGCCCAGCGAGAATCATCCGTAGCGGCGCCAAGCGTGAAACCACCGCCGTGAAAGTTAACGGCGACGGGAAAGCGATGGCCTAGCCTTCGTTGTTCGTGGTAATTTGGTGGACAGTAGAAGTGGAGGACGACGGGATGACAATCGGAGTCGGAGTGAACGGTACGGGTGAATAACGGTCGGGGAGGTCGGGGAGGGCCGATCTCGTGCAGGAACATGCCGATGCGCATCAGAAACCGCCAAAAGATGGCCTGCACATAGAGCCACCAACGAGACGAGGCCATGGTGCAGTAGATAATGTTCGTCCTATTGATCTAGCATGTGCATCGGAGTGGCCCGGAAACCAAAGATAAGACGGGGTAAGACGGAAGACGGCCGGTGAAATATTTGAAATTGGAAGAACAGAATAGTCAAGGTATGGAGGGAAATAAGAATAGCCTCGGTGCTGAGAGAGACAAACGGAATATGTAGTAGCAATCGGGTTACAACGTAAGATGCAAAGCAATGGCCCGTTTTTGCCAGGCTCCATACCAAGGGAAATCAGGGTTCTTGGTATTGGATGATGTCATCACATCTTCTGGTCCTGTCCAAGGTCACAATATTTATTGATCTTTTTCTTCTTTCTCTCCATGTAACTATTACATTATATTCAAGTATCTTCTCCTTTGAACAGTTCCTGTTTTGTCGTCGATCTCTCTTTTAACAGGGTTTCCAAGATTTGCAACAATTGGATCGCCTGCTCAGGGCCCCCCACCCTCTTCCCTTATATATACAAAGTCCCTCTCTTTTCACTTTTCCTCTTCCCCCATAAACTTACATTATGTCGATTAAACGCGCCCTCTCCAAGGCCATCAGAGGACAGTTGGGAAATGATGATGACTCCTCCGGTTCTAGCAGTCGTGCTGCCCTGCCACCCAAAGTTCGTACCAACCAATCTCGGTCCGGTTCCCCCTCCGCATCCCCTCGTCGCAGCATTCTCGGCAGCTTCCTACGTGATAAGAATGAATATATCTCTTCGTCTGATGATGTCTCGGACGATTCCTCTACCGGTGCCCTGAGCAAAAATCAACAAAAGCGGTTAGTGCGTCAGCACCGTCAAAGCGAACGCAGTCGTCTCAGCGAGGAGATGTTCTCCGAGACCGACCACCGCCGCAAGGAAGAGGAGATTGCCAAAGCTGCAGCTGAGGAGACGCCAGAGATGAAAGCTCGATATGGCGAGCTGCCTTTAATGCAGTCGGCCACTCGACCACGAGAATTGCGGACTCGCATCGATGACATAAATCTTGCTATGGAGGGGCAGCAAGTGTTTTTCAACGCACGACTGCATGTCATCCGTCGGATGAGTGCGAAGCTAGTGTTTCTGGTATTCCGCCAGCAGCTAGGTACCTTCCAGGGTGTTTTACATGAGCGGAAAGGGGTCTCGTCTATCGCCATGGTCCAGTGGGTCGAGCACCTCCGGGTGGGCTCTTTCGTCACGGTCCGCGGAACTATACAGAAGCCCGAGGTTCCAGTGATAGGCTGCTCAATCCATGATGTCGAGCTGGCCGTTGACTCGGTTCACCTCCAGGTTCGTCGCGAGGAACCTGTTCCCTTCAGCGTCTACGAGGCAGAGATTCGGACCAACGAAGAAGATAAGGCCGAGGGCCGCCGCAACCATATTCCTGACCGGACACGTTTGGCCAACCGAATCCTCGACCTTCGCACAGCAACTTCGCAATCTATCTTCCGTGTTCAGTCCGCAACATGTAATCTTTTCCGTTCTGCCCTTGACGACCGCGAATTCATCGAAATCCATACCCCGAAGCTGCAAGGCGCAGCCACCGAGTCTGGAGCGAGCGTCTTCCAGGTCAATTATTTCGGCCGCCCTGCATTCCTCGCTCAGTCTCCTCAATTGGCGAAGCAGATGGCTATTGCTGCGGATTTCGGCCGCGTCTACGAGATTGGCGCTGTTTTCCGTGCCGAAAACTCCAATACCCACCGTCATCTTACCGAATATACCGGACTGGATATTGAGATGGCTATTGAAGAGCACTACCACGAGATGCTTGAGACCCTTGATGCTGTGATTAAGAATATTCTCAAGGGTATCTACACCAAGTACCGGCGCGAGGTTGAGCTTGTCAAGCACCAGTTCCCCTCCGAAGATGTCGTATGGCTAGAACAAACGCCAATCATTCGTTTTACCGATGGTATCAAGATGCTGAACGACTCAGGCTGGCTGAGTGAAGACGGCGAGCCGCTACCGATCGATGAGGACATGGCTACCCGTGATGAGATTCGCCTGGGTGAGCTTGTTAAAGAGCAGTATGGTACCGACTACTACGTCCTTGACAAATTCCCACGCGGTGCACGTCCCTTCTATACGATGCCCGATGCCGAAGACGACAAGTACACCAACTCATTTGACATGTTTATTCGTGGACAAGAGATTGTCTCTGGTGGTCAACGTATCCACGAACCCCACATGCTCGAGGAAAACATGCGTCGTGTGGGCATCAACCCGGATGATATGGAGGAGTATCTTGAGGGCTTCCGCTGGGGTGCCCCACCTCACGCGGGTGCAGGAGTTGGTCTGGAACGTATCGTGATGCTTATCCTTAAGCTGGGAAACATCCGACTGACATCATTGTTCCATCGCGACCCCAAGAGTCTGCCTGCAAAGCCTGTCTCTGAACAGCTCCGCCACCCAGAATCATCGACCGTTGAACCGCCGTGGCACCGCGATCACAAAGCTCGGACAGCTACGGACCTCAGTGAGCTGCAACCCCTGGAACATCTGGTGGCTAACTACGGCGATGCCACATCAACCTCCTGGTTTGATGACCGCTTCAAGATCTGGCGTGATATGACCACTGGTGCAGCCGTTGCCTACGTGCCTAGCTCTAGCAACTACGCAATCATCCCCGGTAACCCGGCCTGCGACCCCAAGCAGTACACACGCACAATTACACAGTTCTTGCAGTGGCTACGCCGCGACACTAAGTTCAAGCCCGTGTGGATCCTCTGTTCGCCTGAGGTCGAGACTATCCTTGGCGAGCGACTAGGCTGGCGCAGTTTGTCCTGTATCGCCGAAGAGCGCGTTGACCCATCGCGCAACCAGGCCGCTTCTGACGGCGAGATTGCACGCAAGCTGCGTCGTGCCGAAAGCGAGGGCATCAAGCTGGTCTCCATGAACCAAGGCGAGATGGTACCAGACGACATCCGCCAGAAGATTGACGATCGTATCGCCGAGTGGCTGTCTAACCGCAAGGGCACGCAAGTTCATCTGTCCCAGATCCGCCCATGGTGTGACTCCGAGCACCGTTGGTACTTCTACGCTCTGGACAAGGACGGTGGCATCTGCGCCTTCGTCGCTTTGGCTATGCTATCTCCTGCCCACGGCATGCAAGTCAAGTACAGTCTTGATTTCCCCGGCGCACCCAACGGTGTTATTGAATACATTGTCACGCATGCAATCCAGACCGCTGCTAAGAGCGGCGTCAAGGGCCTCACATTTGGCGCTGGCGCCACTTCCCAGCTCACTGCTGGCCACAACATGCATGGAACCAAGGTCAAGATGCTGGAGCGTACCTACGAAACCCTTGCTAAGCAGTTCCATCTTGTGCGCAAGAGTGAATTCCGTGCTAAGCTCGGCGCTACAGAGGACCCGCTGTACATCTCCTACCCGTCCCACGGTCTGGGCTCTAAGGGAATCCGCGCGATCCTGAACTTTTTTGAAGATTAAGATTGAGCTACGTTATTTGAATCAATGGCTGAGCCATTAATGGAGCTACGGTTTAACGGGAGTTTTGTGCGATCTTATTTGATCTAAATGACAACGTGCGGGCTTCGAGTAGACTGGCAAAAATGTCAATCGGATTCTGGGAGACGCATAGACAGTGGAAAGATTAGAGAGAGGAGAGGGGAGCGTTTGTTGACCTGCAGGCTGCGGCATTACCTCTTGGCTTTTGTTTTGCTTTTAACCTATTGCTGTTGACTCTTATATATACTGGACATAGTTTTGTTTTGTTTTTATTCCCCATTCCCGTTGCTCATTCTGTATCTAACACCCTCGGAGCCATGTACCTGATTTTTGCAGATTCGGCACTTAATTGATATTGTTATGCTATCTAAATTCTGCCCTGTAGATCTCCATCATCTAGCCTTGTTTGCTCGCGTCTATAGTCTTACACTGGCTACACAATCTTGCCCTTTTTACTCTTCATAACTTTGCTCGCATTCATTCCGTATTAGTGGACTTTATTGGATCATTTCCAATTCACTAAACTTTGTCATTGATGCATACCATTTTTGTGGGTATCGCGAAGACCTTCCAGAAGGGTGGAGTATACAAGTGCTCGCAACAAAGGCCACGTTATATATACACAGGGAAGCGAAGAAATATATCTCGATAATATTCCCTACTCCGTCTATACTGGTTTTAATCGTACATCTCCAAGAAAAAAAAAAACAAACAAACGCAAAACCCATACCATCCTCATCTCTTCTTCACTTCCTCCAAAACACTTTGCCTCCTAGCATCATTCACAACCCTTCCAACCTCCTTCACAGCCCACCTCCCCAGCACCACCGCAAGAATAGTAACAATTACAATCCACCCAGCAGTCGGCACCAACGAGCGCGGGAAAACATTGAACAAGAATGGATCAAGAATCAAGTCCACCGCCACGGGTGGAACATTCTGCATCAATGCCTGGTCTGTACTGAAATAATCTGCTGCGGCTTGCACATGCAGAAACAGGACCGAGTCCCTGGTCGGCGCAGGGTCGAGCGGATCTTCGCTGCTGTGTGGACTGACACGGCGCGGGATGGAATTTACTTGAAGATTTGTGTCTAGTGTTGCGAGTCGGGCTGCTGCGTACGTGCTCAGGGAAGACAGGAGGCTTTTGTCTTCGATTTCTTTTGGCACATAGGTGGTGAGGGTGAAGGTTGTTGGTTGCTAGGGGATATTAGTTATTTTATATGTGGGAATGGGTATTATGTGTATAGAGAGAGAGAGAGAGAGAGAGAGAGAGAGAGAGAGAGAGAGAGAGAAGTGTGAAGTGTGGGGAAGGAATTGGTGGAGGGTCTTACAGTGGCTAGCCAGCACACTCGTACCTCGTACCGCTGGCCCGGGTTCAGGTTTTCAAGGAAGAACCACGAGTCCGTACCGCCGGGTGTAGCGGCCATTGGGAATGAGGCATTGAGGCGAGTGCGCACCACAGGGCTCTGTGGTGATAGACGCTCCAAACCTAGGTCGTCGAGATCTGGTTCCTCAGAGGGGACGGCTGCTGGTGCTGGTGCTAGGAAGATGGTCTTTTCCACGTTTGCTTGTGCCAATGATGCGAAGAGAGGGAGCATGAGTCCTAGAGTGGGAAGGGGTTTGATATGCATGATGAGAGAGTTGATGTTCTGCTGTACAATATAGGCAGATTTTTAGGATTGATGTTTTAGAGATGTCTTATTCTCGGCTCATGACGAGATTCAGACAGTTCACGTTAATAGCGCTGGAGCTCAATTAGTATTGAACATGCCATATTGAAGGGAAGTATATACAGTACCGGAGAGTGTGTCTTAGCACTTTGATATGGTCGAATGGTGGTTCGAGGGGGGTCCTCCCCGAGTGGATCCGAACTTTCGATAGCTCCAACGTCGGCCAACACCGCTATGTCAACACCCCTTGAGAAGTTGACTACCTAGACACTGGATAAAATTCTCATTTGAAATTACCCGTATAGCCATTTAATGAAATATATTCTTTTTTAATACTATATTCTCTGATCATATGTTCATCACGTGCCATCACGAGATCACTACGAGGCGGTCAGTAACCGCTGCTCCTCACCGGGAAAGGGCCAATCAAAGGGCCCAACGCGACCCAACGAACGGATCAACAACGAAGTTCCCCCCTGTACAGCACAGACGTCTCCTCCTCCACAACATTTCTGGTTGACTTTGTTTTCCTTTCCATCTTCTCGTCCATTCCTCCATTCTTCAGGTACGAACACCCCCGCCCCCTTCCATCGTGCATCTCCGTGTCAATTTGACCCTAACCGAGTTTCAGACCGCCGCGTTTGTTGTTTGGGTTTCCGTTTTCCCCTCCTGATTTTTTAGCCTGAAAAAACATCGACTCGATCACAATGAGAGAGATTATCAGTTTGAACGGTAAGTCAACATCGTCCATCTATTCTGCTCGTCAGAATTGATATATTTTCTTCGGACGCGCTGACATGATTGTCCTCCACAGTCGGCCAGGCCGGTTGCCAGATCGCCAACTCCTGCTGGGAGGTAAATATCCACACCCATTGAGGGACAAATCTTCGGTAAACTGACAGCATCGATTTTTTAGCTTTACTGTCTGGAGCACGGTATCCAGGTATGTTGAAATTCCAATTAAACTCGTGGTGGCGCCCAATCTTCACTCGGGCACCCGTACCCCCTATTTTCTTGCCGGGAGGTAAGCAACCCGCGACTAACATGGATGATAGCCCGATGGATTCCTCACTGAGGAGCGCAAGAAGGCCGACCCCGACCATGGATTCAGCACTTTCTTCTCTGAGACTGGTATGCAAAAACCGATTTTTTTCAATCCTCTTCCCCCGCCTTGATGTGCGAAATTCCAAAGCATGGTTTCCTAACATTCCTTCTCCCCAACTTCACAGGCCAGGGCAAGTACGTTCCCCGTACCATCTACGCCGATCTCGAGCCCAATGTCGTCGATGAGGTCCGCACCGGTACCTACCGCTCCCTTTTCCACCCCGAACAGATGATCACCGGTAAGGAGGATGCTTCCAACAACTACGCCCGTGGTCACTACACCGTGGGTAAGGAGATGATCGATGAGGTCCTTGACCGTGTCCGTCGTGTTGCCGATGCTTGTGCTGGTCTCCAAGGTTTCTTGGTCTTCCACTCCTTCGGTGGTGGTACCGGTTCCGGTTTCGGTGCTCTCCTGATGGAGCGTCTGTCCGTCGACTACGGCAAGAAGTCCAAGCTGGAGTTCTGTGTCTACCCCGCTCCCCAGAACGCTACCGCCGTCGTTGAGCCCTACAACTCCATCCTCACCACTCACACCACCCTGGAGCACTCCGACTGCTCCTTCATGGTCGACAACGAGGCTATCTACGACATCTGCCGCCGCAACCTCGGCATTGAGCGCCCCAGCTACGAGAACCTGAACCGCCTGATCGCTCAGGTCGTTTCCTCCATCACTGCTTCCCTGCGCTTCGACGGTTCTCTCAACGTCGACCTCAACGAGTTCCAGACCAACTTGGTGCCTTACCCCCGTATCCACTTCCCTCTGGTCGCCTACTCTCCCATCATCTCCTCCGCCAAGGCCGCCCACGAGGCTCACTCCGTCACCGAGATCACCTCCAACTGCTTCGAGCCCAACAACCAGATGGTCAAGTGTGACCCCCGCAATGGCAAGTACATGGCCACCTGTCTGCTCTACCGTGGTGATGTCGTCCCCAAGGACGCCCACGGTGCCGTGGCTACCCTCAAGACCAAGCGCACCATCCAGTTCGTCGATTGGTGCCCTACTGGCTTCAAGCTCGGTATCTGCTACCAGCCTCCCCAGCAGGTCCCCAACGGCGATCTTGCCAACCTCAGCCGTGCTGTGTAAGTTTTTCTCCTGATTCTTTTGGGTCCTAGAACCTGATTACAACTTTGGTACTAATTTATGATATAGCTGCATGCTGTCCAACACTACCGCCATCGCCGAGGCCTGGTCCGCTCTCGACCACAAGTTCGATCTCATGTACTCCAAGCGTGCCTTCGTTCACTGGTACGTTGGTGAGGGTATGGAGGAGGGTGAGTTCTCCGAGGCTCGTGAGGATCTCGCTGCTCTTGAGCGTGATTACGAGGAGGTTGCCTCCGACTCCATCGAGGGTGATGAGGAGCTGGAGCCCGAGTACTAGATTAGCCATGTTTTGTGACGGGCCTTCGTGACTCTTCATTGTTTCACCTCTACGGGTTGGCTTGGGGATCAACGCCGAGTCTAGAAGTTCGGTCTTCATGCGTCTATTGGGCTTCTTGCAAATAGAAGGGAACATAAGTTTTTGCTGCCAATGATTTTCTGGCTTTGTTGTTCGATATATCTTTAATATCCCTGAAGCAGCGATGAAATTTCCCTTCGTTCCATCCAACTTTCGGGTTTCTACATACGTATGTCATTGTTATTACTCTCTCAAGTTCTCCTTGGATCTTATAAAGTGTGCAAATTATCAGTAGGTTGGTTGACTCGAAGTGTGCTCTCTCATAGTCGGAGATTGAAGAAAATGTCCTGGGCACCAGCGTTGATTATGCAGCATATATATAAGTTTACACTATACGAAGTCCAAAAAAAGAGAGACAGTGTATCATTATTGCATTGACCACTTTTCGGGGCATAAGAGACGAACCAATCCAGTCATAGTAAGTATGATCCTGTAAGTTGTCTTCGGGGTCGTAGGGATTGGTACACAATACCTGGACAGCAATGGCTGCTTGTGTCTCAGGGGCAGCAGTTCATGTACTACTGTCACCAGCCAATATCTGAAACATCTATTGAGGATTTCAGGGTTATTGTTGATGCTGCCTCCCGTTTATGGCACAGCACAAAGGTAAAAGAAAATGAAGCATGCCAAGAGAGCATCAGGGACTGGTTGGATAGACGCAATATATTTAACAACATTAAATTAGATAGAAGGGTCTCCTTATAATCCCTCTATTCTCTCATCCTTCGTTCATGCAATGTCTATAGTTCCGGCGTTTTCTATAGTATTCAGTTTATATGGGATGGCGCCTCTGGGTACACCGTATGGAGCAATGTTCTAAAGAGTTTCACCTTTACTTTTGGCTTGCTCACTAGAGACTTTGTTTTTCTCCTTTTTCCTCTCTCCCCCTAGCTGGGATACCTTGTGGAAGTCCTTGTCTTGGATGTATACAGAACTGAGATTCGGAAACCAACCCAGTAACAACTAATTACCTTGGCTCAACTAGAATAATAACATGTATTTCAATTAGTAGACTCCAGTATTTACCAACCTCTTTCAATTTGTAGTTACAAACCCACGCCCCCTGTTAGAACGAGACAACGTGTTGGGACCCGGATGGGCGCTAGATGGACTGACCGCCTTGAGAACCCCAGGAACCTTCCTTACGACATCGACTCCAGCCACTTTCTATCATTCTTCTTGAACTTAATTTTTTTCCTTGGAGCTCGAGATTTATTCGTATCTCGTGTCCTTACAGTCTCGGTCAAATATTGCGCTTCGCCCATGCTTGTCGCCTATTCAGACTAAGCTGACAGCATCCCGTATCTCCAACTTGTCCCCCAAGGCCCCCAACTATTGTGAACTCAGTGGAAGGCGGGGAGTTAAGCTCCTCATAGGACACAGCAATGGCTGATACCAGTGAGTGATACTAAATACTCCTTGTCAGACCCAAAACGAATTGCAGGAGAGCTTCGGCGCACTTTAAGGAGACGGCCCGCGGACCTCCGTCATCACTACCCCCTCCCCTTCATACACCCGCGTTCTCTATGCGCAAGCGGAGCTGACGGATCGCAATCTTCTAGCACAACGACACCCGAATCTCCACCTTACTCCGGAGGAAAAGCGCGTCTTCTTCCAGCTTTTCCAGGCTGCTGATACCACTAACCTCGGCGTCATTACTGGCGAAATCGCCGTTCCTTTCTTTGAGAAGACTCACCTATCTCCGGATACTCTCGGACTGGTATGTGGATATAGCATGGATCTTGGATTGCAATAATAGGAGTCATGGCTAATTATTGGTTGAGTAGATATGGCAAATTGCGGATAAAGAGAACAGGGGCCTCCTGACCCCGTCTGGCTTCGGTATTGTTCTGCGATTAATTGGACATGCCCAAGCTGGCCGTACACCCTCCGACGAGTTGGCTCTGCAAAGTGAGTGGTGTTACCTTGAAATAAATGAAACTCACGCTGATCCCGCATCTGCATCATAGGTGGCCCTCTGCCTCGTTTTGACGGAATTGTGGTCGATACGACGGCAGGCATCCCGGAATCGGGAACCAAAAGCCCTCCACCTGGAGCGAATGGGCCTATCCGTGTTCCTCCACTTCAGCCGGATGATGCCAACAAATTCGTCTCGCTGTTCGAGAAGTCCGACGTCAAGAATGGAATGATCTCAGGTATGTTGTTCTTCACTGCCTAGAAAGTGCCACTACATCTAACACGTCTGCCGTTTGATCTATAGGTGAAATCGCAAAACAGATATTCGAACGCGCCCGCCTCCCAAATGAAGTTTTGGGCCGTATCTGGTTTTTGTCTGATACCAAGCAGCGAGGTGCCTTGGATGCCACCGAATTTACCATTGCCATGCATCTCCTGACGTCATATAAATCTGGCGCTCTGCGCAACATTCCAGCGACCCTCCCACCTGGTTTGTACGATGCGGCAGCTCGAAGAGGATCCGCACGGGCGTCATTTGGATCGAGACCCAATGCGCCCCCCGTCCCGGCCATTCCCCAGCAATTTACTGGCCCCCAGAGAACCACAAGCCCCATGAGCCAAGCCAATCGTTTGCCTTATGTAGGTTCTATTTCCGCCCAGGCCACCGGGGGCGATTGGTTGATTACCCCACAAGAGAAGGCCCAGTTTGATAGCATTTTTGAGACTGTTGATACAGCTAAGTTGGGACTCATTACTGGAGACCAAGCTGTCTCTTTCTTTATGAAAGCCCAGCTCCCTGAAGAAACGCTCGCTCAAATTTGGGACCTTGCGGATATCGACGCAGACGGCCAGCTGAGCCGGGAAGAATTTGCCGTGGCTATGTACTTGGTGAGAATGCAGCATAGCGGCAAGGAGCCGTTGCCACAAGTGGTCCCGCCCGCGCTCATCCCGCCTAGCATGCGCCGCCAAGTGCCTGCACCAATGGCAGCCCCCACTCCTCCCCCGGCGCCCGCCCCCGCTGTGCGGACAGCTGCCGATGATTTGTTCGGCCTCGATACGCCCGCACCGCCATTCGCCCAGCATCAGGTGCCTCAGTCTACCGGAGGCTCCAATAGTGCTTTCCAAACCCCAGGCTCTCCTTCCTCTAGAGCATCCCCTCAGACGGCATCGCACACCTTCAAGCCTTTTGTTCCAACTTCTACATTTGGCCAGAGCTTGCAGCCACAGATCACTGGTGCATCAGCTGGAACCCCGACAGGAGTTCGCTCCCCCCACCTCCATCGGATGATCTCCTTGGTGACAATGATCCTGAAGAATCAAACAAGTTGACCAATGAGACTGCTGAGCTTGCGAACTTGTCCAACCAAATTGGCTCTCTAGCCAAGGAAATGCACACCGTGCAGGAGAAGAGGACCCTTGCTGAACAAAATATTACACAAACTTCGCAGCAGAAGCGTGACTTTGAGGCACGTCTTGCACAAGCGCGGTCAATGTACGAGCAAGAAGTTACCAATTTCAAGGCACTTGAGGAGCGCCTCAAGTCATCCAAGGCAGAGACGCAGAAATTGCAGCAGCAATATGCATTGTTGGACGGCAGCCGCCAAGATCTGCAAAACCAATATACTCAAGTTTCGACAGCCTTGGCTACCGATGAGCAGGAGAATGCTAGCTTAAAGGAGAAGATCCGCCAGGCTAATGCTGAAGTTGCCCAGCTTAAGCCTGTACTCGAGAAGGCGCGATCTAGTGCGCGCCAACAGAAGGGTCTTGTTGCCATTAACAAAAAGCAACTGGCCACCGTCGAAGGCGAACGGGACAAGCTCCAGGGCGAAATTGACGGCCTGGCTACGGAGACCCCACAGTATACCGACGAGTCTGCGACACCAGCCAGCAGTGTACGGGATGTTGCAAGCCCTGCTGTGTCTACGGCAAGCCAAAACACAAACCCATTCTTCCGTCGAACAGGCAGCTCGAGTGAACAGGCACGCTCCCCCGATGTTTCAAATGATCAGCAAAGGGCATTCGACAGCCTCTTCGGACAGTCATTCGCAGCTGTCCCTCCTGCCGGACCACCACCCACTTCGTTCCGCTCCGAGTCGCCACAAGTTGCAGTCGCATCTCCTGTTACATCTGCTGTTACAACCCCATCAGTCTCTCCTCCTCCTGGATCTTTGCCTGGTGCATTCCCTGTTGGGCCCTTCTCTGAGCCACCGCCTCCGAGTCAGTCCCGACAGATGACCCCAAACTTCCTACAGTTCAATGATAATCAGTCTGTGACTTCATCTACTATGGTCTCGCCTCCTGCTAGTCGATTCGGTGGCCCTGAACCCTCTGGATTTGATACGCTTTCTCAGGCGGCTACCAGTGACAATGGACATCAATCAGTGACAGAATCTAGCGACTACAGTCGTGCACCAACCTCAACTGTTGGAGCTACCCCGGCACGGTCTCCGTTTGACGAAGAAGGACAAGAGACCTCTGCTAGGTTCCCTGAGGTCCCAGCCGCAACTGCTAAGCAGCCCGAATCTGCAACATCCCCTATCGCCAAAGAGAGCGAGGTCGAAGCCAGCAAGGACCTAAGCTTTGATGAGCTGTTTGGCAGCAAGGCACACAAACGGTCGGAATCCCAGCAAGGTAACGACTTCGAGGAGGCGTTTGCTTCTATGAAGCCTGTAGCTGGAACCGAGCGGGCAAATGGAGCTGCATCAGCCGGTCCATCCGAATTCCCCCCGATCCAAGAGCTACACCATGACGATGACGAAGACGAGAGCTCTGACGACGAGGGTCCTATGGGGTTCGATGACAACTTCACGCCTCCTGCACCGGTTGCCAAGAAGGAGACCCAGCAGGATTCCATTGACGCTGCTCAACTCGCTGCTTTCCCTGCCCCGGGAAACTCAAACAACCCCCCGTCTCTCGAGGCACAGCAGAGCCCTCCAGGGTATGAAGCCCCCAAAGAAGATAACGTTCACATTCCTCCTCAATTCGATGGCCTTTTGCCCGAGCGCGTCGATCCCACCGCGGCGCCGGATGCGCCTCATTCAGTGGACCACGCCACTGGGGCGCCAGTCGTGAGCAATGAGACCCAACGAGACTCTGTCTCGGATGCCGCCATCCCCCCGGTGGAGCGAAGGTGGGAGGACCGGACTTTGAGGCGGCTTTCGCGGGGATGAACCTTGCACCCGCGGCCGAAGTAGATGACGATGACGACGACGAGCCGCTGAGTCACGAAGCCAAGAACACGACGGATTTTGACTTCTCTTTCGACACTCCGTCCCAAAAACAGCAGGCTGTCTCCGGTGCCGATGATAGCCAATCCAGCTCCTCTCAGTTCTTCGCTTTCGATAACAACGTTCATGCATCCGCTGTCCCGCCTGTTGGATCGCCCAGCGAGGGCGAGCCAAAGCCGGCTTCTCAAGAATGGGACGCTCTCTTTGCGCCTCTTGAGAACTCCAAGCCCGATACCGGTGACGACTCGAACGGAGCGAAATCCAAGCAGCCTGGATGGGCTCTGAACAACGACACTGGCGAAGATGATCTGATCCTTCAACGGCTGACCGGCATGGGCTTCACACGGGATGAGTCCTTGGATGCCTTGGAGAAGTATGACTACAATCTTGACAAGGTAAGCTCTCTTCCGCATTAGGTTTTGCACTCAAACTGACTGAAGACTAGGCTGCGGACCACTTGACTTCGAAGACTTGATTATGACACCCTCCCTTTTTCTCACTGCACATATCTCTTACATACTTCTTGTTTCTGCGCCTATGTCTCTCATTCCTTCACGGAAGCCCCTCGACCTGATGACCAATCTCTCAGTGGCCTCCTTTACATCGATGTTTCCCTTCGTTTCTCCAGCGCTGTGTATATCGTTTCCTTTCATTTTCTTTCCTTTTGTTGCGACCAGATTGGTCTCCTATGGATCCGGCTTTTTGCCCAATGCTATTAGCTCGGAACTGAGGATTTTGGTGTGTCGTGTTTGTTGTCTTTGCCTGTGTAGTGTAGTTTACAATAATCCATAATCGAGTTAAATATTTTCATCTCTCTTGGTGTAGCATACGTATACACCGGATTTCAGGGCTACCCAGACCTTGATGAATATAAAAGTTAGACAGCCCACGAAAATAATGTAAGCAGCAAGCTCCCCCTTTCTAGTTGCAATTAGTCTGTATCATTTGGCCCAGACATCTTCGCTTTTGGAAAACGATTTCAAATGTGGTTTATAGCGAAACCCCCTACTCGAAACCACCGTGGGATTCCGTGCCACAGTAAAATCTGTGACATTCTTAAAATAATCTATATTCTACATTTTGTGGCTAAGTCTTCTTATTCCTAGCCACAGTGCCAGTAAGGGGGGGGGGGATCTAGAAGAAAATACATCCGAGGAGTATCTAAGAAGACTGCTCAAAATACTGGCCAAAAGCCATGACAAAGTCGCATAAATGGCCGACTATTCTTCTCTGCGGATGTATTCATGTAGACTGACATGGGTTTTCACAAAGAAGGTTGAAATTATTGTTGAATTCCATATCAAGTACTGAGAATGAACTAGGATTCTTAACAACATGCAATCTAACAGGTTGGGTTTCCTTTCAATATATTCTATATCGCAAGCCCCAGATATCAAAAATACAGAATTTGCCGTAGACGCGAGAGTCGTTGCTGAACTTCCATTTCCAAGCGCCTCATTTCCTCCCTATTAGCAGTATCGGGGGATTGCAAGACGGGTTCATTTGATTTGGCCATCGGATCTTGCCATGGCGATACAGTCATAGAGCCTTTGGCGGATAGGTATAAACCAATCGCTTGGTTCTGTCGCTCGATGAGGTAAGAGCATATCTGCACAATAGAGACGAGCTGAATATCACCCAGTGCTGTCCTCTCGGCCCGATTGCTTAGCTTTGCATCATGCTCGAGAATATCTAATACTGAGATATAAATATTCATGAGTGAGGAATAACAGCCGATGGAGAGGCGGCAGATGACGTTATCGAAGGGATTGGATTCCTTCGGCGATGGCATCGTGGTTATAGGCATAGCTCCGACCTCCGGATGTAGATCTCGTAGAATTTCTAGCATAAAATGCGAGTCGGAGAAAAGATAGTAAAGCACACCTCCAGGTGTTTTGATATCAGGCTCCTGTGTTGGTCGGCCAGTTGAACATCGCGTCGACTCAAATGAATCGAAGCCAGTAGAGCCGTGGGCAAGCCACGAGGCAACCGAATCAAACGCAGTAGCATCTATGAGCGGCTGACTACCGATGCGAACTCGTTCGTTTCCGGGTTGGATTGATGGGCTGGCGAGCTCTTGGGCTAAGCGACACAATCTCGAGAGACGGATGCTGAGTTGGGAGAGTTGCCCAGTGACGAGGCCAGAATCAGTTTCGCCACTGCCAGTTTTACTAATACTACTTTGCGCATCAGTACATTGAGATTGTCCGAGCACATCAGGCGATGCTTGAACTGGAGCTGGGCCAGCCCATGCAGGGTCCGTGTCCTCGGCTGCACCCTTTTTGGGAAACTCCCCGTCCCCGAGGAGGCCTGGGATCCCGGAGGTAGATGAAGGCTGGATAGATTGTATGATCGATTGACCGGCTAGCGTCTTAGGAGAGGCGGGCGGAGGTGAAGTTAACGGTGGAAGTGGAGTGGATGGTGGATCCTGATCTGCGTCGATAGGCTCGTGCACACTCAGTCGGCCCTTAGGCAAGGAGAAGCTATAGACACATTGTACATGTTTGCGCTGGCAGTGCATGCATGCGCCCGTGTTTTCGGCGCCGGTACGTGCACATCGTAGCTTCTGACTATGACAACGGTCGCATGAGTGACGCATGGGTGTTTCCACCGCCGTTTGGCGTGGCATTATCAATGATTGCAAAGATAGGTCAAAGCCTCTCTAAATGCAGAGAACGATCTCTTACGTGTGGTTGAGGTTATGAGGAAATGTGTAGATTGCTTATTCCGCGGGGCAATGCGATCCACCTGGGGCATGTATAATTGGATGTCTTACCGATCACGCTTGGGGCCAAGAAAAAAAAAAATAAAATACCAAAGGATCACAGAGAAAGGACTAGTCAAATAACTCTCTAAAGATAATTTTCTAGACTTCCAAGGTCAACCTATGGGGGGTACATGGTCGCAAAATAGTTTCCCCTTACGCCATACACCAGTTTGCGCTATACTAAGTCATGACAACGACCTCCTTTCCGTCGTGGTCTTTTTTTCCCAAGGAAGAATCAAGCCCAGTATGAAAGCAGTTCCAAACATTGCGATGGAAACAGTGAGAACGAGAGAACACCGCGAGCAACAGTGCCGAGCGCCTAATGGGGGTCCTATTTCCAGGATTCACCGCTTTGATTCCCTTCGTAATTTCTAACACACTATATTTTGATTAGGACAAGTTCTCTAGTCAGCCGCTTGGGTAGTATAGGGCTTGGATCTGAATATTACGTTCGATCAAGATCGTCTTTCTAGATATAGGACAACTGCCGTATATGCTGATAATGATGTGTCTCATCCCACCCTTACTGTTACTTTGATCGTCTGATATACATTCCCATTGATAGGAATTTATTCTTGGACTTTAGTTCATATAGTCTGTGTTTTCGGGTCTGCTACCTTCGAAGGGATTTCCAGTCTCGTATTTGAACCCAGGAACATACTCTATTGATTTTGGAACACCGAAATAATGACGGGGTTTTATGGAATATGGGATATAAGAGATCATTTTCATATCTCTACCTAAAGAGTTCCAACTTAATCTCCCGGATTGTAATAGATCGAACAGGTTGCCTCAGGGCTGTATAGTAACCGAAAGGAGCCAATCAGCAATAGTCTCCACTACTTAAGCTTCGGCTACAGTTCGTGCAAAGCTTGGCATTTTGAATCTTTGGATTCGAGTTTTGATTCTATACCGTTGCCTCTTCTATTATCTAGTTAGATGCCAAAGTTTCGACAAAGGCAGAAACTGGTGTAACATATGGGCTGAGGCCAAACTTTGGGGGAGCCGTGGGGATGTCTACTGTTGAACACACAGTAGTTGCCCTTCCTCTTTCCCCAATTCTCATCTCACCTACTGCTTAGTGCGTGCCACAACACGCATTGCAGGCTTCACTTTACCACTTTCAAATACATTCGCTTATGAAACCACATGGAGCTTCTTGCACGACATCCTCACCCAGTTCCCCTGGGCACAAAATCATTAGGACCAATTTCCACTCTGGCACCATTTTCAGCCTTGATTATCTCCATCGTGCTAGTCATCATCTTCCTCGTTCGCCTCTACGTCCTCGAAGGATTTCTCATTTGTCATTTATATGGCCCCATCTACACCCAGATGAGTGAGCTGAACCGTCGAGGGTTCATAAATCACCACATCGCCGGTGTCACCAAGCTCATCATTTTGATTGTTGCCGCATACCCCTTCATCGGTGTCACTTTCTGCAATGGCCCGTCATTCAACACTCCCTTCGTCCATGGCTCAGGAGTGACCCTGGGAGACATTCTGATTGTTGTATCCCAGATGTTGATTGGTATATACCTTTTTGAGTTGATCTACCGCGTGAAGCTGTCACCCGTGGCCGTAATGCACCATATTGGGACAATCTTCATTGGCCAAGCCGCCATAGCGATCAGTCTGCGACCGCTACGCGAACCTGATTCGTACATCGAGTTCGTCCTCTGTACTGTCTGGGGTAAGTATATGGGGCCATGGAAAAACAAAGAAATAAATACTAATAAAAGACGGGGTTTAGGTGCATTCGACGCCGTTTTCGAGTTATTCCCCCACCTCGCTATAGTCCTGTACCGGATCTTCCCCGACCGCCACCACTTTCTCAGCAATCTTTTCCTCTTCTCCTGTTTCTCAACCGCATTGGGGACAGCCGCCGAGACCGTGGTGACCATGTGGCTGTTTGCAAGTACGTGGGACCGGTGGCGGCTTGCCTTCAAGGTTGTCACGCCAATTCTGCACGTGGCGTTCTCCGCGGCTCAGATCCATGGTAGTCTTGTCTTCTGGCGGATGTACCGCCGTCAAAAGCGCTTCCAGATGGAGGCTGATGCCGAAGCCAGAGATAGCAATATCAAGGGTGAGAATGAGGGCTCGGTAAATGATCGTCAGCCCCAAAGCCGGAGTGGCCAGAGCATGGAGGAGGTCAATGCTGACTTGGTCACTGTAAAATCGGGGGTCCCGGTTGTTGCTACTGTTGAGAGGTCCTGTTAGTGCTCATGTATGTGTGGATTATCTAAGACAGCATGTATAACATACAAATATTTCGTTCCGTCTTTTCAAATTTAAGAGACCTTGATAACACTCATAAGGGACCCTTCCGCTCGAGATTGTGTAATGACAAGACTTCTTTTTCTTTTTACCGGTGACAACGTTATATAGCCCTGCCTCTGACGTCGACGGGAGCGGACATGGCATTTTGATACATATTTATGCAGCCAAGACCAAACAGCCACTCCAGAACATTCTTCTCAGGCTGTTTGGAACAGACTATCCAGCTAAAAGCCTTCAAATGTGGATTTTACGACAACAGAGATTGAAGCCGATTGGTTACATTATTGTTCCAACGAATATCCACTGATCTGTTTTTTTTTTTGGTTAATTAGTTCTCTGTGGTGTAAGTCTCTTATATATTCCCGCCGGATTGCTGCGCATATCTCTCAGAATGAAGTTTAGTAACTTCAGGCATCTTATACATGTTCTCGTTGATAAACGTCACCAATAGCAAAGCCACCGATGCCAGTGTGATTAATTCCGTCATGCTCGCTAGAAGCCCTTGCCAGACCGCTTGTTCAGGGGTTTCTGGCCCGCAAGGGGAAAAGAGGAATGGAACTGAGAGTAAGCGATCATATATCAGCCGAAATTTGCCCAAGCCCTCCTAGAGACGTGCATATTTTCATCCCATCATGCACATGACATTACAGCAAGCTTGTCATGCTGCACAGAGATCATATCCAGCTTGGCTGGGTCTTTTTAGGGCAAGCCTGGAAGGGTTTGAAACCCCCTGGATAGTTCAGTCGTGGAAGCTTAGCCTTAGCTAGCTTCAGGCGCTAGGTTCAAATTTAGTGGCCCGCTAGGCCTGGGATCTCCTGGGGTTTAGGGCTGTGGAGCGCCCAGGCTGCGGGTTCATCCACGGGTGTGAACATATGTAAGTAAACGAGATCCCGTCGTTTACCTACATACAATGGTAACGTTAGAAGATTCTCTGTATATAATTAGTGTATTCGCGTTGCTTGGATTGCATGCTTGACTCAACATACTCATTCCTCCCCACTTCCAAGGTTACTGTAAAGACTATGTAGCCCGAGACTGTAGAGGCGAGACTGCATGCTGGCTGTAGATCATTCATCTCCTATGGTTTCACACGGAATTTGGGGGATTAAGCACTCCTTCATAAGCTTTTGCTATATCTGTATTTCAGCAGTTCGTTGCCTAGTGTTAATACTCTGTTCGGACGAACCCCAATACTCGAGTCGACGCCCACCAGACAACTGTTTTAAATGCGCTGCCTGCCAAGGCCGCGGCGGCGACTCGATTGTGTTCAAGGTGCCGCTTGCTCCAGAATCATTGTCGGCTAGTTCGGTCGAGGCTTCGAGGTATTGTGGTGGCCACCACAATCACCAGTCCAAAAGTGTTACTATGTCAAAACCTCAGCAGAAAACATACAATAGCAGGAAGGGAATCAAGATAATCTGTGGTAAAATTAGGTCTGTTAATCACAGTTCACCGTCCGATAATGATAGAACGTGGGTGCAAGACCTCAAGCCCTTGGGCGTGGTCGCCTCTCATGAGAAACAAGACTTCGTCCCCTTTCCATTCCCATTTCCTCCTCGATATCATAAGATCATGAAAATGCATCCATTAAAAGCATGGTCCCATTTATCATCATGAATTCATCGTCATTCACTGCAGCAATGGGAGCTTTCGAAATTTCGAAGCACCCTTAGCTGCACTTCTCGTGCTTCTCATGCTGCTTGGCCATTCGCTGCATGTCAAGACCTATGATCGGTTAGTTTCCCGTGCCAAATAGGCGAGTAGAAATTGAGTCTCTGCTAACTTACCGAAGTCTTCGCAGGAGCGCTCTCTGTCTTTCTTACGAGGACCTTTGCCGTGCATAAGGTTGTCGAACCTTTGCGAGTTATGCATCACGACGTAAGCCAATGCGTTCACACATGTCACCCCAAAGGAGAGAATCCACACGCGGAGGACAGTCAACCAGGATGTGGCTTGGCCAAAGGCACCATATGCAGCCATCAAGGTTGCAGTCAGGTTGACAGAAAGCACCGCAGCGATAAGGTAAAGCGATGGGCAGTTGGCCCAGAACGATCCAGATTCAGATCCATTGACGCGAGTTATCAGAATCAGCCAGCTCTGGGTCAGAGCAATCTCAAGGAATAAGACCTCATCTCGTGAGCCCCAGCCTTCGATCACACCTCCATCCTCGCCTTGCAACAGGATGGTGCCCAACGTCACCCAGGTGCCGGCTGCGAGAATGAACCCTAGGGCAATTGATTCTCCCCAGAGTCTTGGCTGGTTCCATTTGACGGGGGACTGAGAATATGAAGCATTGTCGTAAGCAATGGCCAAGGTCGCAACGTCAGCAAAGATGGCGAGGAGAACAACCAGGCGGAGGTCGAGAGTCTCATTCTTGATCGCTATCCAGAGTCCGAGGAAGAGTTCCAGGTGAATGGACAGGGCAATTCGGAACACGACGTATGAGTACATGCGGTGGAAAATCTGGCGAGCGATCTTGATCGCCTCGATGATGGCGGACAGGCCAGGTGCCAAGAAGACAATATCAGCAGCAGAGCGGGCCGCATCAGATGCGCCTTCCACCGCAATACCCGTGTTTGCCTTCTTCAGAGAAGCAGCGTCGTTCACACCGTCGCCGGTCATTGCCACCAGATAGCCGCGGCGCTGGAGAATCTCTACCACACTATATTTATGCTGGGGGTACACTTCCGCAAAGCCATCAGCGGCCTCAACAAAGTCATTCACCTCCGAGCCACACATAGAGCCGGCGCCAGTGACACCAAGTCGTTCAGCGTTGTAGATATTGGTTCCGAGACCGAGTCTACGCGCTGTTTCGCGTGCAATGGCCACCGCATCTCCAGTGAGCATCTTGATAGAGAGTCCCAGTCCTTGGGCCTCGGAAACCGTCTTAGCAGTGTCGTGGCGAGGGGGATCCAAGCATGGCATGATTCCCAGAATCTCCCAGGGACGTCCTTGGCGCTTTCGAGCAACTCCCAGTGCACGGAATCCTCGGTTGGCAAACTCGGTGACCTTTGCCTCGTATTCCGCGAAAAATTGATTGCACAGAGTGGTTTCCTTCTCCACTGTTCTCAGGATAGTCATAGGAGCACCCTTCACACAGATGACCTTCTCACCATCCAGGGCTTGCACATATGCAGTCACTTTCTTTGACACCGGATCAAAGGGAACGAACTCAAGAGTCTTGTACGTGACAATCTGAGATTTGGCCCATGGGTATTGGCGGAGACCCTTGAGGAACACCTTGTCGATAGCATCGATCCCGCCCTTTTTTCGAGTGGCCGCAAGGCAGGCAGTCAACATAAGGTCTTCTGCGCTCATTCCAGCGGCTATGTATGGGTCTCCCAATGTCAGCCTGTTACGCGTAAGTGTTCCAGTTTTGTCCGAACAGAGGATCTGCACTCCAGCCAACGACTCAATAGCTGAGAGATTTTGCACGATGGCCTGTTGTTTTGCCAGATAAAATGCACCAACAGCCATGGTTGTGGTGACAACAACCGGAAGACCGACGGGGACTCCGACGACGGTGATTGCAAGCGTGAACTCGAGTATCTGGACAATCGGGTTTGAGCGATAATAACTGCTGATCCAGACAACAAGGAGGGTGAAAACCACCAGAATCAGAAGAACACGGGCCATTTCGCCCAGGACGCGAGTGAAGTGGCCATTGGTATTGCCAGCCTTGTTAACCAGGACCGCTGCATTTCCGACAAAGGTATGATCACCAATGGCAGTTGCAACCATGACCCCAGTCCCGCGTTTAACAGCTGATGAAGCAAAGAGAGGATCACCATTATGCTTATCCACAGCGAGAGATTCCCCCGTTATTCCAGACTGATCCACCTGAATATAGGTTTTGTCACCTATCAGTCTACCGTCTGCCGCAATGATTGTGCCCTAAGACGAATATTAGGCTCAACTTTCTTCCTTTTTCCCCCACTCAAATTGCCATGAACTCACATCTTGCACATGAATGATATCCCCAATCACGACTTCTTCAGCACTGATATCGACGATGATACCGTTGCGAACAACCAGAGCTCTCAGGGCAAGAGTTTCCTTGAGGCTCTCGACAATGTTGCCCGCCTGGTACTCCTGGGCAAATCCGACCACGGCGTTCAATAGTAGCAGAGCACAGATTATTCCGAAATCTATCCAATCTTCCAAACCGCCGGCTAGCAAGATGGCAATCTGGAGTTGAGAAAACATTGTGAGCATATGCTTTTTCCAATGAGACTATAGTTGGCAATGGTGAATGAGCGTGCTTACCTCCATGACCCACTGGACCGGGCCATTGAAAAAGGCAATAAATTTGAGGAAGTGGTTTCTTTTCTGTTGCTTCATACGATTCCAGCCATACTTCTTGTGCCGAACCGCCACCTCTGCGTCACTGAGGCCCTCGTCGATCTTAGTGTCCAGCATATCAGCAGGGATTGGGCAAATTTCCCCGCCCCGGATCGTGGTTTCGTCCATATCAGGCTCCTTTCCGTCTTCAGCCTCCAGCTCTTCCATGAGGCAATTCAGAGATTCTTCGCTTTCTTCCTGGAAAGAGGCCAAGGGCTTCAACGTCTCGGGAAGAGAAAAGTCGTCATTTTCTTGAACCCCAAGGACGTAGTCTTTGGTTTCGCTGCCTGTGGAAGCGTACGTTTCGGATTCGGAAGCCACGTTGGGACCAATTTGAGGATGGTCTGGAGGGGTCAGAGTGCGCCTGGAACGGCCGCGTCGATCTTCCTGCGCCTTGGCACCAGCAAGCAGACTGGAACGAAACAGTCTAACTTGGTCTTTCTTCTCGGCTATCAAACTGTCGCACTGTTCACCTTGGTCTTCCTGCTCGCTGGAAGAATCATCCAGGCTGCTCAGGCTTTCACGAAACTTTCGATATGTCTCCTCATCTTTCTCATTCAGGGACTCATCATGCCGGGTATTACTGTTATCCTGATGTTCCTCCCCGGGAATGGCGTGTTTGTTCGAATGAAATAGACTTCTGTCAACCAGTTTGGACAGCAAAGTCCGCTCTCTGCTGATATCCGCGTCCGAAGTACCCAACGGGTCAGTCGAGGACTTTGGAATGAACTTTTCCAGCCTACTCGTCTGAATGGGAGGCAGCTCCGAATGGTCACGTCGCTTGAAAGGACTGAGAGATCGGTCACGTTGCTCGCTTTGAAGCACAGCTCCACGCGGTGGAAGAATAACGGAATGCACACCGTCCCCCTCAGTGTTATCTTGAGTTGGGGGCTTGTCCGGTGGATGACTCCTGAGCGGCGCGTTTCGTTGGTCCATCATGTCAGACTTGGGTCTAGCCATGATGGCGAAACGGCTGCAAAAACTGAAAGAAATCAGCAAACTGTCAAACAACAAGACACAAATACAATTCACATGTTCATACAAGAGGTGTGTGTGTCGATACATTATTGATCTGATACAACAAAGTGTGATACAAGGCAAATGGGAAGGCCACAGCGGGATGATGCTGCCCTTCGGAGAAACACACCAAGCTCTCAACAGGTGAAAGAATCACAGCCCAAGAACGTACTTACCTGAAAGAAGTGATTTATGCTCTGGCTTTAACTGATGTGATGGCTAAAGATGATGGGAGAAGGGAAAGTGTCGCGAGTGTCGCGAATGTTGCAGGGGGGAGAAGGAGAAACGCCGAGAACCGAGTGTTTATCTCGAAGGAGCGACCCTCGAGGACGACGACCAGGCGCCAGCAATCATTGAGACGCATGCCTCATTACAGACGCCAGCCTACGCCAGCCTGCGTTTTGTTCGATATACACTGTTATTTATCATCTTGTAAAGGATGAGCCAATACAGTCAACAATGGGCTCGTTCATCTATGGGAATCCACCGAATCCACGGTTGTGGGACCCACAATACCTCTCAATCCCACTGGGGAGCATATAGTTGGTGTATCGGAGCCTGAAAGGTCTTCAGGCTAAGGTGCGACGATATAACTATCTATCGTGACCTTGAGTTGAGAAGTGACAGCAAGAGACTCAGTGACCATCCACCCGTGCCCCGCAGTCTACCCTTGGACGATAAGTTGATACGCCAATACCGGGGCATATCGGCTTATCGTAGCCTGCTGGACAAACGAGCAAGTCAACATTCCACTTGAAAAGGATAGTGACGGCGCCACAAACAACATCCCGCGAATTATGCCGTTGCCTATAAGACTGACCGTGGCCTAAGTAAAAACATGCAGTGGAACGGATATATTGACTATTTACTTCCTAATATTCAATCCAATTGGAAAGTGTGATCGTTCAATCAAGTCAATCATTGATATGTTTGATATTGTGGTATTGAATTCCCAATCTGGGATCAGTCCAGAGTCAATTGAATTTAATCAGAGGGTACCAGGAAATGAAAACAAAACTAATGCGTATTCACATCGCATATAGATCAGTGCGATTCACTTAGGGCAGGTATCAAAATGATGGCCTGAGGCATGAATCTGACCATGGATATTACATAATCTCACGTCACTCCCGAACTTTCAGATTCAATGCGGTCTGATAACTGTTCATGTAATCGATTCGAGATCTCCTGCATCTCATATTAATTAAATAGACTTGTGTTTGTACTTGTGCTTATCTGTGTTGAGGTCGAATCCACTATGCCTGTTCGTTTGTGCTAGACACTCGAACTTGCATGTTTCATGACCGTTTCGATAACTTGAACATAGCTGGATTCTTCTCCCTCTTTGTGCATTCTCCCTGATATTTACCTTTTCAACATCGCGTGTCATCTACAACTATGGCTCGTGAAATCCCAGGGTTCTATTATGGTAAGTCCTGTTGTGTTGCGTTTCTTCCCTTCTGCCGAGGTACACGAGGGTAGTACGTAAAGGCGCGTTCTACTACACGCCAGTCACACGCACAGACTGTATCATACTATCTATCCCATGGACTGCTGTTGTATCTTTGCAGCGATCAACTACCCCGCTATAACACGCGAACTTTTGTGTCGACTCATACTGACCAAATATCACAGATGAGGAGAAGAAGAAGTACTTCAAGATTCAAGCGAACCATGTCGCTCCTCCAAATGCACAATATACACAGCAAACCGTGAAGCGAAAGCGGTCTGAACTGAAAGTCAGTACAAGAGCCCTGTGTGTATCATTACATTCGCTGATCAATCACAGACACGTGAAAACAAGACACGATTCAGACAACGTGAGAACAAGGAGACGATCAGAAAAGCCGCGTCGTTGAAGCACCCTTTGGTTAATGTCCAAAGAGAGATCGGAGCCCTTGTATCATCCTCCAATGCCAAGCAAGAGCAGCAGGCTCGCATTCAGGCTAGCCAACTGCGCCGTGGAGAACTCCATCGTTTTGAGCCATGGCCTAGCTCGTACAGTATCCGACATGTCTTGCGCAACCCACGTTCAGGGACATTGATTGCCGGTGAGTTTCATTGGCTTTTATTATCCCGATACGTGGCTAACATGCATGACAAGGCTCGGCTCGCGGATATGAATCGTCTGTATCGTAAGTTGATGGGTTTGCCGCTGTCAAATGTCAGGTTATTACATACTGATCAGAGGATAGGGTCTGTTTTCCTGACATTGACGAGTCACAATGGCGCTATGACCACACCATGGAACGGGTTCTATTCAGAGAGCCGTACTCGGTGAGCACATTCGTCCCGGCACTTCCTTCCACTAAAGGCATGCTTAACACTCCCTCTAGTTAGGATCGATGTCTTTGAGCTCGTCGGGATACCTACTGTACGTCTCCATATAAAGCTATTCGATAGACTCACAGCTAACAGCTCCAGTGCAACAATGAACGAAGGACCGCAAGGTGACTGCTTCCTTTCGGCGCATCTCCTTCCAGAGCCCGACGAGGGCGGCAACTATGTCTGGCCAACTTGTACGATCCCATATGTATATCTATCCCCGGACATTGCGCTTACCCAAAACTGTTCAGTCTCTCATCCGATTCGGATCAGACCCCACTACCCGATGTCATTCTGGTGCTCCGCAGCCCAGCCCGCAGCATCAAGCGCTCACTTCGCCATAGGAACCTCAGAAGGGCTCCACACCCTGGAGGGTACCAACAGCGATTGGATCCTATTGAAGAAGCCATTTAAGGGCAATTCGGTTTCCACGGGCAACAGAAGACGCTCGGAGAACAACCAGAGCAAAAATAGCGTACATGCCGTGGAATGGATATCACCCGACGTGATTGCGGCTGGACAGAAAAACTCCAAAATATTCCTCCACGACCTACGCAGTGGTGGCAGTGCCACACGTCTCCAACACAACGATGCAGTAATGGAAATAAAGAAGATGGATGAACACCGACTCGTGGCGGCGGGACCTAGCTCGGTATGTAGCACTGTCTGCCTTTTGTTCTTTTCTACCCTACGTGACACGGCGTTGGATGTTGGCTGACATTCATCTCAGCTACGAATGTACGACCTCCGCTTTGCGCCAGAGGGGCTGAAACGTCATGACTCCTCGAAGCCCTATCTCAATTTCCACGAATTCTCCTCACTTCCGATCCCAACCTTCGACCTGAGCACCGAGCTGGGTCTCCTGGCTAGTCGTATGTATTTCTTGGACATCAGAATAACCCGATTTTCAGTGTATCTGAAGCTAACATACACCTCGATTTAGCCTCCCAGGACTGCAAAATCCAGCTCTTCTCTCTTCAAACCGGACTGCAGGTCTCATCGCCTCTCACGGGACATCAATATTCCTCGCCACCTAGCTCTGTGCGATTTGAATATGGGAACGATACCTTCGAGTGGCGGGGGCCACATGGACCGAGTTTGTTGATCGGCACAGATGAAGTAGTTGAACAGTGGACATGGTAGGAGTGGGAGGAATATCGGCGCTGATTGTTTCTTTTCGTCATTCCATCTTCTCTGTCTGGTATGGGGATTTTGCGCATGGTCATAGGTGTTTCCTGGCGATTTTATTCTGAAATGGTTTTTATTCTATTGGCGTTCGAACGCAATATGCAGATTTACGGTGTATGGTGATGATTTTCTGCATGCAAGCATGCATTGTGATAGGTACACGGGATAGTTAGCGACGTCAAGTCTCCAGGTTATCTTGCAACTCTACTCCCCGGCGCACACAGTAGAAATTAGCTATCCAAGGGCTAGCATGATCATAATAGGCCTTGTATCGACGCGCAAGGTCACAATCTACGAGATACTCGGGCATTTACTGTCATACGGATGTAGGCAATGATCAGGGAAAATGACAACATGGGTATAATTGACCTAACACAAGTGAAACCAGTATGCAATGCAGGGACAACAAGCCAGGAACTCCCGTCGATAAATGCAAGAACAATTTGCCAGCCAGTAGAAGCACCAAGAAAAGTCGAATCAGTCCAGACCACCAGCCAACCACTCACCAACCTCGACACCAATACCCTTAGCCAGCTCACCGATCCAGTCACCAGAGACATTGACACACCACTTATCTCCCGCGTCAGCAGTGGTATTCCCACTGCTAGTCGCCATAGCGTTGTGGCTAGCAGCGGGGACGACGAGCCGCAGGCGTCGCAGCGTTGCCAATTCAGCATATATACGGTCTGCAACAGCGGCAACTCGAAGTGGGGTTGCTGGGGGGTTCGGGTCAATCGCATGGTAGATAGCTAGAAGACGTTCTAGGGGGAAAGAACGAGCGGTGAGAATGGTAGACGGGCCGGCGATGCCTGCGCCACCTCCGACGGCTGAAGTGGTGGCCGAAGAGGTCGCAAAGGCGGAGGAAAGGGTTGATTTTGTGATACGGGTTTTGGTTCGCTTTCCTTTCTTGGGGGTTGAAGGGTCGTCGTTTGCGGCTTGTCTTTCTTCTGCCTGGGCTTGGGAGAGGACTTTCAAACGCCGACGGTGGTGAGCACGCTTGTTCCGGGCTGAAAGAGATGATGAAGAGAATTTGGAGAAGAAGATTGTGTCCAGTCGTTGAGGCGTGTGTGAGGCCAAATATGCGGATGTGAGGATCAGGGTCGAGAAATAAGGCAGAGAAGGGAGCGCCGAGGGCATAGCGGTTTTTGCCAGCGGGGCCCGTTTCACGCTGGCAGGAGTCTCGTCAGGGACAATGCGGTGCACCAGCGCAGACTCGCCCTGATGTCGGAAGATAGCCCTGTTTTTGACAAGCAACCGTGAGAAATCCCACTCATTGTTTCCGCCTGGGGGCGTTTCGCCATTCACTACAGGCGCAACAAACCGAGGCCACAGCCTCTCACATATGGACCGGAAATCTGGTATGGAACCCGCTGTCGGTCCAACCAACGAGTCGTAGACTGTAGATACAAAGTACGGGTATACCCGCGAAGAGGTTTCATCGGGCAACCTATCAACAACCGGGGCATTGGAACTGAGAACAATGTGGATGGCCTCCTTGCGGGTATAAGGAGGGAAATTGACGTGCGGAACCGCTGCACTTTGGAGGAACAATGGCCGTGGAGTCGAGCTGAGGACTAGGACAACACACAGAGACGGAATCTACAAATCATCGGGTTAGCCGCAACATTCAACACCCAGCAAAAGTCATCCAAGGGCAGAACTCACGATCTCGCCTAGCCGTGCCAGCGCTGACAGCAGAGTATGCGGTGCTTCTCTTTGCCTGTCAATCTCGTCCAGCACCAGCACGAATTTGCCTTGATTCTCAACGGGCCTCGCCGCCAGGCACTCCTCAAGCAAGACTGCAAGGCCACTGACATGCTCGCATCTTCCCTTGCCAGCTTTCTCCCATTCTCCCTTCTGGCCCAATGCCCCCAGTGTATTCCATAGAATTTTAGTCAGAAGATGCCGTCCCGTTATACATTCCGAGCTCCTGACAATGGCATGCGGCACTTCGAGTGTAGCGAGGACGGCCCGGAGGATAGTCGATTTGCAGGTCGCAGAGATACCATGGACGACCAATGTTGGAGGACTAGGAACGTGAGGCTAGTCGAATAGCATTAGAGGTCAGCCATTTTCTCCGGAGATGACTGGCGAATGCCAGGAATTATTGTTAGCGTAGTAAACTCACACTTAAAAGACTAGCTAGCTGCCGCATCTGAACATCGCGACAAGGCCATTGTGTGCTCAATGAGCTGGCAACCTGTTTTGGTAGCATAAGAGGCCCAGTCAGGTCGTTTCGAACCTCGTAGACTGAATTGTCAAAAGCAAGTTGCGGCATCTTGCTGAGTCTCCGAAGGGCGGCTCCTTTGGGATGCACGTGATCACGCGTCGCGCCACAAATTTGGCGGCAAAACTAAAGAAATTACAAAGACAAAGACATGAAAATCTACAAAGGTCGAAAAATAAAGAAAGATTGTATGAAAACTTAATTCAGCTTTCCATTGCTAAAATACATGCAAAAAGTGTGTGCAGGATCATGCATGACGACGAAGACCTGGCCCAAAGACCAAATGGCACCTATCATCAATATTGAGCAGCAAGCCGACCGGAAAATAACCATGGTTATCAATGGACAAAAGCTCCAGAGCCATTGTATCCACGCTCAGCTTGCGTGCAATGAACCGGTGTAAAAGAACGGGCACAACACAAAACGCAGTTCGAAAAGAGCAAGGCGCAAAAGTACAACGATGAATGGGTAAAATAAGAGTTGAAAATCACAATGTGGAAGGGAAAAAGAAAAAGAAAAAGGCAAAAGCAAGCAAAAAAGAAAGCCCCGAACTGGGCAACCCAGTCCTCAAATCACGGCAATCGACCAGATAGTTCCAAGGAACAATCCAAAGCTATCGCCAGATAGCCCGAAGACCTAGGCATGCAAGGCACTTAGGGGGAAACCAGAGGGTAAGAGGAAAAACAAGAAATACATGTTGGGGAACAAAGGGAGCAGAGGAACATAGTTCCAACGAAGTCTGCATCATGCATAGGTCGCTTCATGAAAGGTATGCAGTATGCAACATGGGCCAAATGCAATGATCATGGCACATTGCTTCAAAGGTGTATGCAGTAAAACGCAATGGTAAATCATGGGATAAATGATCATGGCATGTGCAATTGATGTAGGCCCAGTTCGATGACAGTGTAAAAAGCAACCGTAAAATCGTGAAAGAAAAAAAAGAAAAAGGTTCGTCGCATCGTCTCACTATGAGTACACTGGGGCTGTGAAAGACAAGCACTGATGTGGGTGTCCCAAACCCAATCAGAAGTAGTTCTGGATTTGCTGAGGTCCAAGCTTCACGGACAGCTGAGAGGTGGGAGCAGCGTAAACAGACGAGGTGTCACTTTGGCCCGAAGGGGTGTTAGAGACAGAGCTCTGGGAAGATTGAGGTACATAAGTCTGGGTGCTGTATCCGCTGGATGAGCTCGAAGACTGGGTACCAGGTTGGTGGTATGTAAATGGCTTCTGCAGCAAGGTCTTGGGGACCTGTGCACTGGTGGTTATCTCATTGGGAGTGACCTGACCGCTGGTAGTAGCGCTGCTACCGTTGCTGCGGCTGTTAGTGTCTGCAGCCATGATCTTGCCGGCAATACGACGACCATGAGGAGTCTGGCGAATAGATGGAAGAATGGGACGAACAGCCTCCACAATGCGGTTGCGAGTCTCGAGATCACAGAAGTCCATGGCGGTCTGAACAACGTAGTTCGCAAATGAATCACGCAGCATCTTTTCAAGCTCATTGCCCATGAGGAATTCATCAATCATCTCACGCTTCATATAGTTATCGGCAGTCCGGAGACACTTCTCGATCACGTTGGAACTGAACTTTTGCTTGGACAGCTGAGGGATATTGCCTCCAAAGGTAGCACACAGCGGGTTGGTGAAGCTAGGCTCTGCAAGATCCAGAATGTATTGCACAACATAATTTCCGAACGGATCCTGGACCAAAGCGAACGAGTGGGAAGTTATCTGTGAGATCAGACGAGCCTTCTGATGACCCGAAGCATGATCAATGCAACGTTGGAGGACACAACATCCATGGCGATGAGTACCAACAACTACACAATTGCCTCCGACAGCCTCATAAATGAACTCTGCATCCTCGGGAGTGAGGCGGTTGAGGCATTTCTGAATAACGTGGTTGCCGTTCAAATCCTGCACCAAATCAACGACGTGATATTGCAACGCATTGATAACTGTTTGAGTCTGCTGGGGAGTCGAGATGAATTCAATCATCTTCTGCAGTGCGCGCGTTCCATGCTGGTTCAGGGCAATCTTGACCAACTCAGGGGCAGCATTGTCGATCAAAGCAGTCCGTTGTTCGTCGTTGGAGTATTCGAGCAACTTCTGACAAAGATAGTTTCCGAATGGATCTATTGAAGGAGAAAGGTTAGTAATGACAATATGGGTTAAAGGGCAGGTGTTAGATATGTCTCATACCAGTCATGAGCTCAATAACATGCATGTAAGTCTCGCTAAAAATCAGCTGCACATGCTCCGGGTTACGCTCCTCCAACTTGCGCTGAAGGTATCGGCAACCGTGCTGGTCCTTGCACAGACTGTACAACTCACCCTTGTAATGTTCCAAGGGGTAGTTGCCGAAACGAGTGAGCTGGGTAGCATCATTCTCCTGGCGACGCTGAGCCATGCTGCCTCGGGCTGCAGGTTCATTAAAGCGGAACCCAGGACCATAGCTGGAATAGGCATTGTTGTAGGCGGAAGCTCCTCCGAAGTTTTGCATGTTACCGTTAATCGGGTTTGCTTGGCCGGCATAGGACTGGAGTCCATAGTTGAATGCAGGAACTGCAGGGACTTGGAATGGCAAACCCATTTGAACAGCCGAACTAGGAACGTGGTTGGTAGGTGCAGCCGAGCTGAGCTGAGGCCCAAAGGGTGGAGCGCTCGCATGCAGAGTTGATTGATTACCATAGAACTCGGTCTCATCAAACTCGGTCTTAGCCTG